CTCACAGACAAAGATGGGAAGCCTATCATACTTCCTGGGAGGAAAGGCGGCGTCTGACGGTGACAAATGGGCGCCAGATATGCGGGCAGTACGGGCGACGATCAAATTTGCCATTGCAACGGGGAGGCTTGACATGGACCAGAAGCCTCAGGCACACTAACTATTCAGATTGAATCCTACTAACATCATACAGTCTCATTTTGGCAGACCGTGCTTCAGCTGCTGAGGATAGGATGCTGAACACTTGGAGAAATTGGCCTTCAAGCAGGCCTGTCACTGCATATACATCAGATTGGACCAATCAGTAAAGTGAAATTGTGGGGCTTCGGGTGATTATGGAAGAACCGTACGAAACGAAAATAGCTTAGCGCAAAGGCCCTCTGGGGTGTGTCCCCCCGGGCGAAATAAAATCCATCCATCCATTCTTGTCCCTATATACATTTTATGAGATTCCCTCTTATGCTCTGATTATATATGTATTGGTTTTCTATCCTTCTACCTACTTCTATTTATATATAAGAAACCTATTATCTAAATTACATTACCGCTAGTATTGTGCAGATGGATATGACAATAACGATAATCGGGCCTCATTTACTGTCCTCTCGCACAACTGTTCCAGCCTAGCCTCGCCATCAAACATTTCCTGTGGTATTTTATTCCCAACTATATCCTCCACACGCGCCTTTGACAGCAATATAATACCATCCAGCGATTTGCACCGCGATAGCTGCACATACAGGCTATATGGATCGCACTTTCGTGGCTCGAGTTGTCCAGTCTTGGTATTCAGCTTTGTCCCGGTTCCTCGCAGCTCCAGCGCAATCTCGAGGAGGGTTTCGCCTTGGATTTTGTAATCGGTGCATGCGAATGCCGCAGTGCAGGGAAGTCCTCGGCGGCTCACATTATGCCTCTGCCAAGGCCTCTTCTTGACCCTCTTCTTCTTTTCGATTGGTATTTGGGCACTCGTTGGAGTAAGCAGGATTGTGCCTGGTGGCATTTCATCAAATTCGAACTTCTTGGTTGACTCGGACGACAGGATGATGCCGGCAGGTGGTCCAAAGTGGAGGATAATGTTCGGGGCGAGTTGATACCCTGGGAATCTTTTGGTGTCTGGTATAACTTCTAGCGCTGTGTACTTGGCGCCATTCACGAGCTTGAGGCCTGGGTTTATATTCATGGTCACCACCACCGGCATACCAGGCACGAACATGAATGTGGCCGGCACACAGATCTTGCTGTCATCTCCGACGCTGGCCATGAGCGTAGCTTCTTCCTCCGTTACCGGCAATGTATTGGGTTTACCCCAACGGTGCTGGGGTAGAAATATCCGGACTGGCTTCTGGTGGTGCCTCTGGAAGGCCAAGACCGCATCCATGTTCAGGCTCCATCTGGTGCTGTTGAGGGGTGTGACTGCTGTGATGCCCTTGCCCCATGGTATGGCTCGGCCATCCTGAAAGCACCGGCTATTAAGAAGCTCCATGTCGGACTCGTCTTGCTCTCCCTGCCGGATCCGAGTCAGCAGCCGCTGCAGCTCCGGGTCCCCCGCTGCGCGCACCTGTTCGGTGAGCATAACGACGGTGGTAAATCGAGTCCAGAGTGCGTGCGCCCTCATTTCGTCCGCAATCCTGAGGGCGGACCATGGCGTTAATAGCGACTTGTTTTGCACTGGGCGGAACTGGTGAAAATCTCCTGAGAGTAGTACCACTGGGATGCCGCCAAAATCTTGATTCGATCCCCGGGCGGCGCAAAGTCGCTTGTTGATATCGGAAAGGGTCTGGAGGCCCAGCATGCTCACCTCATCAATGATAAGCAGCCACTTTTCTCTCCATCTTTTTCGAGCATCACCGTCCACGTAGGTTACCGTGGTGCCATCGTCGGCATTGCCGCTGGATGCGTTGGGTTGCATCCCACAGGCGGAGTGAATAGTCACGCCGTTGATCCGCGCTGCTGCGGCCCCCGATGTTGCCGTCATAAGCAGCCTGTGCGATACGTCTTTGCTAGCGAACAATTCCGCCAACGCCTCGATGACTCTGGACTTCCCGGTGCCGCCCTCCCCACCCAGGAACTCGCATAGTTGTGCGTTATCATTGTTCTCGACATTACTGCTATCGAAATCATCGTTGTTATCTTCGTCCCGGATGGTATCGAGATGGCGACATACTAAAAGGAAGGCGATTTCCTGCCGCTCGTTCAAGGTGAACCTCCTTGCAATCTCCCGACCGGCATGGAGGAATGTTGTCGACGGTCCAAAGGCGACCCTGGCACTGGGTCTTTGGGTGTTCCGGGTGTCTATTTCTGGCATTTCTATGATATCTTCTCCCGCGCCCGCGAAGGTATGGTTCAGTAATGCTTCTGCGCCGGCAGCTGTGATTTGCGTAATCTGAGCTCCATCAGTGCCTTGGATTCTTTTCACAATTTCCTTGTCAGCTTGATCCTGCTTGCTCTTGATCCCTCTAAGCTGACGTTGCGTTGGGAGCTCGCTCCTGGCTACCATGCTTGGCTGGCACTGCTCTGGGTTCTCTGCGGAAGCGACAGTCTCGACATCATCCGCAAAGTCGGTGATATCTGCTTGGGCTTCGCGGAGCTGATCTAGCATCTGCAAAAGATGCTCCGAACCAGCGGTCACCTGGTTGGGGGCTGTAGCACCTCGTACTGTCTCAATCAATCGGCCAAGCTGGCCGACCGGTCGGGGCGATATGCTTTTACTGGGCCTGTAGGATCTTGGAGATCATACCCCATAGCGTCGATATCATCCAAAACGGCGTCGTCCCCCGCAGCCGCCCACTGCTTTGCATCTCGCCGCGCATCTTCCGCTGATCGCTTCAAGAGCTGGATGTTGCCTGCGATAGTCCGGAGTCTTTTGGGCAGTCGCCGTCTCCAGTGCTCCCAGATTTCGTTGATGTCACCAGACGCTGCTGTAGTGAACTTCTCCCATGGTACGAAGAGTGCAAGGTGCTGTACTGCAGCTCTAGTACTAATATCAGTACATGCTCTTTGTTTATCTGTACTGTTACGTGGCTTGTGCTTACCTGCGGTATCTGTCTGCGTTTGTGTCAATATCAAAGTCCATATCGAGAAAGCCGTTAATGCACGGCACTGCATACTTCCCCGGGGGTCTTAGAACCTGCACCCAGTCCCTTCCCGGCTTCCACTTCCTTTCAAATTCTATCTTCACCAACTCCTTGGAAGATGAATCTATCCTCTTTTGTAATGTAACAAGCGACATGTAGTCATAGAAGCATAATGTCTGCAGCACCTCTCCACGGTGGTGGTAGGCTTCAATGTATGGCAGCTTCTTGCCATCGCTTCCCACCAAGACCCTCTCCGCGCTGGCTTCCGCGTCGTTGCCGTTGCCATTGCCATTACCACCTATGTTCTCGATAGGTCGATCATCATCGTCGCCTAAAGTGCTACTGCATTGCTGGAGATACTGCCAGCGTCGGAGTATTGCCCAGTATATCGTTGTCATATTCACATATGACCATTGTTTAGTACTCGAGAACTCACTTGGGTAATCCAGGAAGTGCGCAATCACCTCCACCTGTGATAATGGCCGCTCGGTGAATATTCTGTTGGCAATTCTCATCAGATACTGGCGGTTTAGATTTGCCTTGGCTTCGTAGTTTGCAGTTGTTGCACCTAGCCCGACGGCGCTGGTTGTGCTAATACTCGGAAAGAGCTCTGCTGCTATGGCCACTCTCTTCCAGATCGGATCTTGGATCTTTGTGGCGTAGTTTGTCAAGTAGTATATCAGCGCCATTGTCTTGCTTTGGGTTCCGATGAAGGAGATGTCGTGATTGTGCCGCAACCCAACCGCCATTGGCTTGTTCCATCGGTTGATCATGGGATGTGAGCGTTGGAGCCGAAGTATACCATCCGCGCCAAATTCGCTTTTTGTAAAGAGCTTCCAAGGCGCATGGAATCGACATGTGGGCTTTTTGTCCCCCTCCTTGTTATGAGAGTATTTGACACAAGTTGCGGTATGGACGTGCATCTGGACCCTGCCCGCGCAAAAGTGGGCTTCATCGTCAAACTGTTCAGAGAAGCGACCTGCATCGGTCATCAGGTAGGATATGTTGTCGTAAACCACCCTAGTCTCGCTCTCCTCGCTAAAGGCAGCAGATTCATCCAGGTCCTGGATAATAGTTCAGCTTCCGACCCCACATTGGCTTTCGGTCATATCAGTATATGAATGTGCGTACCTCAGTGAAGACAGAATCGACATATTTCAGGATTCCTTCCCTTTCCATCGCCGCGCTCTCATCATCCTCCCCGTTTCCATGAGCACCGATAAGTTTCCGAGCTCCAAGTTCCCTTCGAGCCATAGCAAACCATGGACATGAAGAGCACCGCGTTCGTTGGTCTCGACAGCGCCAAAATACTGTCCAATCTGACCAAAGACAGATTCCTCCCCAACCTTGACGTAATGCTCAAAGAACATCTCTGCTTCGCGGTGGAAGAAAATGGCAGAGCTTATGGGGTCAGTTATCGCCAGCTTCACTCTCTCATACCTATCCTGAAGGGCCCGAAGCAGGGTTGCTTCCGCGGCAGCCTTGTCCTCCTTTCGGTATGCCGCCAGACGTAGTTTTACCGGGTTCGTAATGTCATTAGGGTTCAGCGTAAACCAAATCGCCGGTATACCGTATCTGATGATGAGCGCTTTAATCTTTCTGCGCATGGCTAGCCGCGACTCCTGCGACATGGCCTGTTTGTAGCCAAAGTATGAGATGTATCGCAGGAGCTTTTTGATATCTTCATCTCGGGTGCTCCCGCCAGCCTCTAACTCCTTTTGCACTTCCGCCAGCCTCTCTGGAGTTAACGACTGAATGATCCTCTCAACCTCAGGAAAATCGGTCCGTCGCACGCTCACCATACTTACTCCTCTATTCCTAGACCGAACCTCTATGTTGAAGACTAGGAATGAAAACGCCGGATGATTGGCAAAGTGACCACCATGTCGTTGCAGCACTTTCTTCATCCATGCGTGAAGTCCGAGATTACGTGTTGGCGAATCGCATCCTCTCCACCCTCTCCACCCTCTCCAATACTGTCTCTATCACGGACATGCCTGTGAGCTGGACACTGTTCTTCCACAGGTCCGATTCCATCTCTTCCTTGCACCGTGGCCCACCGAACCGAAGGGAATAGTGTTGGAAATGCTTTTGCAAGATGCCAGAGATCATTGCTATCTGCAAACTCATTGCCTCTTGAAATGTGAATGTATGGCTGAAGGTGCAATCCTGCGCGCTCCCAGTCGACTGGTTGGGCGGCTGTGTTTGCGCATTTGTGTGTCCACCTCTGATTGTATCAATAGCAAATCGCAGTTTATCGGCATCGGTTGCTCGCGGTGCTGTATCCAGTGGAAACATACCAGATGCAAGGATCTCATCAAGAAAGCTTCCCATGCCCTCATACTCGAGCTCCTCCCTACTGCACTCGTCATAGAGCTGCTGATCCTCGTCGTAACTTACATCATTCTCATCATACGCTCTGCCCAGCCCGTCCACAATCTGTTCGAGTGACTGAGGCCCAGCGTCATCCATTCCACGTTCTGCTGGGGGCACAATGTGCGCTGTTCGCGTTTCTTCCCATGCCGATGGTTCATCTCTCTCTATCCTGTCATAGATCTGGCTCGGAACCCCATGCGCCGGCTCTCCCCAGCTATCCAACTCGGCTTTGTCGATTTGGATGTGCCGATAGTGGGGGTTAAATTCTTTTAGCCAAAGCAACGCCCGTTCCACAGCTCCTCTCCGGACTGAGAGCAACTTGGATAGATCGCTGGGGGCTGGTCTCTGCGGCCCATGCCAGGATATATGGATGTCCTCCAAAGATTGTAGAAGCGGATGTGGTAGTACTGTGGTAACCAAGTCTTGAACACTGTTTGGAAACACAGTTATATGACCCTTTACATGGCGTGCATATGCCGTACTCTGTTTGGTGCTTTTTGTCACTTTGATTCTTGCAACGAAGCCGAAATGGGTGTTGAGTGCAATCAGCTTCTCCTCAACCAATGTCAGGTCTCTGAGAGCATCCGGGTACATGTGCTCGCAACCAAGTGCTTGATGCAAGTTCCCGCCCCGCGACATATTGCATTCGCGGATCTTCATTGCACAGTTGTCGCAGCTCGGTATAGCCTTGCCAACAGGGAAGCAATCTGGACATGAATACGTGCGGCAGCTATTCATCGCTGCGCTATTTGTCCACTCTTCCCAGCTAAGCTCTTTTATCTCCATCATGCTGATCTTCTGATAGCATATCATGCATGTGTGTATGGGTAGGGTGTCCATGTTGTGAAATGCTTGATAAAAGTCCATGACTGTGGATATATTCCTCTCACGGGGGACCGGCTTACGCCAATCTTTTGTGTAGGATATTCTCTCCTTCTCTGTAAATTCATCTTCCAGATGCTTAATAGCTCTCTTGAATGCCTGGGTTTGCTCTTCAAGGTTGCTATTCTCAACATGTCTTCGATTTTGCCTTTTGTTTTGTTCTTGTCCGTGTTGGTCAGCCTTACGCTTGGCGCCAAGTTCTTGTTGGCCATGTTGATCCACATCTGAAAAGCTTAGAATGCTCATACATTGCTGCATGCCCAGTGCATTGTGCGGGTGATATTGGCTCGCGTTGGTTATCTCTGCAGCTTGTGTGGGGTTTGGTGCTATGAGCGGTTGCGCTGGTACTGGTTTGCTTGATTGGCCAGTTGATTGTGATGCCCCTAGTGCCGGGTCTATAGGTACGGTTTCTGGAATATAACCAAGTGTACTCGGTTGGACAGTAGAGTGTGACCTCCTTAATGCCAGGCCCACAGGACGGACATCCGGAACACGATCGATTATGCTTGGTTGGACAGTAGAATGTGATTCTCTTGGTGTTGCGTTTGTATTCGAGTTTGCCGCACTAAAGATATCATTGTACGTCTTCAGCCCGAGACTGCTGAGTGTGCTGCCAGGCGTTCGACCACGCAACCTTTCAAGTAGAGCAGATAATGACGAATCCATTAAAAGACAGTGTATGTCGTGTATTCTTAAGGTGCGTAATCATGTGTATTAAGCCAAATAGCGTTATAAATATGAACAATAAAGGTTGATGCCATTCACAATGCTGTTTTGTGATCGGTACATTCTGGGGCAGAGTTCGATTCTCCCACACCAACCTGTCCTACTCTGCTCTTGATCCGATTCTATCCCGATACTCCCACGTCATCTTTATCTCTATTATACCTATCAAACTATATGATAATATCGACTATCGTCATTGTCTTGACCCACCTACCAATAAATGATAGGTCTATCCCACCATGGTCTTCTTTACTCTTCCAATTTCATCCCAATATCGGACTTAGTTATTCATCCCGTCATCTACTCGGAGCATCATCACGCCGGTATACCAATAGAGCATCATATTCCTCCACCCTCTTACTTTCGTGATGATTAACTTCGGGCTTGATTATTCATCCCATTATCTAGTCGGAGCATCATCACTCCGGTATACCAGTAGAGCATCATACTCCCCCACCCTCTTATTCTCATAACATTAATAACATCAGGCTTGATTATTCATCCCATTATCTAGTCGGAATGCCATTACACCGGTATACCAATACGGCATCATACTCCTCCACCCTCTTATTCATATGGTCGCTGCAGTATTGATATACCAATAGATCAAAATATCCCTTCACCCTCTTTCGTTGTAATGGTAACATCGATGGACACTTATGTGATTGACATAATACACACCACATTATTTCATCTACCTATCAAATACTGCTCAGCTCTCATACTAGTTTTTTTCTTCTTTTTTTCATGCATTAATATCTTAGTCAATCCTTTGTAATCGTGAAAGAAGCAATTCTGTTCAACAGCTACGTTGATTGATCAATTCCGCTGTGCAAGTATCCACTTGGCAGGGATCAAGGTTCTTACCTCAAGATGCTTTCCTGCGATCGGCGACATGTGCTGACGTTTTGGCCAAATCCTTTGTACTCATGGAAAAAGCAAATCTGTTCACCATCTATCTTAATTGATCAATTCAATTGTGCGAGTATCCACATCGGCAGGGATAGTAGCTCTTGGCTGAAAATGTTGGATGAAGATCGGCGATACCACATCCTCTCTGCACAAGGAAATACAGTATCTTTACCAAGTGGTATCAATCTTCGCATTGTATAGTTATACGATAATATTTAATCGATTATAAATATCAGATGTGTTTCTCCTTTGTTCTGTACATTTGCATGCCAATCTTACAGGCTTATCTTACAATTGCTCTCTCTCTCTCTCTCCCCCTTACACACAGAGTCCTAATCTTAACTGCTCTCCCATTGTTTATCGAAACATTTGCCAGTTCAATATATCATGTCTTCATCAACTTCTACCTCAAATTCTACCTCAACTTCCACTCTTAGCGGTCATCCCCCTCCGCGCATGCCTTATGACTCTCAGAAAAACTTTGGTAGTGATATGATCATGTCCTTTTTTGGTCAGCTGGATACCCCAACGCGGTTTCCTACATCAGATGAACAACTCATAAAGAGCCTTAATGTTGAAGCTCTTGGCAGGGTTTTCCTTCCACCCCCTCCCTATATGACACTGCCTGAATATTCTGTGCTGCGTCCTGAAGGGTGTCGATCCCCTGATCCACTCCCGATTTACTTTAGTCTCAACCTCTCTGTCTATAACCAGCAGATTGTTGAATCGGAGTGGGAGAATCAGTGGTTCCATTTCACTGGAAAAGTACACCCCTACGCACTGGAGTGGGTGCTACGGGAGCCTGATGTTTTCGGCGATGAAGATGGTGACGGCGAAATGTACAAGGTTCCAGTTGTTCTCATACGCGACTTTGGATACCAAGCGTAAGCAGACTTATCAATTTCCTTAGCTCGAGTTCGACTATCGCGCTTGCCACTAATGTAACTATCAGCATTGACCCACGAACTCTTTGCAATGGTGAGGGCTTTCCACTTATCCAACCGGTTGTTTCTTTGACCGGGCAGGTTCTCGGGACAGGTCAAACCCACTTGATCAAGGACTCTGTCCCGCTGTTGGATGATGCGCAGCTGAGATGCTGTGCATTTATCCAGTGCTGTACCTACATCACGCCGGGTCAGCCATCAAAGAGCCCTTTCAAAGGCTTCCACCCCTTTCAAGTTTTTATTCTCTTTCCTATTCGCGCTTTGCCATTCTCTCTCCTCTGCAAGAAGATGGCAGATAGGAAAGATACACAGTTTGTTCCAGGTGTTCCCTTCAACTGCGTCGGCAAGATTGTTGGCCTGCTTGACCATAGTCTTATGGTAGCCGCCCCTACAATTGATGAGAAGGACTATGTTTTCATTGTCGTTCCCGACTCTTGGACGTTTCCGGACAAGAGCACGCCACCTGCACCTGCCGCTAACACAGTCCCCCCCTCTAAAACCGAAGCTGGCCCATCCCAAGCTGGCGGATTCGCAGCAGCGAGGTCTATGTTCAAGTCTCCCTCAAAGAAATCTTCACAGGTGCAACAGTCACGGTCACAATCATCACAATCGCCGCAGGGAGGTCCATCCCAACAACCCGTTACTCCATCTCAGAACAAAAGGCCCGCAATCTCCGCATCTCCATCGTCTCAGTCAAGTTCGAACAACCCCGCCCCCAAGAGACTCAAGGGATCTACTGTAACTACCGCAACATCTCCAATCATTGCAGGGTCGCCGGTCTCCCCTTTAACGTCCGTAGACTCTGATGAAAATGATAACCATGAAGAAGGTGAAGCAAAGGAAAACGAGGACTCTCGATCACCACCTAATATATCTGCCACACTCCGATCCTCCGTTCGTCCTAGTATGAGGTCATCAACTACCGAACCAGGTGGCAGGAACAAGAGGCATCCGACAAAGAGACTTTAAGCATAGTATAGTGATAGTGTGTGGTATTTTGGGCTGTTGTATTGGGTTTGGAAAACTTACAGATTGATATGTGGGGGAAATAAGGGTGCGGTTTCAGCACCAGTGCGACTGATAAAAGTCTAATGGTCTCAACACCAGGACATCTTGGCATAGCAGCTTCTTATACTAAAATTGACAATTTTCCCTCTTTGGTATTGTAACTGATTGATCTCTGCTAGTCTCAGTCCTCTGATGCTTGTCTCAATTATTGACCCTCACCCTATTGGCTAGGTCTCTTAGTTCCGCATTAAGCTCTTCAAATTGTGCCACTCAAAATGATACCTGCTCCTCAAAGCCTGCTGCATACGTCTTATTGGCTACGTAAAACAAAGGTAACACACACACACGCCCTATTGGCCAAGTCTCTTCAGCCACCCACCCAGAGCCGACCACTTAAAACCGCGCCCTCTTCTCAACACGTGCAGCAACCCACTAGTAAAATAGGCTCTTGTTGCAAGCTTTGTACCGAAAGGCTACTCAGCGCAAGGGAGCCGCCAACTTGCCCACCACGCCCAACTTCCAACTTCCAACTTCCCACCGGCGGACGTGCGCCTTCCCCTGTCACAAACCGAGTTCCCACGTGCACCACGTGCATCATTTCACGTGCATTTCACGTGCATTTCACGTGCATTTCACGTGCATTTCACGTGCATTTCACGTGTCTCCTAACAAGAAACCGTCAAAAGAAGAACTCCTTTGCACTTGATCTCAGAGAGCGAATGAGAGTTCACATGTGCGGATTGGCAAATGAGAAGAGAAGATTGGCACCTCTGGGGGGCATTCGGATGGGGTTAATCCGGACCAACAGGAGGTGCAGTTTGGCTTACTAATCGGGTAATAATTTGGCCGCCAACCGGAGGGGCGCCGGGGATGACTAATCGGGTAATTTTACAGGGGTGTGTGTGCAGGGATGAGCGGTCGATTTTTGGGTAGAGAATCTCGGAGCTTAAAAGACCTTTCGTACCGAAAGGCATAGACCTTTCGTTCCTCAAGGCAATAACGGGGTGTGAAGGGTCGGGCGCGAATAAGAAAGATAAAAGAAAGATAACTAAAATAAGAAAGACCTTCCTAACGGAAGGCACGGGCGCGAATAAGAAAGACCTTCCTAACGGAAGGCACCCTCATTATTCGGGAAAACTTAAGAACTAATGTAGAGTCAGCCTTCGGCTGAAATTATTAGTGCACGTACCATAAATTTGCGATCATGGCCATCATGAGACCAGATCGGATGTCGGCCAGATCCCGAAGTAACCCGTCGACCTGATTCTTCGACCACATCAGGATCAAGGCTGTCCTGAAGCTCTGGAAATTGGACCTATCTTCGGGTCGGATCCTGATCTTTCCATAGCTGTCCTTGGGCAGCTCCGCCTCGAAGTCGATCTTTGTAGTGCCTTTTGCCTGGAGCTTCGCAACGGACTGACGAACCCTGACACCGGCGGCCTTGCAGCGGTGACAAGCTGAAACGAGACTTGCCCCAGAGGCAGTCGGTGGTCGGTTGGCGCCGCTTAGGAGGGTCAGCTTTTCATCGATTGCCTGGCAGAGCTGGGACAAATCGTGGTATATGTTGCTAAGCTCGACGATCCGGGCGGTGGCGCCGGACAAGCCCCTGTACACTTTTGTGGTCTCGCTGATCAACCGGGTCCCAAAATCGGTAAACTGGACGACGCAGGCGGCGAGGGACACGGCAGAGAGTGGATCCATATCATCAGGTTCGCAACCGGTCGCGACGGCTCTGGAGTCTAGCTGTTGTTTCTTTCAGAGGAGAAGAGGGGGGCGAGAAGGGACGAATGACGGATAAATGGAAAGGATGGGTGTAGTCTGGCTGCCAATACATGGGCACCGAGGTGCCCAAATAAAGTCGCGCACCAGGTGCCCAAATTATGTCAGCCACTGTCGCCCCGATTGGCCGGCGCCCCATATGAATGAATGAATGAAATTTATTACGCCCGAGAGGACTACAAGGGGGGTCTCGTCATTTCACTTCAGCTCAACCCCCCGTTCGTCCCTCACGGGGGGGTCGTTGACTAGCCAAAAGTTCGGCGACTTGCCAAATTTAGGTACATCAATTCACACCAAATTCTTGGTGAAGGCGAGGTACCTTCATTATAGCGATTACGTGGGGTAAGTTGCATCGGTATGTTCCAAACGAAAAGTCGGTCTGATGTAAGTGACTGACCAAAGTGCCATTTTCATCATTTCTAGTCATCTACTTCGTCTTTTGGGACCAGGAATTCGCCCTGACTAGTATTAATCACATCTTCCGCGATAACCTCAATTCCATCAACCTCAAAGGTCAACCTTTTCTTTCCAAGAGCCCGTTCCTGTGCGTTGAAAATAGCAGAGTTGACCGCTTCTTGGACCACTTCGGGGTCGTAGTCTCTCGGCCAAGATCCTGTTCCTTGCCATCTGTTGTCAGCTATTCCTAGCTGTTGAAGCTGGCGATGAAGAGCATATTTCTGCACAAGCCACTGACTGGAAGCAAGGTGAGAACGCCGGTCTGTTTTGGACCACCAGTTGCTACGTTATAGCTGCAGCTTACACAGCGGCTTCCAGGCTCTTCTGGGGTGAGAATAGATATCTTCTAGCTTCAGAGCTGTGATGCTAGGCCTCATATGTGACCTGACATCACGTATCCAACGACGTAAAAAGAGACCTTCATCTTGGCTGTCTCTGCGTAAAATTCGCTTCTTCTCATCAGCCTGTGCAGCTTGTCGATTGTATTCATCCTTTGAGACTCGAAGCCTAGCATCACCGACACTAATTGGGCCGTATTTTGCTATAAGCCCCGTCTGTGCTTGAAGGGCTGACCGTCTCGTAGCCTTATCTTTGAGACGGTGCAGCTCCTGAGTTGCGGTAATACCATTCAAGGCCAGTGTGTTACTAGCTCTGACTGCGTGTTCAAATACACGCATGACTGACGGGGTCAACGGCGCCCCTGATGTAATTGATGTGTGCATACGAAGCATCACGTAGTCCTGATATTTCTCAATAACCTTCATTCGTAGTGGTGGCGTGGCTGCCTCTCCCCAGTCATATGCTGTTAACGGCACCCTCTGAGGCGTCACAGGAGTTGTGAAGCTATCACGGCTATGCTGATGTGGTGTTATGATTACTGACGAAGAGCCAACTTCCACATGACCTGGGAGACTCTCAGCAGAGATATCTGCTGTCAATGATGACAGCGGATCAGTGAGGTTATCTAGGACCTTAGCTGGGTCATAAGGAAACAGGCCGCATTTCTCCCAAGCAGAGATAATCGTGCTTTTCCGGAAGGTGCGTTCTCGTATCTCTTGGAGGTGGTATAGGAAGTCAGTCTTATTGAAGTCATTGGCGCCGTCAGCAATTTCCCTATAGAGGATATGCTGATGCCACTGCTTATATGCATTGAAAAGACCAACATCCAGAGGCTGAAGATGATGTGTAAGATGTGGAGGCATAGGGAACAGCTCGATGTTATGCTGACTGCAAAAATAGAAGATTTCATTCGTAAAGTGGCTCTCACACCCATCCATAAGAAGCAGCCGCTTCTCTTCCGGGTTAGAAGGCCGTGTAAGTCGCTCGAAGTGCACAGCTCACTCAAGGGCTAGGATGTCATTAATGTAACCCTGTTGGAGATCACAAGTGTGAGGCGACCAAGTCGGTGGCAAGGTGTGGAAGAAGGTGGAACATTCTACAAGAGATCGTGCCTGTACATAAACAGTGGTTCCCCTACTGCACATTTAGGATGAATTAAGGAACATGAATCTTCTCATTTCAACAATCTCCGTGCACCGAGGAGTTCCGAAGCCGTCGTCGGGCGCGTTTAGCAATGACATCTTGCCTTGCTTTCTCCTCTGGCGTATCGTACTTTCGAGGTCGCCCACGCTTTTTGGGTGCTTCAGGCATAGTGAGCAAGATGCAGTATTACAGTGATTGACTTGGGCTGTGTTGAAGTTCCCGCAGCCTGATGAAATGAGCTTGCCCCTGAGTTGACCGCGAAATCCTGATTAGGCTAGTGCGTGACCGTGAAAATCAAATGAAGTTAGTGCGTGACCGCTAAATTCTGGTTGGCTAGAGATTTGAGCGCTAAATCTCAAATAGGCTAGTGCAATGACCGCGAAACTCAAAAGGGTAATTTCAACTGACCCGATGGCTTCATATACAAGGCATATCACGGGGTGTAGAATAACCATTCTACTTACAATCATACCCATAAGAAAGTGTGAGATGCCTAATGAGAAGAGTGAGGGACGCAGGTCACTAGCTGTAGAATCGCAGGTAGGGGTCATGAAGGTGTAAGATTAATCTCTGACCCTTCTAATAGGGGTCCTCAGCTGAATATAAGTGCTTCCTTTAGTGGTGCTAAGCCCACGTTGGTAACGCTGCCGGAGGCACGTGACAGATTTGATGGTCTTCTATATCCGTCTCTGTCCTGACAATCACTTCTCAGCCAGTAGAGGTCCTATAAACCCCAGATCACTACCCTGTGGTTATCAAATTGTGCTAGCCAAACTCAGTCCACTTCTCTCAGCAAGACAGCTCCAAGAGATAATCGACCCATTTCATGTCAATGAAGACATCGCGAGCCCGGCAGTCGCGTAAAATTTCTGCCACGTATCTATGTCGGCTTTCCGTTCCAGTGGCATCTCCTTTGAACTTGCCCTTGGCGATGTGAATATGCTTCCCTGCCAAGACAGAGAGAGCCGCATTCCTCATTGACTCTTCGATTTTCCCCAGACGAGGGTTGAATTGATCCAGGACATGCTGCTTCGATTCGATCCACTCTGTTGATTGGGCCGCCTTCTCCCAACCTCCCCAGCGGCAGCGGCCATTTGTTCCACCATCACTCTCCATAAGCTTAAGATCCGCTTCGAGTAAGGCCCGCAATATGTCATCTTTTTTTTTTTTTGGGAAGCGCTTTGCCGCCTCGAAAAGTGCGCATGTACCTGATGACTCTTGCTGCCATGGGTCGGCTCCATAGTTTAGCAGGGGCACCATTGCTCTCGAAATGATGGTTATAGGATTTTTGGCGGTGGTGAAGAGGATGTTTAGTGGAGTTTTGCCATCCCGGTTGTTGGTATTAGGTTTTGATCCTTTCTGAAGTTGAATTTCAAAGAGGTCCTCCATTGCGAGACCTGTCCAGGGCAGTGATTGACAGCTGGCTGCCAGCATATGCAGGATGCAACTCCCGTTTCCTCCCACTTGATCAGGAGGAGAGCGAGTGCAGAAAGTCTCCGCCAGCGTATGATCGGTTGACCAGTTCATAAACGCATGCTCGAAGTAGTGGATGACCAACAGCTCGCCGGACGGCATCGGTGTCGTGACCGAGGCTCCCTTTTTCAGAAAACCCCACAGTATCGTGTTCTCCGAATTTTCTATAGGGTTACGATATCCATGACCAGTCTTCTTAAATCCTTGTGATCTGGACCTGGATAAGAAGATTTGCAATGGCGTTCTTCCATCAGGAAGGCATTTAGTTGCGCTACCACCTTTCTGCAGGCACATGTCTATACAAATGAGCAATTCTTCAGAATATGACCGGTCTAAAAGCTTGAGGAATGGAGTTATCCCGGCTTCGTTTGCCAGATTCAGATCGCAACCAGATTTGATGAGAGTGAGAACATCCGAACTCTTGATGGCTGGAGGTAAAGTAAACGCAGCAGATATTGCAAGATGAAGGGGTGTGTCGCCGTTTTCATCTTGAATAGTCAGCTTAGCACCTGCTTCGACAATACGATCAAAATGTGCGAAAGCACCAGAAGCTGCTAGGTGAAGCGGCGACCGGCCTAGTAGGTCTTTGGCGTTGATGTCGGCCCTATATCGAAGAAGCTGCTCGAGCATGTCGGCGCCCCCATCAACTACGCTGTAGTGGATGGGTTCTTTGCCTGAATTATCTTTGATCCTGACATCAGCTCCGACGAAAAGCAGGGTTTGCACCTGGCTCGTATCCTTGGAAATGACGGCCCGGTGAAGTTGCGTCTTGCCGTCAATATCTTGTTCATTCTGGCCAGGACCGGAGGAACGCGGTGTCTCTGGGGGTGGGCTAAAGTTGGTGAATTGGAGGCCCGAGTTGCTTGTCGACCAAAACACATCATCGTGGTCATTTTCTAACAAAGGAATTGTTGACGGGTTCACCGGGAGGCTAGGCCCGCCTTGAGTGATAGAAACTGTGACCAGGTTTGACGAGGATGAAGGATCGCTGCGGCGTTTTCTCCGATTGGGCTTTGGATGCGGCTTTGGGTTGGCCTGAGTGCGGTATTTCGTGTAACCCCAGGTTTGAAGCTGGGTGCGATAAGATCGCTCCCTAGCAGCAAGTGCGCGTTAGCGAGCTAAACAGGTAGGAAGATTGCCAGTGTAAGATTTACGATGCAATGAACTTGTGCCTCCCCTCCATTAAACGCATGACCTCACGAAGAGACTTGCGCTGGACGATGTAGAGGTACCGGAGCTCCTCCTGATGCGTTGACCAGTCTTTGGTCATTGTGTAATGATGCTTAACGAGCCCGGGGGTATCTCAGAATCCCGGGCAATCAGAAAAGCGATCAGGTCCAAATACCGTGGGGCTGAGGTCAGTGTTTTATGGTTTGGGGGGGTGGGACAGGGCGCCTGAGAAAGAAATCAGACGCCTACCATCCCTGTAATACTCTGCTGGCTACAGCCTGGAAAAAGGTCACTGGGCGAGGCGCACAAAGGCTGTGCAGTACACGTCGCCTCTTGTTGAAGTCTGTGACCCTGCCATGGCGTGAACGGCGACCCGCGACTTGGCGCGTGGATGGCGGCTAGTGTCACGTGTTGAGATCCGTTGTTTAACGGATCAATGGCTATTCCGATCCATTGGTGGCTGGGATGTGGATGTCTTTTCCCTCACGGTCCAGGTTGGGACCAGGCGGTCACAACCGGCAGAACCATGACGTACCCACTTTTTCACATGACACAAGATCCTGTCAGACGGTTACCTCAGTGCCTCAGGCCACACTGTGAAGGCCGCGGCTATGAGGTAAGTCAGACGGAACAGGGGTCCTGCGGTTAGATGCCTCAGGCAACAACTCGAGATCCGTCGGGAAACCCCGGAAACGCCTCGTCAGATAGGGGGAACTTCCGGGATACACACAAGATCAAGCAGACAGCAATAATAGCGTGCTAGCTGATCAATTTGACGATTGCCTCATAACAGGATACATCATTATTATCACTTCATCTGCATAATTACCCTACATCAGGCCGTGCGACCGTCTCGCCGCTTGTCACGAGTCTGACAGATCCCGAGCTCACCCGTATAAGTGAGCCAGGACGCCCGGCTCACTTCCCCACGATGAACCACAAGATCGGACTCACTCTCACCCAGTGAGCCCGCACAAACACCCTTAGTATATAAGCACATTCATTTAGCACTTTCATAGACAGATAGCCCACCAACCATCAACAGACTTGATTACACAAAGACTCACTTTTGCACATCATCAGACCGTGACCTACATTGCTCACTACGACGTCCTGATCCACTCGATCATCAAACCACACGCCTTGGACCTACCCTATGCCCCTAGGTTAAGCCCAGCCGTCACAGCTAGCGCCTTGAATTTCATCACGGGGATTGAACGAGGACTTGAGGAGCGGGGCTCCCTGATGGCTTAGGTACCTTATCCAATTAAGGCAACGGCCTGCAGCAGGCTGGATGGGCTTGGGTGTTGTTGGATGTATCGAGGACGGGGTATTGTAACATCCGCTGCCATATGGGCAAGCCAAGCTGCACTTTACCAGACACGACATGCAAAATGCATTTTTACAGGTAGACTGCATCGGTGGAGTCCAGGTATACCCAATGTCTCCTTATGTCAGAAGCGAATTAGTGGATTAAAATGCAAAATGCAGTCTATTTTTGCATAATGGAGCGTTAAAAACTGCAAACTGCAAACTGCATTTTTATCTACCAATTCGCCGCTAACAAATACTCATTCGTGTATTGTAACACAACATTGCTCCCAAAAAGTGCATTTTGCATGTTACACTCTCACTCAAGCAGATGAAACGGCAGAAACCAGTCTTGCGCATGCCATTATTCAATCCGCCTGGATTTCTCCTCTGCTCCTGTTCTTTCTTTCCATCCAATGCACATAAATACAGTGCATAGCTTCTCGCCTACAATTTGGAACTCAGCTTCCTTTTCCCCGTAGTCCTTTTCTTTTTCTGGTCATCTTTAGCTAGACACACAAGGTCTGTCCAAAGCCCTAGCTAACTCTCACTTACTCCCACTTACTCTCCCTCTCTCCTTGTTGCCCAGATTTCTCCTTCCACCATGACTTCAGTCAACAATACCCCAAGTCAAGCCGATAGCAAGGCTAGCTCAGTACAGAAAGACGTCCCTGGGTATGTTGCTCATGTGCCCTCCTTTTGTTCATTCTCCTCACCTCCTCATCCCTCATCTAGCCTGCATAACCTCAAGATTGGTCCACATACCTTCATTTCCCTCAAAGCCATGATCTCTGTTGACCTGGTCAAACTTTTTCCTCTCAACTAGAAACGACGTACCGGCCGAGTCTCCCGATGCGCTTCCCAACTCGAGCACCATCCCATCCCACCCGATCCACGATCCAACACAGACCCGAATCGGCGCTCAAGGGGCCTTGCACGACACGGCACGGCCCGACCAGAACACCACGCACCAAGCCCGAGAGGATACATCCCAAAACATACTTCAGACTCTGCAGTCGCTTGGTACTGTTGTTCCTGAATGTGTGGCTGCCAAGGTTGCAGCCACCTATAACGGAATGCGGCCAATGGAAAGATTTCTGGTTGAGACTTGCGCTAAGGACGGATCAGTGTCCGCAGCGGAAACAACTGGTGAGGGGGAGACTTCGTCTAGCTGTCAGGCAACTGTTGCACTCTCGGATACGGATGCGGCGGTAAAATCTCGAGAGGCGCTGCCTTGATGTATTTCTTGTCTATAGACCAGAAGACTAGATACCTTATCATTACTACTTCCTTTATCCAGAATATGACCTGCAAGTCAGTGAGCTACATGCATAGTGACGGTGAGAGCGAGCAGCCCTACCAAGTGTACGACCCGTTCGTGGGGTAGTTAAAGGGGAGTCGGCAACGGACGTATTGGTCCCCACTAATAAAGCCCAAGCTGGACCACATACCGGGCGCTTGCACGACAAAGGAGATGGTGACTTGATTGCTCATTGACTTGCTCTGGAATCCATGTACCTGCATTCTCCCATGTGTGCATTGCCTACTGTTAGATTGGGTCATATATACCCAATTAGGGCAGGATCCATGGACAGATTCGGGTCTCGGTTTTCACTTGTGTTCGAGTGGGCTCAGCCAATAAGATCACGTCTGGGACGAACCGTACCCTTGTCAAATTTTTAAATGGAACTGTATCCCTGTTAAAAAGCACGATACCCCTGCTCGTCCAAGATAAGATAAGATAAGAGAGCATCCGGAAACCGCAATAGATATTAATCCGGATACCATTAATCCTAGTCTCCAAAAACGCCTCTTCATTTCCTTTATGATTAGCAAGATGTCTCAGCCAATAAATATCCCAGGTTGAAATCCATAATGCGTCGTGTTCGTATATCATAGATTATTTGAATCCTGCAAGCGGACAAGATTAGTGGTGTAAGTGCGGCGTGGGTTGGTGTGTGTCGTGTGAGACTTGGTGAAATTTCGAGAGCATTGGAAATCTTATATTTAAATACGCGTAAAATCCACCACAACTCTCATCAACGTAAAAACTAGATCAATCGATAGAGAAAGCCTCAAAGTATTTTAAACTTAATGAAATATATTTTTGCAATTATATGTCAACCTTTTATGCCCGATCAAAGACGCAAAACGAGGTGCAAGTCTCAAATGGTGCTCCAAAACCATCGGCAATCCCTGGTCAGCGACGTTAGACCCCTGGTTGCAGTTGGCCAATACGAGCCAGGCATGGCGTCTACAGTATCCTTGTCAGATTTCAAAGCCAATAAAAATCGGGGATGGAGTCTACACTATCCCTGACAGCTCCACTCACTAGACAGTTCTGGTATTAGCGGCAGCCCATCGGATGTAAGCCAATCAGCATATGCCTTCACGTCGACAGTATCCATGTCACCGTCAGCCAATCCGATCAACTCTTGACGTCGACAATATCCTTGTCATGCCAGGAGAGAGTGCCGTCAAAATGCACTTACCCTGTACCATACTATCATGTTATTCGATTTCTAATTGATAATCCGTCTTTAAGTCTATCTTTTAAACCGCACGGCTTTAGCTAACCAGCTGACCGAACCCTACAGACGCTATACCCTCAGAACTGTGTCAGAATTCCCCTTGGGTTTACCATACAAAGTGCGCTAAGTGGCCCGAGCGTTAAGCAAAGTTCCTTTCACGCTGGGTTCCACATATGATTGGTGTTAGTGTTTAGAAAAGTGGGACATTAAGGTTTAGGTATTTGGGTTTAGGACAACCATGCCGTAGGAAAAAGGGATAAGAGAGGGGGGATTGTGGGTGGTGCGGAGGAACAGCTCTAAGGGAAGGCGATGCGGTTGTTGCGCGCAATGCATCAACAGGGAGTTGTCCAAAAGGATGCACGAAAGGCAAACATGCTGCTCAATGTGGAGATCAATGGGTTCATGATGATTGATATTGAAAGAGCGATGCTGCTGGAGCCACCTCGACGTCCGTTGGCTCAGCTGGTGTCGAACAAGCGAAGATGGAAGCCAGAGACGATAGATTGCAGCGAGTCGGCAGAGAAATCAAGCGATCGAGGTCAAGCCAGCAGGGGATTTTCCAAGGACATTGGGATGATGAAGATAGTATTCGGAGAGCATCATATTCACAAGCCGTGATATAGATAGTAGCATCATGAAACAGGAGGTTCATATTCAGCATGTCCGGGAACGGGTAATGAACGCACTACGAAGCCCTAGAGTAATCTTCTCGCCCCCGTTTTTTCTTGCCCTACTCGTACAAGTTCATTTAATTCCGTCGTAATGTAGAACTTGTTCAGTCTCAGAGTTTATAGCCATTCTCTTTTACATGTTAGTGCTACACTTCATGGCCAACTAGCCCACAACACTTCCAATACATACCTACTCAGATACTAACGACACATACATAGAACTTCACACACTTGGGCACATAAAATTAACCAAAACAATTTTGTTTAGCAAGTACACTAATACAGGATTATGAATTCTCATCACCGGGTATATCAAGCAGTCCCTAATTCCGAACACCGTCCACTCCGTTCCGTAGAGTTCCAGTCTGACTACCTACCTGCGCATCTTCCCCAAAGCAAGTGACTCAAACCTGCCTCCCAGGAAGATAGAAAAGGAAAAGAAGGAAACAATTCATTCTAGAGCTAATCAGCTGGGCAAAAACTTTGCCAAGGGCCCGAGATATTTCCATTCTCAAGGCTGATTGTCGTCTCCGCTTTTGGAAAACCCGTCGCTTTACTTTGTCCACGTTGTACAGAGAAGGGAATAGCAAAAGGGGAAAGGAAAGGAAAAAGAGAGAGTAGGAAATCGGAGAGAAGGAGAGTGCTAAACCGTGTTGGAGACGTTGCGTCTGGTTGAGTATCCCCAAACAGCTAGGGACATCTTAGCACATGCACAATTCTCTGTGTGTGATATCTTTAAGCTCTGTGTCGCAGGTGCCTGTTGGTGTTGGGAATTTGAAGGCCAAGTTGAGGTGGGCGTGGGCGTGCGTACAGCCGAGGGCGACTATGCTCATCCTAGAAGAACGATGGCTTTGTGAGGACGCGATACTCGACGTAGTCCTCGCCATCGATGTCGATAATGGTGCCCTGCGAGACCAGCTTGCCCATGAAGGGGCCGGTAGCCTTTCGCTCATGCTTGATGCCTCCGTAAATCTTGGCATCCTCAGCGCCAGCCTTGACTCGGAGGCTCTCCTGCCGGGCCCATACCTTGTTCAGGCGCTGCATCTCTTCTGACTCGTGGAACCGCATCCTGCCGTTGGTCGTGACGGCAGGAATCGCGGCAGCAGCAGCAGCAGTGGCATCGGCGGCAGCAGCCGCAGCACGTTCTCGGTTAGCTGCGTGTCGGTCAGCGCGGCCTTGGGGAGCCTCAGCTCGGGCGATCTCGCGGCGAGCTAGCGTGTTGGTTCGCTCAAGAGCGTCGCCGCTCTGCGCTCGGTTCACAGCTGGACGGATCTCGCCGTTGGGGAGTGGCTGCCGAGCAAGGCGGCCATCCGTCTTGGCTTCGACGCGGCGGCTCTGGCGCAACTCATGGCCGCCGAATCCAGCCCTTCCGTTTTGATCAACGAAGTCGGCGGGCGGTTCGGGAGCGATGGGGGGGGAAGACAGGACAATGAGGGGGATGTTCTTAAACCCAGTTCCAGCACGGACTTGAGCCTCCTGAACGGCCTTTGCCTCATTCGTGGCTCGTTCATCTGGGGTTTCGCCATGATCAAGCTGCCATTGTCGGACTCGACAATACTCTCTGATATCATGGCGTGCGAGTAGCTTCAGGTGATCCTCGAACTCAACTTCCTCATATTGAATCCACAAGGCACCAGCGCCAATGGGGAAATTTCCATCTACGAACCGGCCATCGCGTGTCTCTCGGACAAGCTTGACACGGAACATGTCGTTCTGACCCAGGATGCCATAGACTGCATGGCGATCCTTGAGACTAGGTTCCGTAGAACCCTTCCAGTATCCCAGCAGGATGCGGGTTGGGCGTGTTCCCGGAAGCGGGTCAACAGGAGGTCGCATAGGCTGTGCTGCCAGGGGATGGCGTGCAGAACCGGGCTGTTCGTGAGAAACTCCGTTGGTCGGAGCGGGATTGATCGTCGCGAAGCCACCACTCACTCTTCTTCGCTTTGCATCAGAGCGTTTGGTAGTCGCAAGATGCTCGGGCATTTCTAGCCCATAGGCGATGAGAGGAGGATTCGGGTTGTTGACAAGGGGGTTCATCTTGACGCGTTGCTTTGCCTCCCCCACAGCTGATTTTTCCGCGGCCTTGCGCTCCTCGTCCGTTTCTTCGGGCGGGTCGGAACGAATCCGTACATATTCCTTGACTTGATGGTGATCTAGATTCACAAGATGATCCGAGAAGACGATGCGCTCAAAAGTAACCCAGCTTCCACTAGGGCCCGGGGGCAGGGGATACTCCTCTGTTACCAATTCGCCCACGGTATTGATCGCCTGGATGCGAGTTCGCAGCCGATCTCGGACGTCGATGAAGCCAATAACTGCATGCTTAGATCTCTCGTCGGGTGCAGGGGAGCCTCTCCAGTATCCAAGGATGGCACCCTTGACATTGCTCAGACTGGGTCGAGCAGGCTTGGGCTTGACTGAGTCTGTGGGTGTGGGCATGTCGTCCGAGACACTCTTGGGAATCTCAATCTTGCTCTCACTCAAGTCGTTGAAAAGAGAGGTGCGCTTCCGCTTCGGAAAATGGGAGACGATGGGCTCATCATCCACGTCGGCCATGACTTCGTCTTCTCGATCCGACACAACGCGGAGAGGTGACAACTTTCGGGGGCTGTTGCGCTCACCGACAACGATCTCGTCCTCGAGCTTGTTGAACCTAACCCCGGAGGGGGAATGAACACTGCTAGCGGGTTCACTAAGTTCACTGTCGGGATCGTCTCTGAAGGAGGTCTTGTGGCCGTTAGGATGTCTAAGTTGATTTGGTTAGTCTCTACACCATAAGCAAAATGGAACACTGGAGCAGATCGTCGCCCTGGCACAGGCCGAGAGATAAGACCTCAGCTGGGTTGTGTTCAAATCATGCAGTTCACTTGAAATGGGTTGAGACCTCTGGAGGGGTAGAAGCACATGGAGTGGAGTTGCAACTGTCGGCAGACGGGCCCAATAGCACCGTTAGTGTTCTGACAGAATCGTTGTCAAGGTACCCCAGACTTCCTTTGGTAGGGCGGGCTGAAGCCGAGGCCGAAAGAGTTGATGACGAGGCAAAGCCGGGGTGGTGATGAGTGATGTGCTGGGGGAAGACCAAACTGGTGCTGGCCGGAAGCAAGTTGGGCAGGGGCCAGGATTTGGAATTGCCCGAAATGACCGAAATGGGACGAGACAATTGGTGCCAGTTGTCAACAGAACGCCGGCTGTGCAGTGAAGAATCTTCCAGGCAAACAATGCTTGGCCCGTTGTTTTGCAGAGCAGTGAATCAGAGCAATTCCCGGCAACTTGGGCATCCGACAAGACGATGTCTTGGGGTTTGAGCGCGACCGGGCAAGTGGCCGTCAATGTCAGGTGCGGTGAGACGCTGTGAGCAAATGGGAAAATGCCAACTAGGCCAAGTCCCTGCAAGAATAGCCACGCCACTTGACGGGGACGATGCGGTCATTGAGCATTGACCATTGAGCAGCGACAGTTGCGACAGAGATGAAGATGAACCGAGAGATGAAGATGAACCGAGAGATGAAGATGAACCGAGAGATGAAGATGAACCGAGAGATGAAATGGAAAAATTAGCAACTTACTTGGGTGGCTTTGATTCTCCAGGAGGGTTTGCAGACTCTTTTGATGGCTCCCGCGCGGGAGCCTGCGCTGGGGAAGGGGCGCGATCTTTGACTGGGGCGGAGGCAGTTGCAGTTGCAGTTGCAGTTGCGCCGGAAGAGACCTCGACGCCGGTCGTCGAAGTCGAAGCCGTGGCCGCAACAGACGCGGAGGCGGAAGAGGGAGCAGCAGCAGGGGCTGAAGGGGCAGTTTGCGCAGATTCTCGCGTCGCAGTTGCGTTAGATGCTGATGATGGAAGAGGACCCCGCGCAGACTCGAGGGTTGGAGCCGGAGTGGGAGAGGCCAATTTTCCTGGGGCTGACGTGGGAGCAGCGGATGCTGAAGGCGCTGGCAATAACGCCTCAGGTGGCGCAACCGGCATCCCGGCCTTGTCGGCCTCGACGCTATTCATGGTGCGACGTAGAGAAGCCGGAGTAACGATGCGAAACGCGCCGGGAAGCGAGTTGCTAACTCTTGAAGAGGCTTCACGTGTTGGTTTCCACAGGGAGCGGGAAGCGAGTCGCGGCTTTTGGGGGCTGATGTGCAGGGCAGTTGACAGAAGAAGGAAGGAAGCGACGAGACCCGCGCGTCGGGGGCGGGAAGCAGGAATGGAGAATCAAGACAGACGCCCTGGTTGGTCGAGGATCTGGGAGCCTGGGCCAGGGCTAAAAGAAATAAGCGCAATCCCAATCCCAATCCAACTTGGCAACCCTGAGCGCAAAGAGGTGCCCGCGCTTGAACTGAAAGACTGACGAACACACCCCCTACGAATTACAAATTGCGTGCGTGCGCCAAGCGATGACTGGGTTGACGGCGACAATGATGATACGACTTGCCTTCTATAGGACGGGCCAGTACCCCTTTGGGCTGTATCCCCGCAAATCGTATCGCTCTCTAGCATTCGCAGACAATGGCAATGTCCAACCTCGGCGTACCGTCACTCGCACAGTGCCGCTACCTTGTGAGACCCTGAACTGGAAAGGTCACGATCCGGATCAGGATTACGGATCAAGAATAACAGCTCGCCAGGAAATAGACGACGCATGTGCTGATTGATACATGATGATGACATGCTGGCCCTCCGTGACGCCAATCAACAACAATAATCCGGTAAGCCCAGAAAAGAGGCGTGCCCCGCGCAAGGAGCGGAATAGGATCCAAGGGGATGCAAGATAGAGGGTCTAGGTAGGTAGACGCGCTGGGCCTCTACTAGTTATTTTCTCTGAAAATACAAATCAATACTTGGACGCATCCACTCGCAGGTCTCAAGATGTCAAGCAGCCGGAGATATATGTCTCCGATGAAGAAACTCACGCTGGCGCAAGAAGGAAATACAGTTGAGCGAGTGGATGTACAGCCGCTTGCCCATCGGGTACGACCTCGACCGGGGATATGGCGACAGAAACCGCCAGCAGGATGGAGGGCATCCGACATGTCTGCATAAGATACGTCGCAGGCACAACCCTTGTGAGGACCATGTACTGTTGGCTGCGGTACTTTCTCTGCAACACAGGGTACCTAGAAGATTTTTGCATACGTATGGAGAAACGCGCGATGGGTATTGACGCGAACGCGTCGATAGCTGACGAGGTAACACTAGTCGATGATGCGGTCTGTGCGTCTGCCAGGGATTGGCAGTCGACCTACCCAGAACAAAGTCTCCAAGTCACATTGACGAGTCCAAAACGCCAGTCGGCCTCGTATAACACCGTATTCGTGCGCTGCTTGCATCCGATAAGCCTAAAAGGCACTTTGGTACTGCCAGATCTAGTGGAATCTGTCGCCATATTTGCCGCCTGCAATGCGAAACCATTCCTCAACGAGGGTGACCAACCTTTGCGATACTAACACCAAACCACCTCAAGTTGACAGACCAGGCTTCAGCTGCTGAGTATAGGATGCTGACTGAGCACTGGGAGAAGTTGGCTTTGACGCACCGTTAAGCGAGGTGAGTAAATGTGAGACGAGAGAGGTGTGCCAAATCGTCGGAATTGTAAATAGCTTAGTGTCATGGCCCGGCTTCACACCAATTAGTCATCGCGGTTTTTATTGCGGGCGCGAGCGTGAACACGAGTCCGCTCTCACTCGCGCTTAAGCTTCGCGGAGGATAGCTATAATACTCCAGTTCCCGCTGATGACGTCTCCTGCATCTACTTTTCGACTGGCAGGGACCTTACGTCTGACATGGGGCAAAAATTCCAGCTCGTGGCTCCCCGCGAGGAGATGTCTTTATCTTGGGGGGGCAAGCTTGGAGAGATGCTTTTTGACGGGTCAGCCAAGGTCTTTGTACGCCTCCTCGCTGTCCCTGTTCGGCACCAGAATCCCCCCATTCAGCCGCGCCATCTACACCGGCACAGTCTCGAAACGACCATTGTGCCACCCGGCGCTGGCGACTCGCTTCAGGATATTCGGATAGATAGATGTGCGAAGCGCAAAGCTGACGGCGAAGTGCTTGCCGGCCGCTCTTGGGCTTGACTTCTTTTCCTTTGATGATGAAGAGTGTGTCGTTGGAAGGAGCATTCACCATGACTGCATGCCACCATTTGTGTATTAGGGGAGTTCTCATGTACAGGGGTGGGAAAAGTGGTCGCTCAAAAGACCCCCTTAGTAGTCTTTGTTTCCTCGGTAGATAGATTCTCCGTGACACGTGTCATTCATTCAAACACACCTGTCTATTTTGATGTGCAATTCTCTTCCACCTACGAGTACGCGTCTCCAACGCGCCGTTTTTCATGTTTCAAATCGCTTCCGTACTGCTTCCAATTTCATTTCACTCCCTCTTTCTCTTCCTTACATCTTCCCGACTCTGCCTCTTGAAGAGCTGGACGACATGGTAGAATCACGAAAGGTACATTATCACATTATCCCAAGCAACTTCAATCGATGCATGCCACTGACCAATAAACAGCGTACATCTTCACCCGTCGAGGTCGACCAGAAAAAACCGAGAAAGAAGGCTCGTACGACGGCCAAACCCAAGAAAGCCGTCAAGAATGTTGGCACTTGCTCGATGGACAAGAAGCAGATTGGAGACCGCGTCAAGGCAGCACTGGCTTTGAATAAGTACGCGCTCAATCGGACAGTCATAAGTGCAAGTCACCACTTCTTTCCATCAGATCCAAGCTAAGACCTGATAGCTCCAAATGGACACAGCCTTCTTCCGCACCTTCTTCGTCGATAACGACAAGCTCAGCAAACCACTACCAATCACCCCCACAGAGTTCGACGACACTACCCCCGTGGTCGTCGTGGATCTCAGCCGTAACCAATCAGGCGAGTTGCTCGGAGTTACTAAGGTTAAGGGAGGAAATAGGTTAGCCACGACGCACTTGGCGGCTATGTGTGTTGTGTTCTATCCGAGCCGAGGCATGGCCAAGATCTGGTTGTCTGTGTAGCGTCTGGTCTACTTGACGGGCTGCGTTTATACTTTCGGAGCATGTACGGCGTTCCGGGCGTTTAACGGCATGAGTGGCTGCCAGCTGCATATGTTTATCAACTACATGCAGAGATGGAGAACTTGGCATCGCTGCGACGAGTATCGGTAATTCCTCCAGCATCGCCCGCAAGACCCGCAAGGACACCGCGGCGGCCTGTCTCTTATAGATTTCGTCAGGACTCGCTGAGGTTCTTCTTGGATTCTGGCGTCGAGGGTCGCTCCCTTTCTGACGTGTTGAGCAACGTTTCGAACACATGTAGCCGCTGGATTAGGGCCTCATGTTCTTTCTTGATGGCCCTGTTACGCTGTTCCAGGTGCTGGATGTACTCGGTGGCTTTCATCAAGACGGTGCCCTGGCCGGGATTGTTAGCCTGGATTGTACAGATTGCATGCGTGGGGAAAGAACGTGCTCACCTTGCTTACTTTGCTGGCGTTGCAGTGTCTTGACGATTTACCCTTCTTCGATCCAGACTCAGGCAGTGCATGTAATGAGGGGACGGCATGCCGTAGTTCGGCAATCTTGTCATTCAGATTCGTTCTGTACTTGCGTTCAATGTCGCTGTGGGCAGCTCTGTCAACTGGCTTTGCCTTGTCGTTACGTTTGTCTGTGTGCCTCGGGCTCGATCTCTTTGGCTGTGGCCGCACTGAATCTGCCGATGGTTCACCTTGCGTGTCCTCGACCGCCGTTCTGGAGGTGTTCTTCAGTCCAGTTCCAAAACTGATGCCGAACCCGCCGGATGGCATGAAGCTGGCAGGTTGCTGGCCCATATTGAAGGCAACGGATAGAAGACGTAACTGTTTATCCTCACTGAGACCGCTGTCGTCACCCTGAGGCGCCATCTCTCCGGCGGCTGGCCCCATTGCATTGGGGCTCTCGGCTGATGCTGAATGGAATCGATGTCCCGACCGGGGTGCGTCCCAACTCAAAGGTGTTGAGTGGAATCCGTCGCGAGACGGGATCTCCGCCGGGGGTGTCGTATGAATACTTGCTAATTGCTCGCCGAGGTCCATGAATTCAAATGCGTTCTCGCCATCAGTGTCAAAGACGCTGTCGCTTTCTACGGCCTTGGGTGGCGGTACGGTTGATTGGATTCAGATATTCGCTCCGACAAGGACTGCAAGAAGTGGGGTCAAGGGGAATTCCGAAAGAGTTTTGCTATCCGGGCCGTGTCCCACTTCTCCGACCAATCAGACAACAGAGATTTTTTTTTGGGGGGGGGGGGGGGTGGATTTTACGTTTTCAATTCTATCACTTCCAACTGCCACACTTTGACCTCCACCTTTCACCAACACCACCACCACCGCCGCCGCCGTTGCCAACCACGATGAGGCGCCGATCGAAGAGCCTGACGCTGCTGAAGAACAGCAGCAGCAGCAGCAATTTCCCGAGATTGCGAACCCGCCCAACGGAGGAATTGATGGCCGACCTGCCACGACTGTCGATGATCTAATGGCTCACCTCCAAGCCTTCGCCAGGCCCAACGGCTTCGCCGTGATCCGACGTAATGCCGGCAACTATAGAGATTTCGATGGAGTCAAGAAGCCTACGCGCTACAGAGTTCGCTGTGACAAAGATGCTATTCGCGCCTCCGGGAGCTACGGTACCCGCAAGGCTGGCACCCAGAAGAACAACTGTCCTTAGTATGGAGTTGTCTCTGCCCGCAAGGATGACAATGGGGGCTGGACCTTCGATCTCAAGCAACCCCGTCACAACCACCCGCCTTCAAGCGACCCATCGGCCCACTCGCTTCACCGGAAGCTTACGGCCCAGCAAGAGCAACTCGTGGAGAGTATGTCGAACCACAAGGCTATCAAAGCACGTGAGGTAGCCGGCATCGCCCGCGACGTCGAGCCCGGCTCGGTGATCAGGCAGAAGGATATCGACAACGCCCGCCAACGTCTTCGTCTCAAGCAACTCGACGGAAACACGCCTGTACAGCAGTTTATCCACATCTTGACCACGATGGGCTATAAGCACCGCATCCAATGGGCGCCTGACGATCCTACCCGCCCTGTCGCCTTCGTATGGACTTACCCGTGGTGTGAGACCATGTGGGTTCGTTTTCCTGAGGTCATTGGCCTTGACAACACCTACAAGACCAACAGGTTCAAGATGCCGCTCTTCCAGGTACGTATGCTTCGTCGGGGATCGTCTGGGATTGTTGAGGACGCATTCTAACAATCTATGCAGGTTACTGGTACGACGGATACTAGATCCTTGTACAACTATGTCTTCGGGTTTTCTTCAACTGAGCGGCGTGAGGGCTACGACTTCCTTTTGACCTCCATTGATTCAATCCGGCAAGAAATTAACGGCGAGAAGCCGAAGGTCGCTATCACCGACTTCGAAGAAGGTCTACGATCGTCGATCCAAGAAACCTGGCCCGATACCCAGCTGCAGCTGTGTAGTTCCCACATCAACCAGAACATCGCGAGCAACGCAAAGGAGAAGTGGCAGGGTGCTGGTGGTCCACCGCCTGACGAGTTTGACGTTGCCCGGGATAAAGAAACCGCCGAGACCGAGGCTCTCAACAACCAGGCCCGCGCTGACGAGGTTCTTAGCCGTGGCCAGCTTCCAGAGGAGGTCGTTGAGCATACCGTCTCTGGCTTCTGCTCCCTGGGCTTACGTCATCTACGCCAAGTCAGAAGAAGACTTTGATGCTGCGTGGGCACGCCTACAGAAAGAATTCGACGACCAGCAACCTCTCCTCGAATACATCCGCACCACCTACATTCCACTGCGGTATCAGTGGGCCAACTGCTTTATCTCACAGTACGAGAACTTTGGCGTTAGGACGAATTCACCTACCGAGACGGCACACAAGGATGTAAAGTCATACGTCATTAACGGCAACACGGATCTCTACGGTCTCTCTCAATGTTGAGATCCGTTGTTTGACGGATCAATGGCTATTCCGATCCATTGGTGGCTGGGATGTGGATGTCTTCTTGTCAATAGCTTCCGCTTGTTCGCGCTAGTTTTTTTTTTTTTCTTTAATTAACACAACATGCACATTTTAACATAGGAGTGTGACGTTGACTGTGAGGTCTTCGCTACGTCTGACGACGCCTCAATGGGATTACATTGAGCGGAGACTTGCTAGGAGTGTAGCTGGGTCGCCATGCACCCAGGGTTCGTCCTTGACAGCGTCCAGTGCCCGCAAGAGCACCCGGAAGACAAAACACACAACAGCGGGAGCGGCTGCTGATGACGAATATGCTCGGTATTGTGCCGAGGATGTTGCCAACAGTCACCACTACAGGAGTAGACCGATTGACTGGTGGAAAATGAACAGGAACCGGTACCCGCGACTGTCTCTGATGGCGGTTGATATGCTCACCATCCCATCGTCTCGGCCGGGATTAGTTCTACGTTCGATCGAGTTCGAATCGAATTCGATAGATATCGAATCTACGGAAGACACGTTCAATTCGAGTCGAATCTACGGGACAAGAATGTGGCGTGTTCGATTCGATACGAATCTGCGGGAGATGTGTTCGATTCGAGTCGAATCTACAGGACAAGAATTGTGGCGCGTTCGATTCGATACGAATCTGTGGGAGATGCGTCCGATTCGATTCGAATCTACGGGGTCACATTCGATTCGAACGCCAAGCCTTGGCGTTCGATTCGATAGATTCGTAAGATGTCCATGCCTGATCCTCATGATCCCACCGGAACTGCCGGCCCCGTACTCCACACCAAACCCCGTACGGGCCGTCCCGATGGTGATATTTAATCGTTTCGAAGCTTGCTCAACGGCTTTTTAAACGAGTTCAGGTCAATATTTGGTACCTCCAGGAGAAAATGTTTCTTTGCGTTTGCCTTGGAAGAACATTTCCGCTAACTTTAGCGGTCAGCCCTGGGCGCTGAGCATAAGCCAACCGATCATCGGCCCATGGGCAAGCCACAGGCCCAGAAGTGTTGGTTCATCAAAGCAACTTGCATATGTGATATGTTATGATTGGCTCGCGGAAAGCCTCTTTGACAGGGGCCCGGCGGTAATAAAGAGGACTAACATTCCTCAATGAGGGGTAGAACTCGTGCTTAATTTTTAAATTCTCTCAATCAACAAGGAAACTCAGTACCGCTGTGAACCACCAGACGTGGAAAATGGCTGAACTAGATCCCGTTTTGCTGCCTGACGATGACGTTTGATCTCCCGACACCGTGAAATGTCTTCAGATCGACTAACTATGACTCAGGTCATCGACGATGGTGACTCGTCGCTTGGCGACGTAAGCATGTTTTGATTGCCCAGATGATGACTGTAGCTAACTTGACCCTCCCCGACAGGATGTCGCATCATCAACTCAGAGTCTTTCCAGCTCCATCCTCCAGTATCGGAAAGAAAATGGCAGAACGTATCATGCATACAAGGATGGAAGTTAGTTGAACGCGTGGCTTCAATCTGGCACCCGACCCATCTAACTACTGAACCTAGAATACAATCTTCCCAACGACGACATTGAGAATGAGAGACTAGGTACGTTGCGCGCGCAAATCGACAAGTATATTCATGCTCACTGTGAGAAGATTTGCAACATCATCTATTCTTTCTGACCTATGCCAACAAGCTCGGCCTCGCCCCCCCAAATGAAGCCGACTCAAAGGTCCAGCGGGTCCTTGACTTGGGGACGGGCACAGGTATTTGGGCGATGGATTTTGGCGACGAGCATCCGGAATCCGAGGTATGAGAATTCATCAAATGATTTACGCTCTGTCGCTCACGAAAAGCACCAGGTCACCGGCGTTGATCTCTCTCCCATTCAGCCCAGCTTGTAGGGCTCCGACTCGCGCTTCTTCGGGTTCAAGCTGACTTTCGACAGCGTTCCTCCTAACGTCCGATTCATTATTGATGACATCGACGAAGAGTGGACCTATTCGGAGCCTTTTGACTTTATCCATAGCAGAATGATGAACTTTAGCGTTGTGAACTGGACCTCATACCTCCGCAAGATCTACGAGTAAGTAACATTTGCGGTCTATCGCTAGTTGATGGATGTACTCATTCTCCTAGTAATCTGACCCCTGGCGGCTATGTCGAAATCCAAGAGATCGACATCAACATGACATCTGACGACGGCTCTCTCTCAGAGAACCACCCACTCTTCAAGTGGCGGAATCTCCTTAAAGACGCGTCCGTCAAATTCGGTCGGCCTTACGCCAACTTCGACGTCATCACAAAAGCCATGACCGAAGCTGGTTTCACCAACCTTGTAGACAGTCGTTTCAAGTGGCCCACGAACCGATGGCCCAAGGACAAGAAATACAAGGAGTTGGGCACGTGGAACAACGAAAACACCAATGCCGCTTTAGAAGCGCTGACGTTGGCACCGTTTACGAGAGCCTTTGGGTGGAGTCGCGAGGAGGTGACGGTCTTGCTGGCCGATGTCAGAAAAGACCTGAACGACCCGAAGGTTCATGCTTACTGGCCGATGTAGGTAAACTCATTCCCTGCCGTGAGATTTGTGTGCTAATTTCTGCCATAGTTGCTCGATCTACGCGAAGAAACCGGAAATATGAAGTGTTCACCCACTCGGTGGGCTGCTGTGGAAAAATTCCGTTGAACGCATCATTTTGCTTTCTCAGAGGAACGCGTAGTTGCTTCAAATTCGGTCAACGGTAGTGCTATTCATGAATAATGAAATTCCATACTATTTCTCTGCCTCACCTTCGGGTAGTGACAACAACTGGGCTTCTAGCATTTGGCTACTGAGGAATCAAGTCAACCGTTCCGACCCAAGGCGCAACCGTGAAGTTATGATAATAGTCGTCTCAAAGTGTTCCTCTGTTCGTAGTGCCCGCAACCTGACATACTCTGAACCAATACAGCGAGGATTTAGGAACAATGCAAACGTGCTCATGGCGACATGCCCAGCCTCAAAGTGTAGGATTAACCTGAGACAACGGCATACCAAATCAGACCCAACACAGCACCCATGACGATAGCAACCGGAGGGCTTACGCCAAACCAATAGCCTCCAACATAGCTCGTGGCGATCACGACAACCCACCACGGCTCCAATCCAAGACTGGTGCCTTGCTGGAATCCCTCATCTATGTATCCGATCTGCCAGAGGCGATAAACCGCGGTATAGATAAGCCCAACGGCAGCGGCATTGACGCCCCTGAGAAGCGACTTGACCCACCTAAGGCCACGAATAGCACTCCATATACCCATAGTACCATGGACCGTGATGAGGCCAGGAGCGTAGATACCGACAAAACCTAGAGCTGCTCCGGTAGCCGAGTTGTATCCACCGTTGATCGCAGTCAAGGCGCCGAGGTATACTGCAAAGTTGAAGTTCGGACCTGGGAAGCTCTGCTGGATAGCCAGCCCAATTAAGAAATCTCGAGGACTGACCCAATTCTCGGCAACGACATATTCGCGAAGGAGTGGAATGACAACCGGTCCACCGCCAAAGATGATCGTACCTGCGAGGTACATGTTGGCGAAGAAGCTGAACAGAAGCGACTTGATCGGCAGGAGGCTGCGCAGAACCATGATGACAACGAAGGTGATGAGGAAGAACACGATGAGTCCGAGACCGAATTCCCACGAGAAATTGAGGTTGCGCTCCGGTGGGACAACGCGGGGTTCCCCTTCGGCGGACGGCGGCGCGCGCTCAGTGAGAGGAAGAGTCGGCTGTGCCGTATTCTCATCCTTGCCTTGACCCTGCTGTCCCTCCGTCTGGTTCGCTCGTCTGGTAGAGGTGTTCTCGTGGCTAGTTTCCTGCTGAGGCGGCAGTTCGATGTTTTCTTCCTCCGGTGCCCGACGCCTTTTCCCGGGATTCCTCAACGTATTGACCACCGCCTTGACGGGACCATGAAGCCAGCGGAAGTCGTGGACGATGGCAACGATTCCAGCGAGGAACATAAGAAGCGGGAAGTACCACAGAGCGTTGTACAGCATGCCGGCGGCAGCGCCGAGGAACACGAGGATACGCGTCATCTTGTCTGTGATGGCCTTTTCCGACAGTTGGACAGCAGCGAGGGCGATGATACCAACGGTAGAGGCATTGAGACCAGATAGAAGTGCGTAAACAGGTTGAGGAAGAGACGTTCCGATGTTAGAGACGCCGATGGATAGGCCGTACATTCCCAAAGCTCCGGGCAGGCTGGTCATGTTGGGTCAGCATATTACGTATCCCAGTTGGTGTGGATCGTCATAGTGTCTTACCTCCAAATAAAGAAGCCCAGTGCGGCAGGGAGAAAACCATCGTGAATGAGGTTAATACAATAGTGCATCTTTGTACTGCCAGGGCCAGAGAAGGCCTGGCACACACTGAAGAGCTCCTGATACTGCTTATCGCTCAGCATACCGCCAGGCACAATCATCACACTGAGATAACCTTACCACTTGCTCGTCGATCCATTGTAGCTTCCTCACAAACTTGTCATGAAACTAGGTCCAGGTAGTTAGCAACAGTCCACTCCAAAGGCATGTCGCCGACCCAGTTGGCGCTACACCGTAAGGAATGAGGCTAGACAAACTCACAATCTTGAAATGCACTGGTGGTCCTCCGAAGGACGTGAAGCCGAGATGGTAGTTCTTGCTGATAGTATTCCAGAATCTCCCGCTGAGGTCCGCTGGATGCCAGCCTTCCCATCGTCGAATAGCCATTGCTCAGGGTTCCTCAAAGGCTCGCGCGTGGTCGGACCACACACTCAACTTACGACCTGTTTTCGACACCCGCTTCTCCTTTGCGATGGATCTTCTTGAAGGACAGCGACGCCTAGGATACGAAGTGCGAGACGTCCTCGAGCAATCAATTGGCCACCGCCTCGTCGCATTCAAGCACTCTTAACCACGGAAAACGAAGAAAAATTGTATTCGCGGCTAGGTCTGTAGGTTTTGAAATGATCTCCGTCAAGTGTCCGCCAAGCAGAGTGACGACAGTGGCATGGGATCCTGCTCGGTGTCACCAATGACGTGCCGTCTTGCATGGCACGTGGGCTTGGCAACGGTCCTGTAGTGCCTATTTAAATTAAATGAGATGGTGTTAGTCACGCCGGAAATTTTTTTCGTCCCCGAACAGTAGCAAAATGGGCTTTTGCAGCGGGAATCAAGTTCCTCTACACTCCTTGGCTGCGCCATCGGATATCGCGGTAAGTGCTTGGTGGATGGTAAACGGATTGATTCGACATTCAAAACATGTCAACACCATACGTCACGCTTGAGAACTGCGTTGCGGAGCGACCACCATCGTCAGCGGGATTACCTCGGATACAAGTCGGGGGCAGGGTGGGGGCCACCTTTCCGTAGACCAGCTAACCAGACGTAGAGTAGTTGACGAGACTTTGGAAGCAATGGATTGCTGAAAGATGGCTGAAAGGACGTCCTCGGCGTGCAGGGCACCCTCACGATCGACTTCCGGCAGGACCTCCCGCGCGGATTGACCTCCTGGATACGTATATGAATAGTCCGAAGGCCGGGTCGGAACAGTTCTCGTGTGTCGCGATTCTGAAGTTATCCTGTGTCGAACGTATGATGGAAGGAAATTTATCTATTGTTTTCGGTCTTTGTCTGGGAATCTTCTCGCAGTATCTAGTGCCGTTGTTCTTTATCCAGCTTAACAAAGGGATTGTGATGTGAGGCTCGTCAGATTGGCTCAATCAATATTCGGGGAGATCTGCAACCGCTTGCTTGACCGTCTCGAGACACCTTTCTACGGACTCGCTGCCGGCAGCCATCCGGTTCTCGTCCAGGCCATCGAAGACAAGGGTGCACCCAGGCACGGCCCAGACAAGCTCTCGGAAGACGTCTGCTCGCGTCGCGCTGCGCGCGTCGCCCAATCTCTGTTGGGGTTACTGTCACGGCGATCGTGCCGGAGATTTCGGCTCAAACACATAAGAACCTGAGTGGGGTGCGATGATCAGCTCACATGATGACCGGCTCTGGTGCTGTGTGTTGGTTGTGTTGGTTGTTGGTTGTTGGTTGTTGGTCCGTATGATCGGTCTTCTAGCTACGAAAGGAAAGTTGCATCACAGAATTACTGCATAAATTAGGCGATGGGAAATTGCGGTCCATTTGGTCCGATTTCCATCTTGAGTCCAGCGAGGGGCACAATGACAGAAATATAATCAAGGAAGGGTACTTAAAACGCGAGGGAGGGACGTTCTCTACTATTGCCTTTCCAACAGCTCGCCTTGACAGTACACTGACTGACCAATGCACAATGAATACCGACGACCAGGTTATTATGACCATGGCAGCACAAACTGGTGCAACGCTCAGAACTCTCCTGGAGGCGAAAATTGTCGATGTCTGTGAACGCACACTTGCTGAGCGTTTGACTGATATTAATAAAACGATTGACGTCTTGCAGGTGAGCCTCCAGTCAACTGCCATGAGCCTGGATTCTATTCATGCCCAACTAAGGACCCAGCCTGTCGCCTCCGCACCCGCATCGTCTCTGGACATCGATTCCTCCACCCTTCATCGGAAGTCGGGTAGCAACGAAGCTGGTAACATCGTCCCACCGGTCAGGCCTATGGCATCCCATTATCACGTCCTGGGGGACCAGTCAAACGCATCCACAAGGGAGTCCTACCGTCTCCACACAACGCAGGAGTCGCCGCAGACGCGCGCGACTTGCGGCCGCTTCCAGATACTCTACGACGCAAATTTGCGATGATCAGCAGGTGTTGCAGCACCTTTCTGGGTTGAAAACCCTCACTCAGGAGCTGGGTATCTTCAAAACGACCCCGCCATCTCGGGGCCAGTCACGCCCCCCTACCAATCGGTCAAATAGACGACTCCAGGCGTTGATGAGCCGAGTGCTCACCGACTCGCAATCTTCCAACACTACAACGCGGGTTGTCCAGAATACAGACAAGCTCACCGTTGTGGCTCGATCGGACCCCGAACGCGGGACTGGGTATCTATTTAGTGTTTAGATCGCACGCCGACGAATTAAGCTGGGGACAAAAGGGCGTCAGATCGCGTCGCCTTTGCGGAGACCCGCCCTCTTGACGAGGCCAATCTGTTAGGGAGTCTGTTTCCAACGGGCAGGAGGAAGACAATTATCATAATCATTCAACACAAAAAAAAAAAAAAAAAACTGCTCGATTCCTTGGGATTTGCTACCTGTGTCATGTCGCCTAGGTTGGAATTCTCGTGTGCATTGGTTATAACGAGCGGGTATTGGATACAATGACAAACATTGTATCATAAGGGAACAGGGCGTCGCCCAACTTGTGCCGGGATTACTTCCTCTCGTGGTCTGGTGCGCTCGGACCGCGTTTAGTGTCATCCCCCCGAGCGCTTTCTGCGCACGATATACAGACGTAGCTGCGGACTGATCGCCAGGCAAGCCGCGTCGCCTCCTGTGGAGTATCCTCAGCCGAATCCCAACTCAGAGGTGTCAGCTGTTGCTCAACGATACCCGAGGCTGTTCAATGCTTCTTTACATACAGTAACAAGATGACAAACTGAGTGACGATATGTACATAGCATCCCTATTTACCCCCGTCCATTTGATCAGTGTGTTGGCCCAGTCGGATCTATGTCAATCATCAGTATGCAGCAACCACTACATTTGCGGCAACAATAGCGCAAAGAGGCAGCCAGCTAATGCTTGCGCGCCAAGCTGGAGAATCCGTCTCGTCGTCGCCCGTCTCAGTTGACCCAGCCGCACCGCTCGTATCTGTGGCAGTAGTCCCGCTCGTAGTCGTGGTGGTAGTAGGTGCGCCCGTACACCCGTCGTCCCGAGGCTCAGGCACCATGCCGCTGTCGCAGGTGGGCTGAACTCCCTCCGTTGCCTTTCCTGCCCCCGTCAGGCCCTCTGGAACGGACTCGAGCGTGCAATCCATCAGCCAGCATTCGCGGCATTTGTATTGGTAGAGAGCCAAAAGACAGGCATCATTCAGTCCACAATTGGAACGGCAAAGTTGCTCGTTCGATGTTATAGTGTCGCTAATCACGCCCTTCACAGCATGGCCTGACCATGGCATAATTGCCACAACTGTTATTATGGAGAATAATGAAGCGCGCATGCTGGGCTTGCAGATGTAGTTGTATCAGAGTCAGAAATAGAGCTAAAAGAATAGCTTAAGGGCTTTGAAGATCGCAAGCCAGGGAAATGTGGTGGTTAAATATGGCGCATATAGGGGACTCCGACTCGGCATAATTTACTCCGTCTTACGGAGGTGCGTTTCAAAAGTTTCTGCTCGCGCAGACGCTAAGATCAGCCACAAACAGGGATAATGTGATCGGCGAATGTACCACCCAAAATTCTAAGTACCCTTCCCCTCTTTCATATTTCCTGTTTATCTCTCATCCTGACCGCCCCCTCAACAGCAAATATGCCAAGGACCGATATTGCGACTCGGGCCCTTGTGGTCTGCCTCAAGAGCCCTACCGGCGGGAAAACAACAGCTGAAGTTGCAGGAATAACAGGGCTGTCAACTCGTACGATCAATGACATCTATTCCCGCGCTATCAGCCGTGGATTTGATCCCAACCTTCGACCTATGATTCTACATGACGAATATGTCCGCGATGCCCCTGCCTCCGGGCGCCCTAGGAAGCAGACAGACGAGACACAAGACCAGATCCTCACTAAGGTTCGCCGCGATCGATTTGGGAGGGAAAAGACGTGTGCTGATATCGCCGGTGAACTGAGCAGCGATGGGATCGAGATCTCAGCCATCACTGTCTGGCGAATACTGAAGAAAGCGGGATTCCGGAAGACAAAGCCGACGAGGAAGCCTGGGTTGACGAAGAAGATGAAGCAGGCACGTCTCGCTTGGTGTCTTGAGAGGCGTCACTGGACCCTGGAGGACTGGAAGAATGTCATTTGGTCTGACGAGACTGCTGTTGTTCTGCTCCATCGGCGAGGAAGCTATCGAGTATGGCGGAAAGCGGATGAAGCATTTGTTCGAAGCTGTATACGGGAGAGATGGAAGGGGGCGTCTGAATTTATGTTCTGGGGCAGTTTTTCTTATGATAAGAAAGGTCCTTGCCATTGCTGGAATCCAGAGACAGCAGCTGAGAAGAAGGCAGCTGAGAAAGCTGTTAAAGAGATGAATAAGGAACTTGAGCCGCTTCTAAAAGAAGAGTGGGAAATCTCGAATGGAATGCGGCGACTACATCTACGTCAGCTGCCGGGCCCGAAGCCCGTCTGGCGATGGAACAAGTAGTCCGGAAAGCTGACGAGAGGTTCCACAGGCGGTATCGACTGGTATCGCTATCAGAAGACGATTCTGATCCCGAAGATGTTTCCTTTTGCTTTGGAATGTGCCAAGGACCGGCCGGGTACAGTTGTTCAAGAAGATAAAGCTCCTGCCCATAGTCACTATATCCAGCAACGGATCTATGATGCAAATAGCATCATGCGGCTGCTATGGTGTGGGAATTCCCCGGACCTTAATGCTATTGAGCCGGCTTGGCCATGGATGAAGAGACGGACTACGAGGAAGGGAGCCCCCAAGTCACGGCATGATGCAGTTATTGCTTGGAAAGCTGCTTGGCAGGAGTTGCTGCAGAAAGCTATTCAAGCTTGGATTGAACGTATCCCTCGGCATATTGAAGAAGTCATCAGATTGGAAGGAGGAAATGAGTACAAGGAAGGTCGGACAGGGGTGTAGGTACCTTGGGAATCCCACTATACATTACACATACAAATTTGCTTCTTCCCGCGACACTAGTGTCCCTAGCGCGAGCAGAAACTTTTGGAACGCACCTCCGTACCTCGAATACAAATGCGGGCCGGTAATTATCGCAAAATGCTACTACAGTGGGAGGCAAAAGGTTTGAACCCCTTGTCGGGTCACACACGACGGCCCCGGTCAGCAGCTAGGCTCAAACCGGCCCTTGTTATGATGCCGCTTTTGAGTAACAACAGCGCCCACCAGTAGTGGAGACACGACCCCGCTGAGCGTCGCTTGCCGAACGGTTCTGCAAGAAAACTTATGGAACATTCCAGAAACTGGCTGACTAACTGCTTTGCACATCACAGTGATTCCATTGAAAAATAAGAAATAAACCTTGGGGGGAATGATGCTGCTTTTATATCATGCAAGCAAGACTTGAGTTCGAATCATGCGGGGTGCATTGGTAAATTAATTAAAGCGTCGCTTGTAGTATGCATGAGGCGCTTTCGTACATTCCGCGCAATGATTGGCCCGACACAGTACATCGCTATTTTGGGAGAGAGGCAACGGCTGATAGTGAAAATGAGCACAAGAATCTGTTCAATGAAGGCGCTTGCTCCCGTTGATGTCCGCGGTCAGCGGTCTCCTAGCGCTGCTGTGGGGCATAGTGCGTCGTGGACGCGTTGGGTCGCTCACTACTTGGTGGTGTGTGTCACACGCGTAGCACGATCGTCAAGACCTGTCCCAGATTAGTGGGCACGGGACGGGTCGCTCGGCCCTTGACTCGTCCTGGCTACCAATCAGCACGAAGTGTTCGCCATCGCAAAGAGTGTGCCAAGACAACCAGCTGAAATCTAAGAATAGCAATAATACCGGTAGCCTGCAGATCTCGACAAAGGAGGGGTCATGATAATTGTATCCACCACCGCTACATAGCAGCCTGGAGTTCAAGCCATCTTAGAACAGAGAGCATAAGGTGTCTGTTTCGAAATGTATGCGTCAGATCGAACACCAGGCATCCGTTTGGACAAAGCAGCATACATGAACAACTAGCTTCTGGTCTATTTTTTTGCATACCTAAAGTCCACTATTATCCTCTTGGTCGATGTACCTGCCCCCGCAGACCAAAGCTTGAACCTTTACTGGCGCCCAAGGATATTCCGTAAGACGCGACGCGGTTCACCAGCTTCTGCCACGACCTCAGCCACGTGGCTGAAATTCTACTCAGAACTAGGCAGACATTGGCTGGGTCTCTAAGGGATTCTCATGAAGATGTGTACCGGTATTTTGCTCTTGCCGTCGAGCCAATCGCGCGACCCAGCGGAGCCGGGTGAGCTCTGTCGGAGCTGGCTCACCCGCCCCACCCTTGAGGGTGAGCCAGGCATCCACGCAGGTCTTAGCGTGAGGCTTAGACGTAATCAATTTCTGCGATCGCGCATTGCCTCACTTGATTCGCTTCTCCGTCACGTCACGGTGGTTGCGTAATTTGAACGCGTTTGAACGCGTCGCTTGCATTCTCGTCAACCACCACTTCATCTTTCCTCATCTTGAAAGGACATTCCCATTGCCAAGACCATCGACTATCGACTTCTCTTGCATCATAATTGACTACGATTCGCTTGCTCGCTGAGTGAAGGCATCTTTCGCCACATCTTTTGTCAACTACCACGGAATGCTTATTGACCACAGCAGATGTAGACCCCGACAACGGCTCCAGCGATTGCGATACTCTGGTAGAGACACTCGAGTACGCACGCGATGTTCCTTGAGCTGCCGGAAGGCATCCCTTCCCACGCACGCCACCCAACCGAGACGATGGAACCATGACGGTGCTTGCAGCTATTCCGCTTGCGGAGGACGACCAACAGTCTCTCCTCTCCGACCTTTCACGACCATTCACGACCAAGGAGAGCTTTGTTCGATCCTGTTCCGCTTCACTTTACAAAATCCGCCGTCATATTTTTCCTGTGCGAAAGGGCGCTCGACCGTCATTGAAGGTTTGGGCGGACATAGCATGCGTGGGCTTGCGCGCCCTCGACATCATCGATGGTGAAGGCGGGAACAACGGGAAGATAACAGGTCGGGGTGGGGGGGAATGAACATCACTGGCGTGGGTCTCTATCCGGTTGGGTCTGACTGAGTCGTGCACAAGCGACTGGCTGTTGAGCATCGGATTTGCTTCCGCGACCAAGGCCACCTGACACGTTATGGACTCGGAGGATGGCCGCAATGCGAGGGGATGACCCTTGAGGCGCTTTCGGCCGGTTCCTGGGCCGATCAACGTGGGGGCATAGTAGGACATAACGCGCTGAGGACAAAGCCACAGGTGAACCAGCGAGAGCGAGGGGTGGCACGGGCATCGCGGGGTCCATTTCAGGCAGAGCGAAGCGCATCTAACGACGGCAGCAAGAGAACAGAACGCATTCAAGAATCGCCCGTCGCCATGCAGTCGTTGTACGGATCAAGCCCAACGCTCCCATTGGACCTCTAGTCCTGCTCCTCACTGGCTCTCAGGAGGTAGAGTCCAAAGACATCGACGCAGCAGACGAAGCCGAACCTGGTAAGCCAATGAAGAGACTACCGGCTAACGGAGCAACCAGTAGCCTCACATACGGCCGGCCTCGGCCACATCCATCCGTCCGTCGCCTCGCGGAGGATGAGAACGAACCTGACGCAAGGAGGCCGCTTCTAATGGTTTAATGTGAGGTAAAAAAGAGAATTCCTCGCCCATTTGTGTTTACTACCTGGTCTCAAAGAAACTTACGAGTGCTCGCATCATGTGGTCAAGTCTACGGAGTCCTGAGCAGCCTCAGAGCAGCGTCTTAGATTCGGGTGGTAGTGTTGCTAACCTTCTACTTCGACGTAGGGGACACCGCGAAGCCCCGACTGCGTAACCTTGGTGCGGCCTAGTCTCGAACTTCCTCCTTTGCAGTTTTCCTTCCAATGGCCGGTCCCAATCGCACAGCTCCAAGGCGGACGTCGGATCGGGACAGGGCACCCGAAAGTGCGCACATGGACTCCTTTGGAACTCGCAGGAGAGCGACTTCCAGATGGCCAAGGAAAGCACCTGCATCCGGCTGAAGTAGCGTGGCCCGCCTTGAGGATCTTCGTCAGGTAGCTCAACACGGAGCACATCTACCCCAGACCACACACGATCCATCTACGGAGGGCTTCGTTTGAGCCGCCTGAGCAAGGTATACCGTCTCGCACTGGAAGAATCCAACTGAGTGAGCCTGGGTCAAGGTTAGTGTAAACCATTCTGCCAGAACGATTGCACTTACGCCGGATTACGGTGTGGACTGGGTGGGAGGGGATTGGGCTCACCTGTGGGATCGGGGGAAAGGCAAGCGCTGGTACTGAGGTGTTAAGGGACGAAGAGGAAACTGAAAACACATAGAGGCTACTTCTCCGCAATTCAAAGCTGAGCGCTTTAGAAGCGTACGGGTGTCATCAGACCATTTTGAGAAGACGCAGCCATTCTTGATCAACCAGGAAGTTTAAGATGTTAATGCTTAGTGGAGGCCCGGAGGTTGCTGGCAAATTTCGGCGCAAACACAGTGAACGTTTCCTGATCGAATATCCTGATCGAATATCCTGAGGTACCGCTCGTGACGCTGGGTAATTGCAATGCCAATGGCAAAATGGGATTACTCGAAGCAGGAGGTTAGCCACTTACTCCTCGGCCTGCCGTTACAGGAGGGCTCACGAACCTGCCTATACGTTGACTGCCGTAATCCTGACAGGCATTCCCGCTCCCTGCGTATTGACGGCGATGAGGTTGACGAGGCCCCCAACGTCTACGAAAAGTACTGTCAACGCCCAGAAGCCCTAAAGGACCTGACCTACGTTTCCTTCCTCAAATACTGGAATTTCCGCTCTAGGGACCCTTCCACGTGGAAGCAATGGCAGCCAGGCAACGTTAACGGCAGGCCTCGTGTATTGGTTTACTTTCCTCGCTATCAGGCTGATCCAGAAGGACAGCAGGGGCCAGATTACTGCCGTGTAAAGCTAAAATTAAACCACCCACATCGCCAGCTTGATGAGCTCCTCACATTTGACGGCCAGCTTTTTAGTTCTTACGTTTTGGCCTTCTCCTATTGTTGGCAGCACCACACTCATAGTGATGACCATTACGGCCGGCCAAAAGAGGCTCGATTACAGCCTCAAGAGGATCAATACGAGGCTCTGCCTGTGGAGGAAGAATTTGATGACGAAGACTGGATTCGCCTCGCCGCTCTTTTACCTGACAACCCCCTTACCCAGGAAGGTCTTGACCTACTTGGCCGCCGCGATATCGACGTTCATTACGACTGGACACGGCATGTAGGTACTTATCCGGAACTTCGAGACAGCTACTGGAAAGACCCAGTGTGAGAAATAGGCGGTTCAGTCCAGTGCAGACACCCTGGACTGGACCGCCTATGTAACAGGAAGCACTGGACTGGACCGCCTGCCTTAATTGGACTGGTACCAAGGTCAAACTAAAACTTGGTATGGCGATGAAGTTTCGGTGTTGTTGTGCCTAGGGTGGCTAGCGATAAGGTCTTTCCAGTGTGGGAAATAGGCGGTCCATAATGGGCTCTTGGACTGGAAGCCCTAGCATGCTCTTTTCATCGATAACAAGATATTTGACGTGCCGTAGGCGAGACTGAAGGGCGGCTGCGTCGGCTGGAGGAAGGTTGGCCCACACTTTTGTCATCCATTTTTTTTTCGGAAGGTAGTAGTAACGATGCAAACTCTATAACATTTCCCCCACTTAGTGCTATGAGCAGCCCGTTAGCTCCATGCTTGAGATCCTATCGTGACCCAAATAGCACAATGGAAGACCTTTTGAGAGTTTACTAACCCAGTCTATGGTGAACTCTAGTAGAATTGGGTTTGTAACCCTAGAAAACAGGGGGTTAGTAAACTCTCAAAAGGTCTTCCATTGTGCTATTTGGGTCACGATAGGATCTCAAGCATGGAGCTAACGGGCTGCTCATAGCACTAAGTGGGGGAAATGTTATAGAGTTTGCATCGTTACTACTACCTTCCGAAAAAAAAATGGATGACAAAAGTGTGGGCCATTAAACTATTCATAGAACATGGATATCGAGCGGTGACAGGATTAGGCTCAAAGTTGTCCCGTATTATCACCAAATAACTGGGGAGGCATAACGGTTTCCTGTTGTTAGTTACGAATTCGCTCAAGAATCAAGTGAATCAAGTAAAGGTCTTACATCGAATATTCTCGCTACAAAGTTAGGAATCGAGTTATTCTAAACGCAGTACGCAGGCCGATGAAGCAAAGAAGAGATATAAAGGGCGTCACTTGTCTTCATGCATACTGCCTCTTTTCTTACCCATCCACTCAACTCCCTTTTAACACCCTTGTCCTTGAACCTTTACCACTCTCAAAATGAAGATTTCTTCTATCCTCGCCTTCTCCTCCATGGCCCTCATCGGCGCCGACGCATGGAGCTTCACCGTGTGGACCGAAGATTACCAAAAGGGCAAGCACATGCACTTTAAGAGTATGGTCGCGGACAACAACTGCTACCCTATCCCTGATCAAATCACAAGGGAGCGCGTTGGATCCTTCACTTTTTGCAGCGCTGCCTGGACTCGCTGCTCGATTACAATCCACAGCAAGCCTGGTTGCATTGGTGACAAACTTGGCAGTGCGACGGCCGGCTCTCCCAAGGAATGGTACAAGAAGAGCACCAGCAAGGAAGGCTCCTATATGAAGAGCTTCAGAATCCAAGGCTGCAAGAAGGTCCCTATCGCGGACCTGGACGTCGACGTTACCAAGTGCTTGGATGATCCTTCTTATATTCACTAAAGGAACAAATGTATCGGGCGAGAGCCTCTCGGAGGGGCTGGATATTTTCTTTCTGGGTAGGAGGTAGGACAGAAGGCTAGTTACACGATAAGAAATGATTGCAAACTCCGATACCTATTTTTGGGGATAGATGGTGCTACGGGAAAAGGGGGAACATAGCAAACCTTATGTATCCTAGCTCTGTGAGCATGGGGTCGACGATATTTTAGGATGGATGCTGTCAAGATCAACCATCAATTCAATCAATTCAACTTGATCTCTATGTTGATGGAGTCAATCCTTCTCGATGGCTTCAACGTTGACAACTGATCTAAAATTGAGTGAGTGTGTGTGTGTATGTGTGTGTGTATCGTCCGTCCATTGGCCGTAGGCGACTCAGGTCCCCTTCAGGGGCACTGAAAAAGACGATTTAAATAACCAATCCCGCAATCACAACCCACCGCCCTGGATCAGCCATCGAGCAGCCTCCTGAGGCGGTCATGCCGGCACCCGTAGCCTGGACGAGGAATGACACAACATCGCCCCAGTCGAAAAGCTTTGTCATGATTGTGACCCTGACAATTGAGCAAGAGATTGCCGTAGTTCCGAGGCCTCGGATGAGGCGTCCAAGGGTCATGTAGATAGAACCGGCGAAGAGTGAGGGTGGGTCTAGCAGAAGAACAGATTGCACGATATACGGTCCGAGCTGATCTGTCGCATTCGTGGCAGCAGCATGTCCTGCGTAACCGATAGCCTCGACTAGATGTCAAGTCAAATATCAGTGACAGTCCTTGTAACTGAATCCAACGCCATTCGTCCAATGGCCCAATTCATGTCCTGCCTCCAGGTCTGACATGTTCTCAGACCTGACATGGCTAGTTTCTATACCTGATATGTCCCAATCCTGACATGTCCGCTTCCCAATCCTGACATGTCCCTAATTCTGACATGTTCGTTTTCTCGGTCTGACATGTCCGTTTCCTAGGCCTGACATGTTCCTAATCCTGACCGTCACGCAACTGAGTGACGATATGTACATAGCATCCCTATTTACCCCCGTCCATTTGATCAGTGTGTTGGCCCGGTCGGATCTATGCCTCGAATGTCCACTGCGTACGCAGGTACTAATGCAAAACAGATCGCATATCGCATCTACATGATCCCCGACATTCACATCTGTCGAACTCGCAATTTCGCGCTGTAACTGCTCGATATCGAGGTACATCATTAACGGCGAAGGCACTAACAAGGAAAGTCGGAGTGGCGAGTGGCGAGCGCTCAGTGCAGGGCCACTTGATTAGGCGACACTCGAAAAATTTAACTAGGCTAAGGGGTACATAATAGAGTTCATGCGCTGAACTAGCTCTTTGATTGCTCCATGTTGCCAAAGATGAGAAGCAAAGACTGCGGCGAATGCTGTGGCGAAGCCTCGTTGCTGGTGACATTGTTGAGGGATGGTGCACTGGACGGTGTCACGGTCTTCTCGTGCTGAGCTTTCTCTGGTGCTACTTGGTTCCCAGGCGTGGATGAAGGAGAGCGCATGATGACTGGTAAATTTCCAGATGTCTATGTACTACTTGTATCGATAGCTTACGTACGAGTTTTATTGAGGAAAGAAATCAACAGCTATAGTATAGGTCAGGTCAGGGTAAGGTCACGTTGACTCATTCACTTAAATCTCGCCCTGGAGGTGGCGGCTCGTTTTCCCCAAGGAGGAGGATAAATCCAAACTCCACTATCCTAGCCCTGAGTTACAGGTTCATCCCCATTCCCTGGTTCATTGAGAGCCCCGTCACCAGGGTCCAGGGTCCACCCGACACCCGCATCCGGTTCCCCTCACGCCACGGCGCTATTGTAGCTATTGTCACATGTTTGTGTCCAAGAAAGCGACCTGCATCACAGGTCAACAGCAAGACAATTAGGGTATCTTTTGATGCTGTTCTTGTCTCCGCTTTTCCATTACTACTCTCGGAGCTGGATCGCGGCGTGAGGAAACTCCACAAGCAGCTACTGGAGCATCTCCGACAAACGTCCAACCACACTCCGGAGATCCCTGAGGCTGACAAGCCCCATCGTCTTGCAGAAACAGAAAGATACCGAGTCTGAACCTCGCTTCCTTGATGGAGAAAGTCTAATTGGGCTCGACGTGTTGGTCCTGGTTTTCTGTCTTGGTGTGCTAGGATCCGGCCAAGCGTTGGCTAAAACAATACATATATCTTTGGCTCTCCCCAACCACCCTTCAGCTCAACCTGATCAAGGCACCGGTGTCTCACTGCCGTGACGAAGCAAGGAAGAGGCCCTTGGGAAACTGTGCACTCCATCGTTTTGCAGCAAGCTTGCAGCCTTATCGAGCACGTTCTTACCCGCCCCATCTGCTACTTCGCGGATAGCATCAACCTGGCTTCAAGAAAAGTATCCATCGTGGAGCAAGAATCTCAATGACCACCTTCATCCATCCCTACCATCTGCCAGTGGGGGATTTCCCATTTGGCACATGCTTCGATGGGATAGCATTGACACCGTCCTCGTCAGGATGCCTGACCACCCTTCCACCCTATCGCATAAGCACAGATTCCCCCGCATCTCGAGGCAACATGGCTTTTCAACCGGCAATGAACCAAGTCGCCGATGCTTCTTTCTTTGACGAGACGATCAGCACCTCGTCGATGTCGACCCAGGTGGATTTCTGTTTTCCTCCATTCTCCCCCCAACAAGTCACGGAGGCGAAGATACCCGAGGATCCTAAGCCTCTGAAAGCCGTCTTGTTGACCGTGGAGGGTGAGCAGAAACCACCTTGCCGACCCCAAAATCCACCAAAATCCAAAAAGTCTCGGCCAAATTGGAAGATGATGTCTCTGAACCGACCGCGGATGAATCGAAAAGAAAGAAGCGTGATAGGAAGCCCAAAGGCGCTCGCAAAGGGCCCTCAAAAGCGCCTAGATTAGAGGACTCTGACGGTGAAGCCCATCCTAGGGATCCCCGCCGACGACGCATTCTTGAGCGCAATAGAATTGCTGCGACGAAGTGTCGTCTGCGAAAACGGGATGAAGTATCAGCACTCGCCTCCCGTGAGCAGGCCATGGAGGACCAAAACCGGGACTCGTCGTCAATATTCGATCAGCTCACAGCCGAGATCTATCACTTGAAGACCCAGCTGCTGCGTCACACGGATTGCAGCTGCGTCCTCATCCAGAAATACATTGCTCATGAGGCTAGAAAATCCGTCGACGGACTCCCGCCCTGTCCTTCGCCCTTCCAGGCCAATGTGGCGCCCTTGATTGGATATCAACGAGGCTCGAGTAGAAGCGTAGCAAGCGCCATCGATTCACATGGTATCCGTACCCCTGAGATGGAGAGTGTTCCGCCTATATGGACCGATCCATCTCAGCAGGACTCGGGCTCACCGGAAGTGGGGGTGGATATCTTTGACATGGCACTAGAACCGATTCAAAAGGAACCCATCCCAGAGTCATGTCAACCAATTTCGAGCATTCCGTCGATGCATGTATGCTGCTATCAGGGAACCTGCGTCGATACGGGACCCCAGCTGCAGCCATCGGATGGTGTACTTTGGGGATTGCAATGGGAATTCTGATGAAGTTGATTGTGGCGTTTTAGGTTATTTTTAGCGATATACGGGAAGGCGGAAAATCAATTACCCTCTCAAACACCTTCAAAGCGTCAAAGAATGGTCCCTTCCGTTGTGTGATGTTGAGCAACTACTTGTGATACCTGCATCTTGGGTTTTGGGTTTACCACATGGGGCCCTCGCTATTCACTCAGGCTAGGTGGCATGTCTGAGGCTTTCGTGGGGCAGTACTTGACCCCACATTTTGCTCATTTTGGACCCAGGTTCATGCTGTCGAGACCAATTCTGAAGAACCCAGAGGGCGACTAGCAGCCTCAAAAGAAGGCAATGCTCAAATCTGGCCTCGGTCTCCACTACGAGTGCCGCATAACTAGAACGTGCCTGAAGTTAAGACCCGTGTCAATTGGGCATATTTGACCGCTTAAATTTTTTTCTCAGGCCTTTGTCGGGCCCAAAGTTTAGTATTTCGTGTACGAATACTTGTCCGAATAACTACACATCTTTTAGTCCAATCGTGTCCGTCCCTTAGTAGCCTAATAATGTCGGACGTGCAGGAACACGCCACTCGAAACGAGTCTAAGTCAAAGGGAACTTAGGATCTTTCCCACAGAGCTCCACAAACACGACACACGGTGATGTCTATCCAGGCAAACCAAATAAGGACCCGATATGGTGTCGCAGCCGCCGTATTTGTCTGGATCACGCTCGCTGATTTCGTCACTTTGCCTAACACCTTCACCTAGCTTCGGACTTCCAGTAGTTTAAGCGAAAACAAAGGTGGTAGGATAGTCCAAGACACGTTCGGAATCTTCAACTGCTACCGTTAGCCGGCGTTTTCAGTTCTATTGGATTATCAGGTACTTGTTTTCCGTGGGTAAAGTGTCAGGAGAACTACATCTGGCTGGTCAGACATCTATTCCTGTAAGTGAGCCAATCTCTGCTGTTTCCATTTGCTCATCGGTTTTATTAGGCCGGGGTTGTCAAACTCTCTTATAGGACTGCTATCAACTTTTATGAACATCCTGACCACACAAGGCGGGCATGTCTCTGTGAACTGCGAAGATCACCATTGCTATTATTTCAGGGCTCTGTGGAATCATGCTGTGCAATGGGCTTTGGCCTTGGTGCCAAATAAAAATGATCCAGAATTCTTGGGCATATGACAATGATGACGGTGACGAACTGAGTCGCCTGTTCTAATGCTACATGAACGTAGCAGTCAACAATGTAACCTAAACCAATCATTCCTCCAACCCCCTCCATCTGGCACCCATCTTCAACGCGCATCCTTGCAGCTTGTCACCTCCACAGACTACCTGTGGGCACTGCGGCAGAACTAGATCCTAAAGCTCGGGCTTGGGCCACCCTCGAACTTGTTGAGAATAGCGCGGACCTATTACAGCTTTATGCCAAGTAGGCTGGATTCTGCCGAGGTGTCCTGTGCTTCACGACATCACATACAATGGCCAATCTCTTTCCTACTGTTCTTGATGAGCGAGTTGACTGTCCATTATGGCGACTCCTGCTCTCCATTTCATATTTCAGTTTGCCTTCGGTGAATGGTTCTACTGTATCCCGTAACTCATAGATGCAACTGCAACACCGTATAACCTTAATCCAAGGCTCGAACCAACTACACTGCATATCCACGTGGACCACATATAAGTGGCCCATCTCTATTACATCCACTTTGCCGCGCTCAGCTTACGTAATGATCCACTACATTCGGACCTGAAAGTGGATGTAATGGAGTGGATTTAGGTGGATTTAGGTATAGTGGGATATTCCCTGAGCTTGCACGGCCCATAGTACTTATTTTTGTATATAATTGCCTAGTAAATCGAGGTACCGAGACCCAAGTTAGCCAAGGTCGATCACCCCCCCCCCCCCCCCCCCCAGCTAATCTTATAAACGTCATACGAGAAACTGCCCCTATTGAGGCGTTTTCAACAGATTTCCTGCTGTTGTTTTTGCAAGAGATAATTTTTTGACGATGTCAGCCAACCAGCCAGGCCAACAGCACCACCTCGAAGACCGGCTTTTTCGCCATTTCAGAGGCTGGACTTGGTCAGAACGCGCTCGTGATACTAGCTCTTGGCTGTGGGACTTTGGCTATGATATTCAACGTCATGGCTTACGCAAATGGGCTTGCACGGACTGTGTCCTCAGAAATCGTCCCATTATCGCGAGTTTTACCTCTTCAGGTCTCCAGAACGCGGCAAATCATCTATGGCGTGAGCACAAAACACCAGCACCAGAGGGAGAGAAAAAGAGCACAGCACAGCTGAAATCCCAAGGCGCACTGAAATCGAACCAGCCGACTATTGCCTCTGTTTTGAAACTGGACGTCAACAAGCCTACGGAACAGAATATCGCGAATAGCTTCATCTCACGCTTTGATAAGCAACACTTTCAGCGTATGCTAGTCGAGTTAATCGTCAGTAGCAACCAGTCATTTTCCTTCGCCGAGAACCCCATCCTCCGAGAAATCTTCGACTATTTGAGTCCCTCCGTTTCCATCCAACACGCCAAGTTGACTGCCACGGCTGTCCGATATAAGATCATTCAAGAGTATAACCGCCACAAGCAGACGGTTATCGAGGTGCTGAGGAACTCCCCTGGAGCGCTTCACATCTCATTTGATGGCTGGACGTCTCGAAATAAGCTTGCCCTCTACGGCATTGCTTGTTTTTTCAGAGATGAGAAGAATCGGCCATGCAAAATCATGATTGGGGTTCCAGAGGCTCATCGTCACTTCGGCTCAACGATCGGTGGGGAGGTTCTCGACGTCCTACACACTCTTGGCGTGAGTCCAGAGAAGATTGGCTATTTCACGCTCGACAATGCTGAAAACAACGATACTGCAATGGAGGTCATTGGTGCTGAACTTGGGTTCGAGGGCCGACTACGCCGAGGACGCTGTATTGGCCACACAATTAACTTGTCAGCCAAGGCGCTCTTATTTGGCAAAAAGCCGGCGCGTTCGAGCAGCAATTATCAGGCGCAGAAGCGTTATCTGATACCGAATACGCTCAATGGCGCAAAAAAGGACCAGTTGGCAAGTTACATAACATCGTAGTTGATGTGCGTATTAGCCATCGGCTAATTTACTTATTCAAGGAGGTCCAGAGGGTAAGCGGTTTTCACTAAATCTTGTTCGTCTCATACTAATTTGGTATATCTAACAGGACGAAATTGATCAGCTAACGGATAAAGACTGGGAGGTTCTTTACCATTTGGAGGCTATTCTGACTGTTTTTGAGACCGTGGTAAAGACGCTTGAGGGTGATGGACGCATCCGCAGGCGTAAGCAAGGCTGGACTGGCTCCTATGGCAACATCTGGGACGTGGTGCTTGGCTATGAGTTGCTGCTTAACACACTGGAAGAATATAAGCAACTTGCTGCCGATTTTCCTGATCCAGAGCACTTCCGCATCGGAATCAACCTTGCTTGGGATAAGCTGGATAAATATTATCGGCGGCTGGACGAGACGCCCATCTACTATACGGCTATGGCGCTCCATCCAGCTTATCGTTGGGACTGGTTTGATGAAACGTGGGCTCATAAGCCTAGCTGGGTTGAAAAGGCAAAAGAGATGGTTGCCGACGTCTGGCTGTCCGATTACGCTCATTTCGAGGTTAGATCCAGCAGCAGCAGAGGCGACGACGAGCCACCAGCAAAAAGACCTCGGTTTTTCAATCCCTTCGAGAAGAACAGTCGTCTGCCAAGCTCAATACCAGCCTACGCAGCAGCTATTGTTGGTGACGAGTACCAAGCGTGGCAGACGGATCGTGACGCCAGCGACGTCAACGTTCGTGATCCAATTGGTTACTGGATCACTAAGCAAGGCAGATATCAATAGGATATCCAGGATGGCATTGGACTTCCTGACGATCCAGCCGATGTCAGCCGAGTGTGAGAGGTTATTTTCAGCTGCTGGCAAGATGGTCTCGGGGTTGCGTACGAACCTAGATGCTGAGATTATCGCCATTTGTCAGGTCTTACGCTCTTGGTACCGTGCTGGCCTTATCAAGGACCTGGATCCATTGCTTAAGTCACACCTCGAAAGTAAGCTGGATGCCGGCTGTGGGACTCTAAGCGATGACGAGCTGGCTCTTGCTGAGTCAAAATGGCTATTCGAGGGCGAGGACAGCGCTAGCGAGGTTGACGATTCATCACAGCAGCAAGAGGCTGAAGAGTTAGTGTCAACCTCTGAAAGTGAGGCTGAATAGGCGTCGACGAGGTTGTGAATAGCCTTAAAAATCCACTTGCAAAAATCCACTTATAAATCCACGTGTACATCCATTCCACTCCGGTCGAATATGTGTTACATCCACTATGTAATTGCCTAATAAATCGTACATCCACTCTACTTAGTCCAAAAGTGGAGTGGATGTAGTGGTTTCGAGCCTTGTCTATAAGTATCGCATCGGCGTTGTGTGAGTATTGTTTATCTTGTGCTAGTATACAGGGAGCGTAAAGTCCGAGGCAGGCAAGCAAGTAGTGACCGAATCAGGCTTGGAGTTCCAGAGAAAACCATTCCAGGCAAGAAAAGCAGGCGAAGCCCAATCTTGTTTAGTGGAAAATCCAAAAAGAGACAGCTGATAATTCGTCGTGATGTCGTGTGTTGACGTCGCGAATTCGCTCAACTGACATGGATGCGGCGAGATTCGTGCTTCTTAACCTTAGAGACGACAATGCTCAGGAGGCCGTCTTTGAAGCTGGCGCTGACAATGTCCTGATCTACGCCAGTTGGGAAGCTGAAGCTGCGGGAGAACTCGCCGACGCTGCGCTCAGTGAGACAGTACTTGGCCTTGTCGACTTGCTTCTTCTCAACCTCCTTGATCCATCCGGTGGGCTTGGGAGACGCATCCCTATCCTCAACCGTCGGTTGGTGCGATGTCTTGTGCTCCTCGCCGCCCCCAGTGATAGCACCGCGCATAGTGGTGTCTTCAACGAGGCCTGGAGGAGGGGTGCCAGAGGTGTAGGTCCGCTCAGTCTTTCCACGGATGACCATTGTCTGTGGCTCAGTGAACTCGATATGGACCTCCTCCCTGTTCATGCCAGGGAGTTCGCCCTGGAGCTCGTAGGCTTCGCCGGTCTCGCAGATGTCAAACTTGGGCTGCCAGTGAGGCAGTCCAGTGCGGCGACCGCTTTGGTCCTGACGAGAGTATTTATCGAAGTCATCAAGGAGCCGGAAGAGGGGACTGAATGAAACGTCAGAGTTGTAGAAGTTGTGGGGGAAGAAAGCCATTGTGCGTGTTTGGTTGGTAGTGGGCTCTAGAGATGTGCTCGAGGTTCCAAAAGAGTTCTTGGGGGAAAAGTTGATCTGCTCAAGAATCATTCCTCTCGGAACCCGGCTGCAGGCAGAAACAGCGTTGCAAAGCTATATGATGTGATTCCGAGCGTCATAGTGACGCGCACCCCGAACCTAATGCTAGTAGTGATGGCCAGAACCTACTGGATGGACGGACGGACGGACCGGACGGATTGGAGAGAAAGCGGGGTCATCAAGATCTCCTGCTCCTATCCCAAGTTCAACAATCTTGAGACATGCCGGGAACCACACGCGTTCCGTCAATTCCGCGAATCTCATGTTCAAGATGGAAAACCCTTTCAGCAAGGATATCCAGTCGTAATACCAAAAATGAATTAAAAAAATTACATAAAAGGCATTATTGCAGCCGCTCACAACAAACCACCTTCACAGAATCCGAGTAGAGGAATGTATTTTCCACCTCAATTAACATAACTAACTACTTCCTATCATTACACGCCAGAGTCCCGTGTTACTACTCTCTGTCAACTGGCCGTAATAGCCCTGACCTGACCCCTATGAATAAACTCCCCGACTAACCCTTTTTCCCGTGCCTCTTGTGTACCCCGGGCACAGTCCTCACTGCCACAACGGAATTCTGCCCGGTCTCCGCGACAGCGTGCGCGACCACGTCCTCGCCAAACGGCCACTGGCCGGCCATCTCCTCGCTCTCACGCACGTCGTACTCAACGAACTGCTCCGGATCGAGGCACTTGCGTGCAGCCGCCCATGCATCGGCACGGTGGACATAAGACCCCTCAATCTCCGTCGACTGCACCGAGCCCGTGCGGTCCTGGTTGTAGTCGATTGTCGTCTGCAGCACGTAGTGTAGCAGGTCGGCCCCCTGAGGGAGGACTACGGCGCCGTCGGGGCTCGCCGACAGCGACTCGTTGTTGGGGGTGGTGTCGATTCCGATGAGAAACACCTGCCCCGCAGGCGCCCGGGCGAAGACAAGGACGCCGTCGCCGTGAATCCACGGCTCGGCCGAGCGCACGGCGTACTCGGCGAAGCCATTTGGCTCATACTTGAGTCCCTGAAGGGCCGAGGTAGCGAAGGCTTTGGAGGCTTCGAGGGTGCTGTGCGTGCCGAGGACGTAGACGGAGCGCGTGGCACCCGAAGGGTCCTCGTGGTAGTCGATTACGGTGAGGGTTGTGTGGTGAAGGAGCTCTGGAACGTTGTTGGTCGTCATCGCGAGCGTTAGTGTAGTATTTCTAGAGTAAATTGTGTTCAATGCTTCTGGCAAACAATACTGCTCGTCGATATAGTACAGTGGAAGAAAGGGAGCGAGATGATATCAGATGTTATATGAGAAACCTTGAAACTCTAACACTACTATCGTGTGACCCGTCACACCATGTTTGTTCACATGCAAGTTACCAAGGTGCGACCCCTGTCTCATCACATAGTCATACCGTGGGATGTCCCGACAAGGGAGCGTGACGAAAGCTTAATCAGGTGAGGGTGGTGGTACGGCGGGAGGGAAGTTTCGCGGGGGTCAGAAACAGATCATCAGACATCGTTCGTAGACTTGCTTAAGGTTCGATTCATCTCGGTTCAGAAACTCCTAGAGTTGGGCGATTGGCTGCCGATTTGACGCGCCGGCTTAGGTTTCAATCACATGTCTCACCTTGTCACTCACAAAGAGCATAGAACTTGATTCTAGCGTCACTTCTGTGGGGCATACGGGGCTCTCCCGTCAGGTCATTGTGGATAAGCGCGCGGACCAGTTCAGGGCCGCATTGACAGGCCCAAATGAAGCCAGTGTTGCTAATAGTAGGGCAATAAAGTAGTATATTGCAATATACCCCATATGATATGGACTTTCTCATATTGTAACAATATAATATGAAGATTTTGATATTGTGACAATATAATATGAGGATGTCCATATTGGCAATATATTATTTATATTGGGTTGTCAATCCTGGGGCGAATTCACCTCTTGACGGTAGCCAGACAGGCCTTACCCTGTACCAGCCACAGGGATACTTGGCTTTTTATTGGCTGGCATTCACTTCGACACATGTCTTTGTTGACAGTCATTCCTAACACGCGACCACGCGTTTCTTCCACGCGCCAGGGAAGGCATAGCCGGTACGGACCACTACGGATGGATGGATGGATTTTATTTCGCCCGGAGGGAAGTCCCTATAGGGCCTTGACACAATCTAGTTCACATTTCAGTACATTTAGTACCTGACACCCCAAGCCCCACGGATCGTCGTCTCATCGCTTGCTGCTCAACCTCGTCGCTGCTTGTTCCATGACAGGCCTGCTACGGATGGATGGATGGATTTTATTTCGCCCGGAGGGAAGTCCCTATAGGGCCTTGACACAATCTCGCAGGCCTATAGGGCACACTGTTGCAAAACTCCCTGTCAGCTGTCTTTAGTGCCCATCCCCCACTATTAGGCCAGAAATGACCCCACACCTTACTAATCCAGATACTTCAGCATAAGTAGTAAGCAGGTACTGCGGACCAGCTGCGGGCCCGCGCGATTCGTATCCGTCCAACCTGCTGTTTGAATGCTACGACGTGGCAACGTGCTCCCGTGATGTTGTAGAACCTCGATCTACACAATACGGTCCAAGCTATTTAGTTCTTTCCAAGCAATCACTAGCGAACTATAAGGCATTGTAATCAACCTGATTTTCATTTGCTATGGTTGTAAGTCGAAATGGCCGCTGTGCCGGATGTAAACTCCCGGTACTTATCCAGCCTTCAAAGTGGCCTCAACCTCCAAATTTGACGGCGCTGTGGACGTGTATATGCCAGTGTCCCTTTCACAATAGCCTCAAATTTTCATTCAGAGACTCAAATTGCGATCCCCATTTGAGCTGGTATTTTTTTTGCTCAAGGATTCTTCACACCAGGTGTCAACCGCCTATGTATGAGCACACAGCTTGGTAAGCCAGCAGCGGCTCAGCGCAGTGTTCCCGAGTCGGGTCAGCAGAGGACTAGCGTGGCGATCTCACGCTCAAGAGAGTCTAGTGATCACCATTCATCGTAGCAAAGGGCAACATTGTTATGTTTTGTAAACAATAAAATCTCGTTCCCAATGTCAACTTGTTTCATTCTTTGCTTCTCTTGGCCCAAGGTCTCTCCTTAAACAGAATGGAACCCCTAGACATTCCCCCTGAGTATGTCTACTGCGTCAAAGCCGGGAAGAAACATCATGATCTCTTTACCACGATATACGCTGGCGAAAACTATTGTGGCCGTTGCGGTTTAGCCAACCCCTTTCAATCCCAAGGTCGGGCCAGGTCCAGAACTCCAGCCCTTCCGGGCCCCTATGATGAGGTGGTTGAGGTCGAAGACTCTCCGCCACAGCCAGCCAGTCCAGCAAGTCAGCTTATGCGTGACAGACCAAAACCAGTATCGTCTTCCGGTATTGGGTACGCGCAACTACTGCCCAACAAGGTGCCTGTCTCCAATGGAGTGACTGCGAATACACGGGCACGCCTATATCCCTCTAAGCCGGCAAGCGATACTCCCTATCCGCAATTCATGGCGGTCGCATCGGCGGCCAGTCAGGCCATTCAAAACACCAAAGGCAGCACCAGAAAGCCTAAGCGGCAGCGCACTGGCTACCAATGGGTCCACATCAGTCTCCTGCTCGTGAGCTTGGAGACCAGGTACTTCAATGGCCTTGCGATAGAGGTCCCAGAGACGGTGCTGCCTCTAAAGGATACAGTGATCAAGTTTAGCGCGGCCGACCTCCTTACCTGGCCTTCATTCACTCGGGTCTTATTTGAGCACCTGCGTCCACTCCCAAGCACCATCGATCCAACCAACGAAGAGCTTTGGAACCTTTCTTACGCTTCGTCCTTTTCTGGCAAGAAAATCGTTACCGTTCCCAACACCGATAAGTACACGACGCCGTCAAGCATGCTCGCTTCTGGACACTTTTCGAACAACCAATCTGGGCAGGTAAAGGTGCTCGTTGTCCTGACATCGACCGATGTCGTTGACAAGCAGGAGCCAATCACCCCGCTGAGGCCAGACGAGCACTTAACGCCTGTCAGGAAAGACAAAAAAAGGAAGGTCAAATAGGAGGACTCAAGCCCAGAGCTGAAGAAGCGTATCAAGCAAGAGAGGCAGATCAAGAAAGAGAAGGGTGTAAAGAATGGGAGACAAGTCAAGCAGGAAAACGCAGTTCCAGCTTCCTCCTACTCGAATCCGGCGGTTGATGAGGGCAGCACAATCGTCGACAACATTGTTGTGCAGGTGGATGCAGCAGATCTGAGCGATCTGGAGGATCCCATTGACGATCTAGTTTTCGACAGCGTCTCCGACGTGGAAGGGGATGAGCGTGAGGCAGACCAAGGCCCCGAGATCGAACGTGGGAATGACGCAGGTTTTTTAACAGAGTTCGTAAGAATCCCGGCCAAATTTTCACCCAGAGAAATACTGACCTCAGAAGATAAACCTGCAGTCGGCAGTCACACCAGAATCTATCGAACAAGCTCCAACACAACAATTTGAGGATAATGCCGTCGAAGGAATCCCCCCGGCCCACTCAACACGTTTTAGGGGCACGAAGATCCCCATGACCTTTGCCTCTCGACCTAGAAAGAGGAGAGATTGACTATTCAAGCTACCCATCAGAGGTGCCAGCGTCCTCCTCGTCATCACTTATTCCCTCAATGTCATTTCCATTTTCGTCTTCAACGCCAAGTTCAACAAGCGGCTGTTCTGCTGGTTCCATATCTGCAAGCTCCTCTTGATGGGCTTGATTTGCTCGTGCAAGTAGTGCTTCCTATACATAGTTAACTGGATACTTTAATGCGCAGATAGACATAGCATCTTACATATTCGGCAACTCCCCCGGTCGGTGCTCTACGGTAGGCTAGCGTAGGCCGTTGTCCACTCTCTATGTGCCGAATGATCCTGTCGCGAAGGGCAAGGTAGAAGCGCTTCAATGGGCGCAACTTGTCAGGCTCCTGGTGATCGCCGAGGACTACATTATGGTAATCCATTTCGTTAAGAACGTCGCGGCACCATTCCTTTGTCTCTGGCTCAAGACATGTGCTGATGTCGATGCCAGCCAGTGGCTGTGCCAGCTCGCCTAGAACTGTACGGTCGATGGGGATTCCCCAATTGCAAGCCTTGCTTGGGTCAGGGTAATGGTAATTCATCCAAGGTTGGCCGTGCACAACATGAGGCCGGTTCTTCTGAAGGCGAATTTTGTGTAGATTCCACGCCTCTACGAAATCGAAGAGCTCTTGACGCAGCACATCTTCGAAGACAGCGTAGATAGCAATCTGGTCCTCGAGCATATCGCCGTCAAAGTCCCCATCTCTGGCAAGCTCCCCAAAGTAGTCCACCCACTGCCGTGAAGAGACGTGAAGCATGCTCTCCCACCACTTCTCGATCTTGACGTTCTTCGTACTCGGTGCCGCCTTGTAGGAATCCTTCATCCGCTTGCCCTGCTGGAAGACTTGGCCATTCCATTCCACGCGCCCACCAGCAGCTAAGGCAAAGTTCCAATGGGCTGCTGCGACCAGTGGCGTTTCGCTACCCCGGTCTGCCTGCAAGTACCATGGGCGCAAGCCATAAGCGTCGCATGCAGCCAAATACTGCTTCAACACACTCAAGGCGGTGCTGGCTGAGTGGCCAAGGTAGAACCAGACAATATTGCGGGAGTATGCATCAATCGCGGCGTATATCTCGAAACCGTATGCCTTCAGCTTGTCATGGCCGTCAATGCACCACTGGTAGTTCGGCCCCGGGACGAGGAACTGCCCTTTCTTCCTTCGCATCATCCTTCGGCGCATCTCGACATCGTTTGGGAACATGACTTTGTACATTTCAAACAGGGGATCCCTGGGTACCCAAAGCTGCTGTTGTTGGCGTAGATATGACTGGAGAAACCTTCGACCGTATCCTGCAATGGCATTAGATCGTTGAGCCATCTCGACAATAACTTGCTCTGTCTTCTCCAACAAAGCAAGGCGTTCCTCGTCGCTGTTTATGCGACGTAGCCAGCGACGGTCCCGGTGGAGTCTGATGCGTTTCAAACCTCTTTTAGTGATAGGCCAGCCTTGCCTCTGAAGAACACTCAAGGTCTGCTTCTCGGTAAGGCCAACACGGAAGATAAGGTCGTGAATAGCTTCCATGAGCTCTGGAGTCTCAATAGTGCGTGATTGTTGACGCGGAAGTCCCCAGCTGGCCACCCGCCGCGAGATTGTGCTAAGGTTGACAGCGACATTGTAATGTTTCCGCAGCTTATATCTGATCTGGCTTCGCGAGACGCCATTGAGGTACAGCAAGCTGACATAGTGGCGATATTGATCGATTGGGTTGGGTGGCCGAGCCATGACAATAGGTAGGGATGAGAACCAAGGCAAGGACGAGGTCGTGGTGTTTAATGCAAGGGGATTTGTGGCTGGAACCCCTATTTGAGCAACGCGATCGGCGCGGACCGTCGCGCTTTTGCTGCTGCCTCGCTGCGGACTAGATCAACTAGTGGGATGGCGGACACCACTCATTAGGAATAGCTTGGACGCGGATCAATTCAAGAACGCCTCAAGTGGCCTATTGATAAATGAGTTTTCCGCTCTGTTCTCATTATCGTCACCAAGGAAACGAATTGGGCTCTTCTAACTGTCACCAAGGTGCTTTTAATCAGAAGCGTAGTGCAACATAACTGTGCGCCGTCGACTTACATTAGTCATGGCAAACGTAGACGCTGTACGCGCGTCTGGTGGACTGCAGTCCAACAGCGACAAAATTGTCAACAATAAGGGAAGAGTCCAGTCCAGCACCCGCAAATCCGCGAGCAAGATCACCGTACGGTCCACCCGGCTGCTCTGCACATGGTATCGTTACTGATTACATTTGTTTGGGTAGAAGAAGAGGGCACAAAAGAAGAAGGCACCTCCGATCGGCTCGGCGCGTGACTTCCCCTGCCGCCCCTGTGTTACCCGCGCTACCAAGAACCCTGGGCATGAGTGTGCCTCTCAGGATAGTAAGTGGCTATTCTGTCGTAGAAGCTTTTCCAGGGTAACTTATACGGACAGATACTGGTGCTGCCTGCTGGGACTGCGCAAAGAACGGTCACACGTGTCGGCCAGTGAGTAAACAATACCGACTCTCTACAAATCAGATGCTAATCAGTTGCTATCAAAGGTCCCCGCTGGTGCCGTCTCTGCTGTGCGTGCCTTCTGGGAATTGAACCGGCTGATCGACGATGTAAATAAGGATCCCGACGATGCCTGGCACTCTGCAGCACAGCGCGCAGCACAGCAACTACGCGCTTGCGGTGCTGCTGACCGGTGTCCTGCTGCCGCTCTAGCTCATTCTCCCGCCTTGGCTCGCCTTGGTGAATCAGCCGAGCCGACACTCGAGGAGCGGAAGGTTGCGGCGCTGGAGGCCATCGCTGAGGCTGCTCGTCTCTGGACTGTAAGTAGGTCAAGACTTAGTTACGAATCCGTTAGTTACTGAGTCGGTATTTAGCAGCTCAATAAGCCGAACGAGGAAGGTACAGAAGTGGGAGAGGAATCGGATAAGGAATACTAGGCGTTGATATCATCCAACAAAATAGAGCTGTTAAGGGGTTTATTTGAAGTGGAATGTTTTGGTCGAACATTAGTGAGACTTCTAAGCGCTGATCCGCAGCGGCCCCGCTGTAGTTCGTTCTGTTGACCGTTTGGGCATGAATTCAACAGAATTGAGTACGGAGGTACATGGCTCAATGTACTGTGGGGCAAAAGCCTTGATCATGTGGACCCCATTTTGCGTGTTCAGGCGTGGCTTTTGGGGTTTTGCAACAGTGACCTCTATAGGCTGCCATAGACCACGGAGGGCTGGGCACCCCGGTGGTTGCCTGTCAATATTTGCCATCGCCACCGCTGCCCATTTTCTTTATCACTGTCGAGCCTACTGACTAACCGTACCGCCATGCCTCAACAACGCCTCCCTTTTGACCAATGGTCGCAACGAAGAGAGTCGTCAATCTCAGTCGACGTTTCGGAGTTTTCCAGCCGGCAGTTGAATGACCTAGACCAGAGCCAAACGCCCAAATGCCAGTCATCTCGACCTCGCACAGCCTCCACAACCTCCTCCACCAAGCCCAGAACGTCATGGGTCTTCTCTCATATGCCAGACGAGGAGATGGAGACGAGATACTACAATCCGCGGACCGGAAAAGAAGAGTGGCGTTGTAAACATTGTGACAGAGCATATGCCTGTTCTGGGGGTACTGCGGCTCCTGCAACACATCTTATGGACCCTCCTCCTGACGGCCACGGTCTACCAAAAGGAGCCCTGCGAACAGCTAAAGTGACAACGATACGAACGATTCTCGAACAAGCTCGCGCTGCAGCAGAAGAAAATCCCCGCAAACGCCGTCGGCTCAACGATCAATCCGGAGATTCGATCGACCCTGACCAGCTCGAAGTGTTGTACGTGAGGTTTATTACGGCCTGCTCTCTCCCATTTCGGCTTGTGGAATGCCCAGAGTTCCGGGCACTCTTGGCCTACATCAATGACGATATCGATACTTGGCTTCCAGATACGCACGAGACCATTAGGAAATGGATCATGCGGCAGTATGAAGACCAGAAGGAGAAGGTCAAGCAGCGCATACAGTCGGCGAAGTCAAGAATTCACATCAGCTGCGATCTTTGGACTTCTCCCAACTCTTTGGCCATCTTGGGCGTAGTCGGCCACTATGTCACTGAAGACGGTCAGCTGGAACACCATATTTTGGCGTTGAAAGACATCGACAGTGAGCACGACGGTTCTCACCTCGCTGCGGCCATTTTGGAAGTGGTTGACGAATGGGGCTTTGCTTCAAAACTCGGATATTTCGTGATGGACAATGCTGGCAATAACGACACAATGATGAGATCCCTTTCGCTTGGTCAGTACAACTCACCGTTTCTACTGACTGGTTCTAAGATCCCACAGGCCTCCTTCGCCGATATGACATCCGATACGATCCCAAAGTTCACCGACTCCGCTGCCAAGGTCATATCATCAATCTCGCCGCTAAAGCCTTCCTCTTTGTTACCGACAATGAGAAGCTCGAACGCGATGATCCAGGTGTGTATAATGTGACATTAAAGCATATTGAAGCGTGGCGGAAGAAGGGACCTCTTGGTAAGCTTCACAACTTCGTCGTTTACATCCAACGGAATGTTCAGCGCATCCAAAAGTTTCTTGCTATCAGCCATAACCGTAAGCTTGCGCGAGACAACGACACAAGGTGGAGCTCGTGGTATACCATGTTGAGAGCGGCCTTGAATCTTAGAGACGCAATTGACAGCTATTTCAACAAATGGATGGATGCAGATTGCGCTGGAGACGAGCTCTCTTCAGAGGACTGGACCATCTTGGAGAAGATCAAGTTCTTCTTAGAGAAGCTGAAGATGACGACTAAGGCTCTCGAGTCATCGTTTGCAACACTCGACAATGTCCTCCTAGCTATAGACTTCATATTGGCACAATTCGAAGCCGGCAAGGAGGCAAATGTCGACGATCCGGTGATGGCACCGATGTATAACTCGGGCTGGGCGAAGCTGGACAAGTATTATCGCCTTACTGATGAATCACCTGCCTACGTTGCAGCTATCGTGCTCCACCCTTCGCATAAATGGCACTACATCCAGAAGAACTGGAAAAAGGAGTGGGTTGAGTCGTCGAAGAAGTTGCTTGAGACGCTGTGGAACGAATATAGACCTGTGGAATCACCTCTTCCACTCTGCGAGGTCCCATCGGCGACCACGAACGAGTTCTTGAATTGGCGGAACAAGCACCTGCAGCCGTCACTCATCACGGACGAATACGGGCGTTATTGCAAGTCTGAACGGGTTTATGGTTTTACGAGCGCCCTTGCATGGTGGCTAGAGGAGACGCAGCAGCAAAACTACCCGAGCCTGAGCAAGATGGCCGTGGATATATTGTCAATTCCTGCAATGTCTGCGGAGCCCGAACGACTCTTCTCTGGAGCAAAGATAACAATTACAGACCGTCGAAATCGACTTGGGAGTGATGTAATTGAAGCATTGGAGTGTCTGAAGTCATGGTTTGGGATACGAGATTTTCAAGGTGACGAGATTTTCGCTGAGGCAGTTGAATGATGAAGTCACGTGGAATGTATTGGATGTATTGTCACACTGCCAATATATTGGGTTCTTGGCAATACAATACAATATGGGTCCTGTTCATATTGGGTAATACAATATAGCCTCTTGACAATACGATATTATTGCGAGGGGGTCCATATTGCCAATATACGTATTGTTTATATTAAAATACTACGTCACCCCATGCACATTGGAGCGGCGATGGGTGCATGGGGTAGCCTCAGCCGAAGGCTGTGTGTCCGCGGGCCGGGAAGCTATTACTACTACTGCATTATCTACGTACTGATCCATTGCCATGGCCATTCTTGGTATTATATATCATATAAGGACTCCGTATAAGAACCTGTCGTTTCCTAAGCTCCTGATCCCTCATCTTCATCTTCATGCCATCCGGGGGAGACCCGTAGACCAGGTGATTACGATCAAATGGTGCATCCAACATCAGACCCTTGAGCGTTTTCACGCGAGAGACAGCCACGTAGCTTAAACCAGTCTGAAAGTCCCGGCAGGACAGATCTGTAACTATCATGTCTTCGGTGATGCTTTGTGACTTGTGCACGGTAATTGCGTAGCATACGATGAACCAGCGCTCTTGGCATCTACTGCAGTATTGCATCTGGTCATTGCCAAGCGTGGTCCAGAACTCGCGAAGGATGGCCTTATCGCAGTCGGTCAAGGCGCAAGCGTTGAGGTCTCCATTCCACACCGGATCTTGTGCGTGGAATACCGCCGATTGTTCAGGTGAAATCATCACTGGACTCCGATACCGTCGCGGCGGCCGCGGAGGTTGAGCTGGCGTCTGAGATTTTCTCGGCCGTCCTCCCGTACCAGGGGCAGGACCACGACGACCACGACGACCACGACGACCATGAGATGGCTGTGCGGAAGGCTGCCTCGAGCGACGGCGAAGAGGGCTTTTGCGCACCGTGTCATCGTCGTTCTCGTCGTTCTCGTCTTCGTCCCCTGGTTCGGAATCGCACTCTACCCCTAATTGCTCGAGATACCTCCGAGGCCGAGCAGGCGAGAGAAGCAAATTGAAGTAGTCCTCGGCATCAATATCGGATTCAGAGAATTCCCCCTTGTCACCCATATTTATCCCGTCCTGTTCTGGATGTGCGCCATGACCGTCGGCTAATCCAGTGGTTAGCCTGCACAACGACGACGATCACGGCCAGGGATACCTTCTCCAGGCTCATCAGGAACTGCAAAGACGCCGAGTTGAGATATTGAGGGAGTCAGGGAGACAGTCTCCCCCGCACGGCGCCGTGAACGATGGTCGCGCTGTATAGCCACCTGCCTTGCCTTCGCCTCAGCCTTGGAGGCATCATCTTGTGAGTCTTTCCCGCCCTTATGGAACCTAGAAGCCAAGTAAGAGTACTCAGCATCGGTTGTGCTGCTTGGGACAGTAGATGGATCAGAATGTGACGCGATTTGATCGGTCGTTGGCTGTATGGGCGGTGAGGGAGCAAGAGTCCGGAAGTTGCGCAAGCTTTGTTGGGTTGGTGGGATTGGCGTCCCCAGCACCACCTGCGGCTGGCTAATTGGCTCTTCAAATAACCTCCTTGCCGTGTGAAGGTGCCGTAGCGTCTCTGGCGAAGTGGGCTGGGTTCCGGATCGCTCGTTCGGTGGCGAAAGGCCAGCATCTCCGTCGGTTCTCTTCGCGGCAGTTCTCTCAAGTGAGGATGGATGAACGCCAAGGCTCCTCAATACCATGATCGCGCCCCTAGATCTGGAATGCTTCGTTAGGTTACTACTTGACGTCTTACTGAATGGGGAGACAGAGCTGACATGAGAATTGAGCTGATTGCGACAGTCCAGGCAGTTCTTCGTGTTCCCCGCTGATCTCCTTTGGCTGACGAAGTCACCCGCCGCTTTCTCCTCGCCACAGCGGGCGCAGACGATGGAAATTATGTCATCTCGAGGCCCTTGAAGAGTAGACTTAGGAGTCATTACTTAATGTTGCAAGATATCAACGCGCGCTGCGTGGACGAAATCAATATCTGAGTCCATGTCAAGCGAAATTTCAAGTAAATAAACAAATCCAGGTTGTCGCAAGCTGTTACGGCCCATGTCATGACCAGGCGGTCAAGATTGGCAGGAACTCACGTGACACAAGATAGACCCCAGTACGGAATAACATGAGTCAGCAAAGATCAACGAATTAGAAGAGGAGCGACGGGAACTGGACGGAACGATGGAACGGAAGGCAGCGCTCCCAACGCTCCCTCGCGCTCCCAGCGTTCCCTTCAGGATACCAAGTATATAGTCATCTGAGAAGTGCACATCTAGTGTGGGCAGCTACTCAGCTATCAACAACACTTGATTACATTGAGTACCTTCGACTCTACCATTATCAGACGTGACAAGCTTGTTCAAGTTTAACGTGCCTGATTCTTTGCCAACATAAACCAATCAGGATCCCCCTACCCTAGACTCACGAGCCTAGTGTAAGCCCGATCGTCACACAAGCTTGCCACGCTATGTTCCACTTTTTACAGGGCCGTCATCCAATTGTGCCACGTTTTGCGGCCGTCAACACAAAATTTTGGACCAATCAGAAACTTTTGCCAATCTTGCACCAAACCCTCATTATTGGGAAACTTAAGAACTGATGTAGAGTCAGCCTTCGGCTGAATTAGCAACACTGTACCTAGCGTTTGGTCGTCCTCGCAGCCCTGTAAGGGGAGCTGCCAACATCTGTTTCGAAATCCTGCAAAAGGAAGAAACATATATGGGTATGGTGTGATGCAAGGAAGACGATTGCCCGCTCGTTGGTGTGCTTTTGGGGGCGGGGATGGGGGGGTGGCGTCGAGTCTAGAATGATCCTGCTGCATCATCAATGGTCAGTGGCCAAAGGCCAAAGGCCAGTCACCCGTTTCATCAGATCATGTACCTCGGTCTGTACCGTAGTGGTTGTCGAGGGTCCCACGCAGCTAAGAACATTTTTGACACCTTTTGGCACCTTTCGCCGCCGACGTGGGATGGTTAGAAACCAACAGACGGACATTTGCCACCGCCCAGTAACTGGTTATGGTACAGTGTCTGTGTGTGGATGAGTTGGAAAAATCCAAGCCATCACCTCCTTGGCGGTGACTTGATGATCTGACATGCTTGTGCGCCTTGGATGCGCAATGGCTCAACGGGCTTGCAGGATGGCCTTGCGACTCGGGCCCCATTACACCATAATCGTTCAATTGCCGGCCAATGGTGGATGTGATCGCTCCATCCGGCGCTTGAACCATCCCATCCATGCTCTTCCATCCCTCCCCGGCCCACTTGACGCCCTCAATGACTCAGCCCTGGTGGGGAGAAGAATGACACGAGGTTGAGATGCATCTTGCTATCCCGGAAGACCCGTGTCCCAAGCCGTGCCGGGCCTTCCAGCCCTCAAAATCACCGGCTCCTCGCCCGCAATTTCACTACCGTCCACAGAGCCCACTGTGGCGGCAGCCACCTTCTGGTCATAACAACGTGCCAATAGCCTTGCCCCTGAGCTTCAACTTGCTTCTTCCTACGGAGTACATCCTCACTCAGTCAAAAGGGAAGGTCTGTCGCAGCAAGAGGAGCTACAGCGGCTGCAGCTACATCAGTGGAGGCCCCGTATCCCCGTCGCCGCCGAACAGCTTTTCCTTGAGTTTAAGCACGCTACAAATAGCGAAACCGCCAATATCCGGTGGGCAACAGTAACAAACATTAGCCGAAACTCTTAACTCCGGCGTGATTGGGTTCAGACCCTGCAGCTGCCTCGGCGCACGGCGGCGTAGGAGAAAGGACGTGACGAGACATCTCGTCATGCGGGCTCCGTACGTCAACCCCGCCAAGACTCGTCGTCGGCACCATAATAAATTTCCCCTAACAGAGCTTGCGTTCTTCATTGTTTATACCATAGGTGGAAACCAGAAGCCTCTATCCATTACTAATAGCAGCGACGGAGATGAGACTGCCCAAATGGCAGATTCCAGTCAACTCGAAACGTCAAGGCTCCTGGATAGCGATGCGTCAGAGCAGCTCGAGCGGCATACAACAAGCAGCGGCTTCATTCGCGACGCTATCATCGGTCTTGCAGATGGCCTAACAGTACCCTTCGCGGTGACGGCTGGCTTATCTTCGTAGGTTTATTTTCCGCTTTGAACTCAGTCACAGCTAATGAAGGTACTAGAATTGGGTCAACAAAGCTTGTCATTCTTGGAGGCTTGGCAGAATTATTTGCCGGGTCAATAAGTATGGGTTCAGGCGCTTATCTCGCCACGATTACGGATGCCCAGCACTTCCAAGTCGAGGAAGCTCGGGAGCAGCGTCAGGTCACAGGGACCCCGCACCTCGAATGCGAAATGCTGGCGGAGTTGTTTATGAAGTATGGCCTCAGCAGAGAAGAGATATTGCCCATCCTCCAGACCTTTAGGCTGAATCCAGAATCGTGGGTCAAAGTGAGTACTCTAGTCCCTTTACGACGCCAAGCTGAAATTTTCTAGTTCATGATGGACTTTGAACTCAAGCTAGAGCGTCCCAGCTCGTCTCGACCGTGGATATCTGCGTTTACAATGGGACTAGCATATTTTATAGGTTAGTACATCACATTCTAGGTCCCAGTTGCTATTTCTAAAAGAACGAAAGGCGGACTGATCCCCATGATTCCCTATTTTGTTGTCGAGCATATCAGTGTTGCATTAGTCATTTCAATTGGAACGACAGCTGTTATGCTATTCATATTCGGATATATCAAATCTTTGGTTACTGGAGTCGGTCATTATTCCGCCCTCTACGGGTCACTCGAGACGCTTTTTGTTGGAGCCGTTGCCGCCGGTGCTAGTTATGGTATCGTAAGGGCTGTAAACGATTGGTTTGAAATAAAGGAAGACAGGGACGGAGTATGAGGGGACTGAACAGATTCATTGACGTACGTTTCGTCGTAGAAACTTAATTCGTTTGATTTAGTCCACAATTAGCACGCTACAGGTGATGGAACAAGAATTCAATGGCTGCATTGGCAATAGCATGAGACCCTTTTGCCAACGAGTCGTTATTTTTTACCGCACTGGGATATACGACAGATCCAGGCCCGGATCATCACACCTAGGTTGCCTAATCTGGCAGCCATAACCTGATCCGGCCGCCGGATCCGGACATATTAACTTTATCTTTAGTATCGTCAGCTTCATCTATGCCACCTATCGTCCTCCATAGTGCATCCCCGTCCGCCAGTGAACATCAGCTGCTCTCTGATGGACATCGTCTCATTCGCACGACGTGTCCTGCTGGTGCTGCCGCTCTAGGACCTAAATGTCGTGGATGTTAACGGGATATTACGGACTGATAGATCCCGTACAGTTGGAGCTTATTCAAACCGGCGTCCTCTGATTGGTGTTTGTGAGATGGCGTAGTTGTGGAATGCATCTGGCCGCGTCATTGTGTTTTGTGGTCTGATAGTAGGTTTTACAATCAAACCTGGTCTGCCAACTTAGAATTACTCCATAGTTCGAGACCGAGGTCTATAGGCCAGTGAAGTATTCATTTGCCCGCAAACTCGCTGGCAGTTCCACCTGCTACCATGCCCTGTCACACACGCAGTGAAACAAAACCTAAAAGTCAGCCCACACAGGCATTCATCTCCGTTGGTTAGATGATACCACCCCTGCCTTTCAGAAGCTGCACCTGGATTCCGAGAGAGCTGTGATTTTGGTGCATCGACTTCGAAAAAGAGCGTGATGCAATTACAGAGTGCCGGTATAGTCCGAGAGCTTCGTGTGGCGACTACGGCTGTTGCTTGGGATTGGCTCTTGGTCAGACCACTTGTCTTACGCCCCCAATATTACGGTCCCTTGTACTGCATATAACGAGGCGAATTCAGCAACATATACTAATTAAATTTTATACACCTCGAATTTTCAGCCGCTTCCTAAATGAAGCCTGCCATATGTGCCATGGCATTCATTCCTCCGACAATTACATCCCACGGGACCCACAAGCACTTATTACCAGCCCCGGACTGGCTGCTGGTACTTATATTCCTTGCGATAATCGTCCTGGGACTATCGTTTTATATAATGTTTGTTCCCTACCCTTATTCAGGAGGTGGTGTAGATGCTGAGGTATATCAAGGTATTGGCGTTGGAGATTCCCCAGACCGGCTAGGCCGGATGTGGTAGTCGTGAGATATGGGACTATGACTAGCTACGACAGTTCTGGGCTGGGTGGACTAGAGCAAGTTGCTCCAGCATGAATTTAAGCAATGGAATATCGAAATGAACGATGCGGCGAACCCCCGCATCTAGATCAAGCACGTTTGCCGGCTGGTGGACATCCAAGTCCAGCACTGCATCAACTTCATTTTGACTGCTTCGCAGTGTAATTTGTTTGGAGCCACTGGTAGATCAGGAAATAGTCCATCATTTACACTGCCGCCAGGTCTTTCGCTTGAGTTGCATTAGATAATTGGTCGATTGAATTAAACAACAGGCTAGCAGAGTGTGCCCAAAACAATTACTATGGGTACATTCTCCTCAGCCCTGATCGTGTCCATCCGGTCTCCTAGTCGGGCCCGTTGTGTGGGCCCCCAGATTGATGGTTCCAACAATTATTAAAATTAGCAAAGGTTGTTAAGGCAGGAGTTGCTTGAGCTGTAAGCTGGCTCCATAGCCCGGGCTATAGCTTGGTCCATAGCCACCTAGGGCCAGGAGGGTGGAGGGGAAATCTGCTTACTGTATTTACGGCTGCCGTAGAGGTCCGTGTAGTAACTCAATATTAACTCGGTTGCTTCCGGCTGATCACACCACCATCGCCGTACTGCCAATGGCATACTCGCCTACGCACAACTCGCTTTCGTCACCGACGCATGCATGGCGCGTAGCTAATTCGTTTGATTTCCAGTGAGTGTTACGTTTCCCCGCATTAGCCAGGGTCTTAGTGCTTCCTAGGCTGGGGATGTTGGAATTTATTCCGACTATTGACGAACTTAGGTAGGCGGATGAGTGCTAGTATATTTACCGGCACCGAACGCCGAGCATGTGATTGGTATGCGATAGTACATATATAATGGGATAGAACCATGATCATGTTTGATTTGACGTTTTTTCGAGCTTCCTCGTCAACTGCTGCTTAATCGGGCCAGTTCAGTACGATTATAACGGACAATTTCTCCCGCAACAGCATCGGCGGGATTGAGATGGAAATTGGCGAAGTCCTTCGGGTCGTCGGCGGTAAATATCAAGAGCGCCGAACCGAGAAGCCGGTAATCTTGCAACCAAACATGAACGGCAAATATATCACAACGCTCCTCTCATTACCCCTCGAAATCCGGCTTCAGATCTACCGCTGGCTTCACCTTATGAGTCCCGTTCGTCAGCTCCCACTCGCTCCAGGGTATCCAACGCTCGTCCATTGCCAATACATCCTCCGGCGCGTCGTCCACAATACCGACTTCCCTCCCGACTACGACACATTACCTAGCATCGCAAGCTTACTCTCGCCGTATAGACCGCTATCCGTCCTCCCGACAAGCCTTCTACAAACGAATTCACAAATCTACCACGAAGCACGTCTTATTCCCTTCATGTATAACGAATTCGTCTTTGTTAACTGGTTCGCATCCGGACTCTGGACCGCTAGGGCATTCACTCGTGCTTTAGCACCCTGGCAGCGTTCCGCACTACGCTTCGTGAGGCTAGAAGTTCTGGCACGGGACGTCCTCGGTAGCGCTGGACGTGAAGAATGGCGCGCTTTGTGTAAAGATTGGGCTGCTGGCGTGCGAGGATTGCGGATGAAGATGGTGCTAGGTTCAAGCACCGTATCGACGATTCTAACGACATCCGGAACGTCGGACTCGGGGTCGGGAGGAGTGGGGCCGCGCGCGGAGGCGGCGCGGCGGTGGGTTGTGGGGGGGCTCGGGATGATGAGGAGGTTGGAGAGCGTGGAGATGGAGGTTGTGGCGCGGGAGATGAGAGATGAGGACAAGGTGAGGTGGTGTGAGATGTTGGAGGAGGAGTTGAGAGGGATAGGGCTGGAAACGGTGAATGTTGTGTGCGTGGAAAAGGTGGTACAGGAGAAGATGGAGTGGATCAAGGCTAATGTTTGGTGGAAGGCATTAGTTATCAGTTGGGGAGGGAGTGAGACTAGATAGCTAGTTGTGTAACAATTTCTTTAGCAATACAGGAGTGGTTTCCGCGGAAAGTGGCTAATCGTCAGGGTTGTATGTCACATTGCGGAATTGACCAGCAAAAGGGAATGCGCACTCAGCTACTCCGCAGTGCTTAGTGCATTTCTGGCTTATATCCTCAGTGTGGCAACGTATCTGGCCTATACTACCTCCGTCATCACAAGAGTACATGAGGGGAACCCAAAAGTGCCTCAAGAAGAATTTACAGCCAAAATTACATAAAATTCATTCCTTGCATTCCCATGAGTTCACAAGAAGTTTCCAGCGAGGCACTTAATTTCTATGACGATAGTAGTTTCATAAGGGATGACAACAGTCGCCGTGAGCAGTCGGCCGATAATAAGTGCCGGCCCGTTCTTCCTCCGGTCAAGGATCGCGGCTATAATTTCCAACCCTTCTACGTGCAGCCTCACAACTTTAAGCTTAAAAAGCTGTCCAAAGAGCCCTTTGAGCTGTTCTAGCGCTTCATGGCTCTCTCATTAGTGTAAAACTTGGTTAAATACACTAACAGCTGGGCTGCTTCGTTGATGCAGGAGGCTGAAGATGGCAACCATGAGCTGAGGCCAAAGTTAAGGTTGCGAGCTTTGGAAACTGTAACGGGCTGTGCCCGTAGGTGGCCTCGGGAACCCTCGGCCTTTCGTGGCCCACTTTTTACCTTTGAGCCACCATGACGAGTATATTTATGGATGGACCTCCTCTACTCTCTTTCTCTTCTTCTTCTTTCCTTAAGTTTGGTATACTCTCTGGGCTAGCTAGTTGCAATACACTACCTTGAGACCGTTACAGAAACCAGCCTTTGCAGAGGAAGTGCACTCCTGGCTTGGAATCTAATTTATCTAGGAATCCACACAGAAATTGCAGTTCGAGAACACTGGAAAACTTCCCGGCTAAAACACCAGCGGTCAACTCTTCCAATCGTTAAATTCATGACCTATGACCAGTTCCAACTCCTCCAACGGCACCTTTTCGCATCCATGATCACACGAAGACCAAGTCTAGGGGCCGCTTTCCCTGGATCTTCCAGTCCGTTACTGAGTAGCCTGGCCACATAAGGCATACCGCAACGCAGCTAATCGAGCCGGGCAATCATCTCACTGTAAATGGGTGCATGGTTCACCACACAGGAAGGCCAAAGGAGATAAGAGGGGTCCCTTCTAAGCTAGACCCTCCAGAGTTTAAAGTCTAGGTTTTCGCCCAACAGGGCTATTTTTCTGCGGTGGATTTGGCATCAACCGGGCCCAAAATACGGCCCTGTTGGCATTGTGGCTACGAGGAAGAGGATGAGGAAGAGGGAAGGCGAAGCAGTAGCTGCAGTTATCCCTTATTCTTCGAGCATTTTTGCTCTTAGCCCGGGTTAGAGAGTGGTTATTACCCTCCTCAATATCTTGCTCAAGGCCATGTACCATGTCTTCTTAGATAACCTCTTTTCCTCGTCAGACCTCTTCCAGAGGCTTCATCAGCATGGTCACGGAGCCATAGGCACAGCCTGACTCAACTGCGGCATCTATGACCCTTGCGTGAAGCTTAAGGTTACCGATATTGCAGGAAAGAGACTGTTTGAGTTAATGAGGTGCCAGTTGTGCCAACGACAGATAACCTAGTAAGAAACTAAGGTAAATTAGCCCTAAGATATGGGATCCTTAATAATTTATCTTTGCATGCTCTAGATCAATTAAATTGCGCGGAAATATAACGTCGTAGTTTTCCTATCAACTGCATTTAAGAGCGATGAGAAATGCGAGCGTTGGAGAAAGAAGCCATATTTAGAAAGACTGAGTTTGCGGGCGGTACAGCGTTTCTCTGGTGACGAGCCTACTAAGCTGATTTCTATGCCAACAGTTGCAGATACATACGGTGACGAGATGAACGCCGTACATCAAGGCGACCAAATGAAGGCATCCCGACCCTGACTCGCCCACCGGGCATAGCGCCGTGGTGTTGCATGTCTCTCTCACTCGGCCCCTCTCTCTGGTGTATGTGTGTGCTTGGGCTTGGGGATAGAAATCAATCCAATAAGGATTTCTGATCACCGTGGCGACAAAGTGATGCGGGAACGAAACGAACAGAGGCCAACCCCAAAGAACTTCCGACTCGTGCCCACCTCCAACAAGCTCTCTCCAACGATCAACCATGCGGCATCAGACCACCCAAGGCACGCTCAATCATGTGAGAGCAGCACAACCGACACTAGCCCGAACTTTAGCTGTGGTAATTTTCGACTAGCCGAAGAGATTGGCGAAAAAGGTCACACCTTCCTACCCTGTCATTACGTCACATTTACTTCATACTCTTATCGTGGTAATCCATATCAGCCAGTCTCGTGCTTCCAGACTCTTTGTCATCTAACTCACTCATAAACCCTTGCCACTTTCCCCACACCTGCCTCGTAGGCACCTACACCCGCAGAAATTGTTAGAAAACTGAACCTTTCGAAGCCGGCACCGTCAGGGGTTAACCCAACAATGTCTGAGCTACCTCAGGTCCTTCAACGGGAAGAGCCAAGACCTCGACCCCACCAAATTCAGGCTCAGGACGGTCAGGGCCGAAAACTAAACCAGAGCCAGGCTCATGGCCGAGACCAAGATTCGCAAAGGAGGACCCTGCACCAGCAGGGGCTGCCGGACGCTCAGAGTGACGGGCTGCAGTTGCACGACCATCCCAATGACCTACATCACCGCCCAGGAGCTCTTTCAGGTTCAGGTCCTCCTTCTATCCCGGCTTCACCTACGCCTCCCGCCTTGGAAATTGCTTCATCTCAACCTGCTCCCCAGGCAGATCCCTCCAATTCCTCGTCTTCCTCGACTCACCCTCATCCCGTCACCGACCCTCACTCTCAGTCCTATTCTGCCAGCCACTCGAGCTGTCACCCAGACTCGTTGAGACCAGGCAGCGGGTACTCCACACCTCTGTCTAAGCCATGCCGGCCGAAGAGCCTTCGTCCCTTCATCATCGCCATCATGGCTTTCAAGAAGGGCTGCAAGTTCTCTACGGCCACTTCGCTGCACCGCAAGGAGCAGATGAGGGCAATTGTGGAGAAAGAAGATCATTTTGGTCCATCTCTCGTGGTACGGGTTCCAGCATTGCCAACTCAGCCCTGTCCCCGTCCTAACGCTAACCTTATGCCCCGTACAAGACACTCTATCTCGGCATATCCGCTGTCTTCTCGAATGGTCAAACTGCAGTTGTTGCCTTGGCTATCAACGATAGTGTCTACCCGATTGACATCTCCGTCAAGCATATTGTGCTTGACAACGCTCTGGAGATGGGCCAAGATCCTATTGCTGACTACGTCCTTGAGGAGGTTGAGAAGTACGAGCACGAGAACTTTGCCAAGTTCATTGGAGCCGGTCTTCCCACTACGCTCAAGTACATGAGCCCCAGTCTGTGCTCTCATTTGTGGCTAGACCTGGATATTCTCCCGGTCGTGTTGCGTCCTGACGGCGAGGACAGAGAAGAGAGTTTCTGGGACCTTAAGCGCGTTGATGAGCAGGCCGATTCTATGGCCCGCAAGTGCGTCATGTGAGCCTACAAGCTATGATGAGGAGAAGTAACTCGAATTGACATGTCGTGCCTAGGAATTTCGGTCCGTCGCTTGCCCCTCGTCTGCAAGTTGGCTTCCGAGGCGTTGTCCAGACTGATGCTGGATTCCGCGCCCATCTGGCTACCGCTCAGAACCACAAGGACACTTGTGGCTCTGCCACCTGGGAGACCATGTTGACCTATGCCAAGAAGCTGCGCCATAATGAAACACGCGTTGCCTTCTTCAGCGCCACTCCCCAAGGCGGTGGTGTTGCTCTCATGCGCCACGCACTGGTGCGCTTCGCTCGCCTGATGGGTGTCAATCTGGCCTGGTATGGTAAGTACGACTGCTCCGCGGCCAAAATCTCGCCAGATGTTTCGTCCCTAGATTGCTCACACCCAAGGCAGTTCCCAAGCCGCTTCCTGGCGTCTTCAGGATCACCAAGAACATCCACAACGTCCTCCAGGGCGTAAGCCATCCCGACCAGCGTATCACTGCAGGGGAAAAAGATGCCATTATCGATTGGATTACCGAGAATGCCCACCGATATTGGCTATCTGATGGCGGCCCACTTCGCCCAGTAGAGGAAGGCGGTGCTCACGTTGTTATTGTCAGTATTTTTTCGTATTCTGCTCCAGATTTAGTCTTGTACAGCGCCGGTGCTGCTTCCTTCCTGAGTTTAGCCCACCAACTCATGAATACTACTTATTGCCGCAGCTCGCGCTAACGATATAACAGCTCGATGACCCACAGATGATAGGCTTAATCCCCCTCATCAAGAAGATTACTCCTAACCGTCCAGTCCTCTACCGTTCTCACATCCAGATCCGAAGTGATCTTGTTGCTAAGGCTGGCTCACCCCAGGCCGATATCTGGGACTTTTTGTGGAGCAATATCCAACTAGCAGACATGTTCATTAGCCACCCGATTCCCACCTTTGTCCCTCATATTGTGCCGAGGGAGAAGGTCGTCTACTTCCCAGCTACCACTGATTGGCTTGATGGCCTCAACAAGGAGCTGAACAAGTGGGACTCTGGTTACTACGGCCACATCTACAACGTTGCTTGCCACTCCCAGCGCATGTGAGTATTTACGCACTTGTCAAATGCCATGGTTGAAAGAATCTCTGATTGACCATTGCGAAGGGCTGAGTTGAACTGGCCAGCCCGCAAGTACATTATCCAGGTGGCCCGCTTCGATCCCTCAAAGGGTATTCCAACTGTCATCGATTCCTATGCCGAGTTCCGTCGCCAATACGAGGCCGCCGATTTTACGGATGTCCCTCAGCTCATCGTTTGCGGCAATGGATCGATCGATGATCCCGATGCTAACATGGTCTACGACCAGACAATGAGCCAGCTTATGACATACTACCCTCATCTCATGAAGGACATCAGTATCATGCGCCTCGACCCAAATGATCAGTTGCTCAACACTCTTATTGCCAAATCTCATGTTGTCCTTCAGCTCTCAACTCGTGAGGGCTTCGAGGTTAAAGTCTCGGAGGCCCTACATGCTGGCCGGCCTGTCATCGCCACCAGGGCTGGCGGTATCCCTCTCCAGGTCAAGGATAAGACCAACGGTTTCCTTGTCAACCCGGGTGATTGGAAGGCTGTTGCTGGCCACCTCATGGACCTCTTCACCAATGGCGACCTACACAAGAAGATGAGCTATGCCGCCAAGACCGGCGTCTCCGACGAGGTCGGCACTGTCGGCAATGCCCTCGGCTGGTTCTACCTGGCTGCCAAATGGGTCGAGGTCGGCGTCGAGAAAAGTGGCAAGGGCGGCCTGCAGGGCAAGGAGAGATGGGTCAATGACATGGCCCGGGAGGAGGCTGGTTCCCCGTATTCCGAAAATGAAAACCGCCTCCCTCGACAATTCACCGAGAAGAAGGCTCTCGCCGTCGTCGACGTCAAGGCTACCGATCCAGGGCTGGAGGCACCGGTGGCAGAAGTCTAAGCGGGGCTTGCTGGTGCTTGGAAGTGGCAAAGACGCTATGGAGGAAAAGAGGAATGGGATTTGATACCAAATATCCCGCTCTAAAGTTTAGGTACTCTGCAGAGACTTCCATCAGTTCCGCCTTGCATAAGAGAGGTCCATCCTTCTCCCCAGGACGGCCATCCCTTGAACGAAGGAAAATCCTTCGGAACGGAACAGACATACCAGTAGGGTAAGGCGCATTCTGTGTGGGACAAGTTTACCACCGTAGTCATCCTGAACAAGTCTGTATCGCAGAAGATCCATGACTGCACCCGCCACGTCGGTGACCCACCTATTGACGCGGATCAGACAGCGCATATAAGAACCAGTCTGATGTGCGCCGCCTTAACAGCACGTCCTGCTTGGCGGACAGGTGGATCTTGTGGGAGTCGTGTATTATTAGAGAAAGCTTCGAGCACACAATTTGTTGAGGCAGGAAAGCCGATGTTATGCGGGGGGTGACAGGTGATAAATAAGAGGTAAGGAGAGTGCAGAGCTATGAAAAGAGCTGGAACCCCATCTCCTAGTATATGGCCAAGACCGATTTGCTTTTGACAGTGCACCCCGCAGACTGAGCCCTTATGCAACCATCTCCGCTGAAAATTTAATCCAACTAGCATGACTTGCCTTTCTTCTGCCTGATCAGCCCCTTCGCCCGGACACCAATCTAATCCAGAATGAGGTAGCACGTCGGAAAGCAGCTGGAGAAGATTACGTTAGATCACCAAGAGTGTCGATTGTGTTGAAGTGGCGACTTCCCACGGTTTTACGAACGCCGTCTCATGATCTCCCCAAGAACCTTCCATTTAGCTCACCAACTTCTCGTGATTACGTTTTCGCCACGCACTCTTGTCAGTACATCCCACGGAGTTACTGAAATGTGGCGAGACAAGAAGCTTGTATTAAAGCCATCATGATGTGGCGAGTCATACGACAGCGGCATTGGAGTTTCCAATCTTGCCAACGTTTGTCATATAACAACTCAGTTGGTCTCTGTCCCTTTATTTCCCTGGTTGTACTGTATTGAGACTCACAGTATTGTTCGCCAGCAGATCTTTCACTTTGACCTAGTCCCACCTGGGGAGGCAATTGCGAGGTGCCTTACATTTGCAGTTGCAGGTCTAACTCAACTGCAACCAGGCACGGTTCCACTGGCGAGACGGCTACGCAGAGGCGGACCTGCTTGTAGTCACCCGCTAGCTCTAGCACACCCCCGACCTACAGTTCCGGGAGCCGGGCTAGCGTAGAGTCATGGTTATCACCGTAAGTTAGCGGTCAGCCGAGCAGGTTATTGCCATCCTTGCCACAAGGAAGACTGATCTTGTGATGGTCAGCGCCGCCCCCGCTAACACTCAGCATTCACCGCAACTGAGTTGTTGTGGACCATTTAGCCTCATCCGCGTAATACAACTGGGCAGTGTGCTGTTGTTTGGGGTTAGAGGTTTGACCGGTATTTACTAGGGTTCGGCTCAGAATCAATTACGTGCCTCCACTCGCCACAATCTCCCCATGTCACAAGCAAAAATCCAGCCCAATACCAAAGCTTAGAAGGGCCTACTTTGTTCCACCTGATCCCCAATATATATTCAACTTCGCTGCAGCCAGGCTCGAAGGTTAGTTCTACACCTTCGGCTACGTTGGCCTTCATTCCTCCAGCTCTCCAAAGCTAGTCGCTTTCGCCAAGCTACATACGAACATCGACAACCCGGCCTTGCCACAGTCTACCCTCCACAATGGCGGGTAAAATGATCTTGTACAAGCTGGTGGTGCTGGGAGATGGCGGCGTAGGCAAGACAGCTTTGACGATCCAACTATGCTTACAACACTTCGTCGAGACCGTACGTTACCCTGTCCTCCTCCTTCCTAACCCTCTGCCTCCTTACCTAGACAACTGTTTTAGGCCTTGCTATGTGTTCAGGCCTGTGTGCTATGATTGCGTGCTTGTATTGTGGAGAGCTGACTTATGGCAATAGTACGACCCAACGATTGAAGACTCGTACCGCAAGCAAGTTGTGATAGATGGCCAGGCATGCATGTTGGAAGTCCTGGATACTGCTGGCCAGGAAGAATATACCGCCTTGCGTGATCAATGGATCCAAGACGGCAAGGGTTTTGTCATAGTCTACAGCATCTCTTCTCGATTGTCGCTCTCACGGGTTAGGGGATTTCATCGCCAAATTCAGCAAGCCAAGGAATTTTGCGCATCCTCCTCGCCTTATCCAGGCTCGCCAATCCTCGCCGTCAATTCGCAGGCGCCGGTACCGATCATGCTGGTGGGGAATAAGAGCGACCGAGAAGCCGAGCGAGAAGTATCAATGCAAGAAGGTCATGCTCTAGCTCGTGAGCTGGGATGTGAATTTGTCGAGACCTCGGCGAAGAACTGCATAAATGTTGAGAAGGCGTTTTATGACGTCGTCAGAATACTTCAGCACCAAAGATACGTAGAGCAAAGGCCAATACCGTCAAGCGGCAGCAGACTGCAACCTGCAGCAAACCGCGATGCAGGACTGGCGAGACACCCTGCTCGCTATCTACGGCGAGGTGGTGGAAACAAGTGCATCATACTATGAAAGCGTAACGAATGGCTAAGATCAAGGATGACAAAAACCAATCGCAGGCCAGGCATGATATCAACGAGCCTCGGGAAACAAATAAGCCCAGGGTACTTGTCATGCTGCGGACTGCCGTTAATTACCATAGTAAATCGGGGCATAAGGCACATGATAGGCGAGCGGTCAATTTTCCACCCCAAATCTTTTCCCGTTTCTTCAACCCACATTCCTCAACCCCAAGACATGCCAAAGTTAAATAATGAAGCCAATATCATTCTTGCCCTTCAAACCCTACAGAATGACTCTCGATTGAATGTGTATCGCGCTGCTACGATCTATCGACTCTCAAACACTATTCTGTAAAAAGTTTATCCTTTAGGAAACCCAAACCTACCCTATATTATATACAGGTTAAATTAGCACAAGCGTTATATACATCGCTTAATGATTTAACCTGCTAAATATAAAACTTCTAGAAATAACAACATAAGATCTATAAATACTACAGGTAGCAGTCTTAAGCTATCATCTCGCTCATTTTCGCAAAAGTTAACACCGTTCAGCATTAGTGCAGGCTGCCCTGGGTTAAACTTCATTATACTAATGCTCAGTTACTCCAACAGATACTGCTCCCAGCGCATGCTCATAGCAAACACCCCCTCCCTGGCTACATCGACATAAATAACTCAAATATAATACGCCTTCTTCCGTATGGGTTATGTTAAGTGATGAATCGATGGATTCAATTTTGTACACTAGGTGTATTTTCTAATTTATATTCCTCTTCCATTAGCCACTTTTAATAATAATAAATAGCCAGGATAGATCTTGGGTCGAATAGATCTGATATAACAGAAAATAGGTAATGTGGGATATTAGCGATGTGGGCTGAAATCGCAGCGAAATAGCGCGGAATTGGAGTGTATGCTATGAACTCTATTGCTACTATATATGGACCAAGTTGAGGTAGGATTCCGATCACCCCGCGCCATCCGTTTGTCGGTTCGATCAGAGTGCCCAGAACGGGACCCCGTCGAGGCACAGGTACGGTCGCACATTAGGACATGAGGTGCAAAACCATGTGGGAATATGAAGACCCATACTTTCCACACAGGATTTCATAATTCACACCAGTTTTATTATGGAGATCCGTATGATTTATGTGTCGCACTATGTAACTTGTAGTGTTTCATCCCCATTCATCAGGTTGAGACGTTGACCCAGCTGTCGTCCAACTGGATCAACGGGCTCAAGCCGCATGCAAGGGCAGTCGAACCACTATCTCCGAGACATTAACTCGGAATCCTACGTTGCCATTAGACCATATGGGGCCTATTTGATGTATCTACCTGTTTAACTAAACCAAGAACCGCGTTGGGGAGAGAATAATCTCACGGGCCTGGCATCCAGTAGCCCGGTGTCCAGCTTACGGGTCCGCGGGCCGTAGCTCCCGTGACAAGACATACGCAGGCCCTCACCGCCTCTTCTGAGCTCTCGTCTTTTGACTATTCTTTGCTTCCATCACGTCAACGAGTTGTCCATCTCACCAGTTATCCCTTAGCTTACCGCTGTGCCCTCAGCCCGTTACACAAGATGCCACGGCCTAGAAAGGACCTGGAGCCTCTCAAGGACAGGATCCTTGAAGAGCGGCAACGAGGCCTCACGTTGGATACTATCGCTGCCCATCTCCGCGATGAGGGATTCGACGTCGAGGTTACCACGCTCAAGAGGAGGTGCCGTGAGTGGGGTGTTGCCGGGAGAAGTACCTTGGCCTCACAAGTCGCTACAGACGACCTGGTAGCCCAGATCTCTCGATACTTCTTCCTCTACGGGTACAGCGACACCTCCATCGCGCGGGACCTCCAGAGGAAGGATATCACGATCTCTGAGCGGACGGTCAAGGAGTACCGCCTACAAAACAAGATGAAGAGACGGTACCGAGACGCCGCCGAACGACAAGAAGCTATCGACAAAGCGAGACAGTTCCTAGACCAGGACGACCGTCGGTCTTCTGCCGTGAGGGGATTCGGAAGGGGCTACTTGTACCACTACGTTCGAATCCGCGCCTGTGTTCTCGTTGGACAAAACGCCTTGTACCGGGAGTACCAGACGAACCCTCAGTGGAAGCGACAATCAGAGAAGAGGCGCCTTGCTGACTGGAAGCATCGCCAGAACTTCAAGGTCCCTGGCCCCAACTTCATGTGGTCTCTCGATGGGTATGAGAAGCTCAAGAGCTTCGGCTTCCATATATACGCCTGCATCGACGCCTTCTCGCTGACCTTGACCAAACCGAGGTCGTGTACATGAGCGAAGACGAGACCGAGCGAGTCCATCGACAGGGACAGAGACTAAGCTCTTGTCACATCTGGGGACCAAGTACAAACAACCAGCGCTCTCAACAAGACAAGCCTAACCAAGACAAGACAAGCCAAGTCAAGTCAAGCCAAGTCAAGATGACCATCTTATCAATCAAGACGGCTTTTTTAGCTGGCTTGACTTGTCTTGATACCGGCTTGGTAAGCAGGGACCCTATGGTGGTCATAGCCACGGTGGCTTGGATGGTAAAAATCCTGCTGGCACGGCCAAAAGTTAGCCCTGAGCACCACGCTCATCACCGTCAACATGTCCGATATTGACGATACCTCTTCGGTGACCGCCCTCTCGGAAGCAGTTACCGAGACGGCCAGCCAGCCCTCGACACTGAACACGAGATCCGCCGCAGCCGGAAGCACCGCGTTTGCTACTTTTCGCGAGGGACGGTCCGTTGCCGACCAGCTCCGAGATATCGACACCGACGAAATCCGTACCGAAGTTAGCTTGATGAGCAAGATCAAGATCCAACGCCAAGATTACGTGCCGACCGAGTGGCTACACAGGAAGAAGAGGGGGAGGAAGTCACCTATCGATCCGTATGGCCGGCGGCTCACCAAAATCGTTGGAAATAGGGAGAAGGGAGACTTCTGGCTTTGCAACAGTGTGATAAAAAGAAGGAAATATCGCTATACGCCCTCGTCAACTTGGCCGAGAATATGATCATTCGAGTGTAGAGGAAGGCGTGGAGAAGCTTGACTGATGCCCGGTGTATAGCGGCGCTCTGGTAGACGATGGCAGCCAGTCCGATGAAGGGCCGCATCAATGCGGGAGCCTGGTAAGACGGTCGTGTCGTTATATTGCCCCGCAACAAGGTCTTTGTGAGGCGCAGAGTTGTGAATGCCTGGACGAAGCATGCGACGGTGTCGAGGAGTTCTGGTACCACATTTCCCTCAACAGCCCGGGTGTAATATCGTACAAGCTCGAACGAACCGGCTAGGATATGTAGCACCAGTGAGAAGGAGCCTTGCTTGCGAAATGTGGCATGGTAGACTGGCAGACTGCGCCGGGTGTGATATGCAAAGATCAAGAGGTATACCGAGCATATCAAAAGATATTGTGTCTTCTTGTCAGACGTCAGAGACTCCCAGTAACCTTCCAATGAGTGCCTGGCACGTTCCAAGACACTGGCGGCCGTCATTATTGTGCAAGCACCTGTTCCCATGAAGACAATGTAGATTGATTGTCAGGTGGAAATAGCGGGCGTAAAACTAACTGCAAGACCAAGACGGGTGGCGACAAGGACGGCGGCGGCGGCGGGGAGGAAAGAATGGTAGGAACAAAAAGGCAAGAGGAGAAGGAACACTCGTTTATTGGGCGAACGGATTGGGTGGTCACAAATCCCAATCCAAGCACAGCAGCCGAGAACTACTCTTTGGATAATTAGGCTGAGGGCCGTTTTAGTCCGTCGTCTGAAAAGAGGATACACCGTCCGCTGAAGTCCAATTTGCACCGCCCCGCGCAATAGGATACCTAGTCAAGCTTTCCCCCTCATTGCGAAGTGTCCTAAAATGGCTGGAGATTTCACTATATATATACCTACTCGGCCTTGTCCCCAACATTCGCTTCCTTTCCTCGGAGTGTATCCGTGGATGAATTTGAATTCGTCCTGTTGTCTCACGAGTTCGACTAGCTGATTGAGGAAGCATGATACTCAACAACAAGCGAAGTCTTACCTTGATTCCCTTGTAGTCAAGGGTAGGAGCGACAGAAGCCTTTGGCTTCTCAGGAGTACACACTCCTCACTCAGTTCCTCCTGGTCACTGAGGCTAGACAACGAGCCCAGCTCGCTCACTGAAGAGACGGATAGGTTTTTGTTCTTACCACTTGGCGTGGTTGGGGAGGAGAGTGAGAGAATGACCTGCTTTGCCTTCAAGAAGCATGCGCCTTGTATTCTTTCGCTTTCGCCAGCCAAGGTTTCGGATCAAGCGATACGTGTTTTGGAAAATCCTTACTTCTACTTAGGAGGGGTCTGTTAGTCTTTTGACTTACTAGACGCCTTTGTATGTCCCGTGTTTTTTTATTCATTTATTTATTTAATTTTCTTTATTATTTTATTTTACTTTACTTCTTCCCTCTCTTCGTTGGAAGGGAAACCGTTCTCTCGGCCCTCTCCTACGGGGTCGCAGCTTTCATTACCACCGTTTGCGAAAGCGAAAGGAGGCGATGTAACGAAGAGGACACCCCTGTCTCTCCCGGCGCGGTCAAATGCCATGATTCGGGAGAAATAGACTGGTTGGAAGGCAATCCAGGATCCATGATCTCGTCACACACGTCAAGACGACAGGAAAACTGTAGGATGCTTTACCAAGACCTAGTATCTCTAACGACGCGGCGGCTGACTTCCCTCATTAACTTCCTGCGACCTTAACGGTCCGACCATCCAGATGCGAAACCACAAAGTAAGTAGACACACCAAGTTCCCCGAATAGGGAAGGTTCAAATTTATTGTTATGGCAGTATCTTCTTAAATGAAAAGTCCCAGTTTGTATCAGAGATTCTGTTCAAGACTTGTCCGTCTTCATGTGAGTCTTCCAACACTACTGGGTGGCAAAAGTAATCACCAGACCGTCTCCGTTCGATCACCTCAGCGGGAACCTCGGATGTACGTACGTAGCCGGATTTGCGAAGTTGATCGGCCTCGTACTTCAAGACGCTCTCATGGACGGCACCGTTAGACAGTGGCAGGATCATGTACTTGCGTCGTAGAGCTAGCTCTGGGTAAACGCAAACAGCTCGCCTCCATGTCATGTTACAGAGTCAGACATCTATCGAACCTATCGAATCGAACGCCAAGCCTCGGGATTCGAATCGAACACGCCTCACGTAGATTCGGGTCGAATCGAATGCATGTCCCGTAGACTCGAATCGAATAGAACAAGTCTCCTGTAGATTCGGTGTCTATCGTATCAGACTCGATAGAATTCGAATCGAATTCGATCTAACGCATGACCAAACCAGGTGTAGGTAGAAGAACGTCAGAGGAACTGGTGACTTCGGAAGAGATGTCTCGGAGCATAAGGCAATTGAAAACGGGTTCTAAGCTGATCCAACTAGATATCCCTCGTCTCCTTCAGCGACGCAATTGCATCAACCCATTGGTTATCATTGCGGCTAAGCAGCGGCAGTGAAGGTGTGTACATCCCAGCCCTCGAATGCACTGAGCCATCGCCACTATCTCCCTCCCTCACCCGGCACCTCAGCGGTGCCATCATACGTCCTGCACTACTAAGCGTTCTAAATCTAGAGGGACTAGATTTTTTCCCTATTTGCATTCCTTCCATTCTACCGAATAATCGGCATGTGTTGAGCATTATCCCGTCGCGCCTGTGGGAGTAAGCTCGGCGCGGGCCTACCCTATACCAAGGGGTTAGAGGATACCAAGGTTCTCACCTATTCTATTATGGATGCCCTAGTACCTCCTAACTTCCCCAGTCGCATCTTATAGCCAAGTTGACACGTTCTTCTACCTCTCCCACACGTGTGACAGGGTCGTCATGGAAATTGGTTAAAGACCCCATTCAATGGATTGGCGCTAAAATTTTATAAAGCAGCCAATTGTGGGTTGTCATAGAGGATGATGGCTGCAGTTGCAAGAAACCTGTTCTCCTACGGAAGTTTTGGGGCGCTTGAATGTACTCACTAACGCATCTTAGCACTGTCACTGCGCCCTGGCCATGAGGCACCAATCATTCTCAGTCGCGTAAGACCGCGCCACGGGCTTCTCAACGCGTCAATGAAATCACGCTAAAACAAGCCTCTGACAGCATTGAACAACCTCTCGCGTTTGTTCGACCGAATCGATCGATTTTCGATCGAACCTAGGGCGCTGTTCGATTCGACATTCGTAAAGACTTGGCGTTAAATGAATCTATCGATTCGACTCACATTCGATAGATGTCCAACTCTGGTCATGTAGCACGCTTGTTGGATCGACAACGGGCTTCGAACGACCTGGGCCAGCGCTGCCGTCAAGCCAAGTTGGCTTGAGTAAGATTGGGCTCGCTGACAGTCAAGCAAGTCAAGTTGAGGGTTCTGTCAAGTCAAGTAAGTCAAGTAGGACCCCCTAGTAACTTCTCGCTGACAGTCAAGCAAGTCAAGTTGAGGGTTCTGTCAAGTCAAGTAAGTCAAGTAGGACCCCCTAGTAACTTGACTTATATGAGACATCAGATATTTTTGATGTTTTCTGTATTTTGCTATATTTTCTACTGTCGATCCAACGTGAGGCCGAAAAAGTGGCCCTTTTATGTCATTATCATTTTTTGGTGTTTTGGTTCCGATTACACGACCCGGCCCATGGCCCAGGCGCTGTCCGAGTCAACACATCACAAAGTTCTACGGATTTCGCACTTTCAGCCATGGGCTCCTTTGTCCTTACATCCTTCAATAACACCCTACTGCTACTACCTCTGCCACGGTCAGCTCCGCCCCAATTGATGCTATTCGCACTCTGACGCTTGATCTAGCGTGCCATGAACGAAGCTCGGGACCCCCTCGCCCTTCGGGACGCCTTAGAGCACTCTAGAGAGAACCCCTACGCCGTCCGCCTTCGCCCTTCGCCGCCAAGCGCAGGCACGCAAGACTGTGACCTAGCAGCTCGACGAGCTATCGATTGAGGCTCACCCGCAACCGACGACATGAAACCGCTCCCGCACCCCAATGTAAAGGGCCGGTCATATATACTAGAAGATTAGGCCCGCAAGAAGGGAGGGCGGCTACGGACGACTTGGATTAAGGACTACGGGGTCTTCTTACTCGATTAATCCCCGCTGGCACCACCAAGCCGCACTGCCGAGCCTGTGACAAGATGGGGAGCCCTTTGCTCTTCCAACATCAAGCCTCGACCTCCGCTTTAGCACACCTTAGAGAGTATATATCCCTCCTCCCTCTCGGGCCTTACTGACTGTCTCAGTAAGAATAGGATCCTTCCAGGTGACCCTAAGGGCCCAGTGACCCCCAATGCCCATGACGAAAGCGAGGGCTGCACGTGCCAAAGAACTATGGCTTGACGTACATCATCGACGCCGACTAGCATTTCTCAACTTTCTCGAATAAATACATGAAGGAGCTGCTCAATCTGTCCGTTTCGGGCCTGGTGGGCCAATTGGCCCTTAGGCGGACCTCTTTCCGCGAGGAGCTGTCAAAGTTCTTCGAGAAGAAGAAGAAAGAAGAGCTCCGGGCTGACTTACAGGATGTCTTTTTAATAGTCTACCTCTCCTTCGACCTCTGGACCTCTCGTAACCGGCATGCGAAGACTGCTATATTCAGACACTACGTTAACAAGAATCAACAGTAGCGAAATCGCCCTCTTGCCCTTCGACGTCAATCAGGTGCCCACAGCGGCGAGAACATAGCCAACATGCTCAAGAGGGTCATCAATGAGTGGGGGATCAATATGGAGCGCGCTATCATTATACCGGATACTGCAGCGAACAACGATACAAACCTGGAGGCCCTCTTCAAAGTGTTAGACCTACTAATAGGTGTGGATGAAGTCAAGGCCCACCGGGTATGCGGTTTTGGCCACATCTTCACCCTCATCGCAAAGCCGTCCTCTTAGGCTTCGGGGTTGATGTTTTCGAGGATGGAGTTAATGTGGGCGATGCCGAAGCTGACTTCTAGTAATGGCGTAAGAATAGCCCTATCGCAAAGCTCCATAACATCGTCAGATACACCCGGGCATCGCCGCAACGGCCGGAGGCATTGAGGGATGTTGCAACGCAGCTTGAAGCCGAATTCAACTTTGAAGACTCTACTACCGACCTTCAAGTCATCAACAACAACGAGACTAGGTGGAATTCAACCTACCTGATGATTGAGTGAGCCATACGGAAGCATCGTGACATCGTCGGTTTCCTAGCTCAAGAGGCACACGAGGGTAGCAACCTTCCTCACGATTATCATCTTGAACCTGACCACTGGAAGCTTCTGAGTGAGTTCATACGTATCCTCGAGCCCCTATACGGATTGACGATGCAGACACAAAGCAATGGGCAAAGCGGTAAATTCGGCATGCTTTGGCAGATTCTGACAGATGGAACACATTCTCGATATCAAAGCCTGGAAGCAGCATTATGACCTAATTACAGCCGAAACTGTGGTCAATTCGCAAGCATAAGGCCACGCAGAACAGGATACTGACGATGATACGATCCAGAGCCCATTGTCGCCCGTCAACAGGCACGGAGGGCACCCAGTCCGGTCTAGCAAGTCACCTGCTCGGCTCGAAGGTTACGAAATTAACATCCCTCGCGCTAGCGGCCGCCTCCAACAGTCTCAACGGGCACAATTAAGCGAAGATGCCCTACGCAACCTACCTACCTCTATACGAGATGAATACATCCGCCCTTTCGCCCGTGATGTGAGTAAAAGAGAGGGCATCGCTGCCGCCGAGGGCCGCTATATCTCTGCCTTGATTCAACGTGCCTCGTCTAAGCTTAATATCTACTACAATAAACTTACTAACTCGTCCTTATTTGTGGCCTACGTTATCCTATATCCCGACTACTCGATGACGTATCTCGAAGGTCTGTGGAATGCAGATTTCCAACACGAATGAATCCTCGATGCCAAGAGGGACCTCAAGGACCACTTCAAGTGTTGGTATACCTCTGATCATGCCGACCGTAGCGAGAAACCGAACCGCTCTGCCCCGTGAGGCCTCAAGCTCGAGAAGAGTCGTTGGAAGGGCTGGCTAGATGCTCGGAGGCGCCGGATGCTACAGCAGAATTAGCAGCCTGATACCTTACTCGAAGAGCTTGACAGATTCTACAAGGTAAAGCATGAGACCACGGATGAACCGATTGCGTGGTAGTGTAAGAAGAGGGAATATCCAGCACCGTCACAGCTTACCTTCATTATCTTACCTATACCAGCGATGGCTGCTGACTGTGAGAGTGTCTTTAGTCTCTCGAAGCTCACGATGGCCTCACAGCGTCGGTCAATACATCTGGAGACCCTCGCGTTCTTGCAATGCCTCAAGAATTGGAGCCGGACTCGCGGCATACGGTTTAGCAATCTCCTCGCAGATCCCATTTTGAAAGAATGCCTCGAGGCCAGCGGCGAGCTCGAGTGATGATCAAATAGAGCCAATTCAGGTCAGAAAGCGACTTTTACTGTCGCACTAGGTCAATTTGCCAAGTTGAACCAAGTAAGTCAAGTTCAAGTAAGTTGGGGCTCGTGAGGAGTCAAGCAAGTTAAGTTGACTTGGCGGCAGCGCTGACCTAGGCTTCCAGGTGATGCGCCATTCTTCTTGAGCAACTCCTCGTCACAAAACTCGAAGAAGAGATCGTCTTCACCCTGACTGCAAAACCGCAGGCTCTCCGAGGAGGCGCGCCACTTGTAATCTCCTCAAAGGCGGAAACGAGAGATAACTAATCGGCATGCTTGTAGGACAGAATTTGTGTCCGATTGAATTCTTCGGGAAGGGCTAAGGGTTAGCAACGTGGAATTGTTCGCATGAACTCCCCTTCTCGTCTAGAAAAGCAGTGAGACCCCCACGACCCGGTAATGATGGCGCTTATCTTTCGCATTACCGGTACATTCTCGACAGGCTTTCGTATCGCTTACATAGTGACGAACAGGGTCTCCTTCCATTATACAGCGCTCGATGGATCGGAGAGCACGAATTTATTAACTGTCAGGAGCCTGCAGACGCAGCGTTCGGGGCTCGATTTTGGACTGCCCACCGTGGAAGATACTGGAGAAAGCGTGGTAAGTTCGAGATTTCTGTGCGTTCGGTATGATTTGTCATTGGCTTTTCGTTGATACAACTTTCGTTTTATTGTCTTTTCCTAAACTAACGTCGGAAGCAAATGCCTTCTGCAGGACTACTCGTAGAGCGTCGTCTCGTATAACCCGTTTGTTATCGCTTATATTCTGGAACTGCGGGTGTGCCTTCTCAAGGCGCACCCGCAACTAGCTCGGGGAGAAGTGCGTAAGAAAAGGCTGTTCATCGCAAGAACCGGAATATTCACCAGTAAGTTTGGTAGGCAGAACTAGAAGGTGAAAAGGATGATCGAGGAACTCCTCCGCTTTACCGTCGAAACAAATTAACACAATAGGCCGGGTGGATAATTTCTACACGGAAAAGGGCTCCAAATTCCCGGTTCTGACTGCTGGAACGATAAGCAAGCCAATATCCTCTTGCCCTGGCTCGGCGAAGTGTTCTAACTAGGAGCGATTTGCCACGACCCTCGGGTCTGCATACGAGGATAGTGACTTACCCCCTGATAATCAAAGTCCCTTCTCTGACGGAAGCTGCAGAATGCATTTTAGAAGAAAGGAAAGGGCAAGCATAGCTAATCGTAAGCAAAGGGCTATGTAAGTCTTGAAGTGCTCGTATAAGTCAGGTTGATTACTGGTTGAATATTTGATTCAGTATCGAAATGAATGATGATAAATAGGTATGACTGAGTTTTGGGAAGCCGACGAACTTACATTTGTTCCAGCACACCACGCTTGGTAGAACAAAAAAAGATCATTCAGGTCATTTTCATTTGGCATGGCCGATGCAGTTTTCATTGAGCAATCTCCCACCTGAGGATCGGGGGCCCGGTCAAAGCCGCGTTGCGGTCTTGCTGGAAATGAAAAGTATCTCAAAACCATGTGGCCAGGTTTCAAAGAGTGGGAGTAGGGCATCAAGCAACAGTTACTGGACAAGTAATGAGACAGCGAGCCCACGCACTCTCGGGTAAGTCCCTAGTTGTTCAGGCGGGACCCGAAAGTGATGCGGGCCATTGAAAGAAGGGACAATGAGCAGCCAGACACTGCGTCCGATATCCGCGGGTACCTGGGACGAGGCGGCTTTCGTCTCTGTGCTGGACATTATCCGTGGCCACAATCGAGAGCTCCCAATCGCTGAGTCTGGAGTCGCTCACCAACCTAGCCAACCCGGTCGATTATTACGGCTGTCATCAGGAAGGCCCGGTCGAGGCACCAGATCTCCCGTTAGGTGAATTCTGGGTTGGTGAGCTTCATCTTTCAAAAACAGCTGACGGTTCGAACAGAAAAACTCGAGGTGAAAAGAGGGGACCGATAGCGCGTTACACTTTTACAGGAGACTGGAACCTAGGCCGCCCTAACCTGATGTCGATTCAACGCGGTACAAATTATATTGAGGAGAACTGAGTGATTGGCTGATTGCTGATCAACCAACATACCGGAACGCAGATCCAAGCGCCATTCTTTCCATCCGCGGGCATCGAGCACGACTTTGACTTCACATATCGATATGATATCTAGGCTATACCCTAGCGAGGACACCATGTATTCCCTGTCGCACTTAGTACTGCCCGACGGTCAAACCGAAAGGGCAACTACGCTCTTCCCCTTTGATTTGCCCTGGCATGTCCTGTTAGTGCCCACACCGCGATTACCGCAATTTCCTTAACAAACCCACGCCTCCCCAAACACCAACCCGTTCAAACGCGATGGCCACTGGGCCAGGCGTAAACAGTGGTGACCCCGCATCGAACAAACGCTGCATACCGAGCATCGATTGACAGTAGTCCTCCAACAACGCTCGGATCGCCAACCCAACCCAGCCTGCACCAGAGAAGCGCGAAGAGCAAACGGAGCCGATTGCTTGGCAAGCGCTGCAATCCTCGGGAGGATCGCCGAGAACTAACCTCGGACACCTCTCGCAACTACCCTACCATGAAGCCGACCGTACATCAGCATGGGGGTTGTCGCAATGAAGCCTGTTTCCGAATTCGCCTGTAGAGTCCACGAAGACCGTCCTTGTGTGGTCACTTGGTGTGACTTTCGCGCTTGAATAGTTGGTTCGGATTGTCTAGTTGCTCCCGAAGGATCACCAAAGTGTCGAGAGTGGACTTGATGCCCGCCGAATGACCTTCAAGATCGTTGGATATTTCGAAAAGTGCTTCCGTCACGTCGTCATTCGAATCTTGTGATGGGCTAAAAAGGATCCTCCCCTGGGCGAGTAGCCCTGAAAAAAGTAAGAGGCAGCGAAATACCATGTTTGCTAAGGTTTCAACTTCCAGGATAACGGAGTCCATGATACTGCGAGCATCGAGACGCTGGGCCAAGGATCTTCTCGGCTGTTCCTTGTGGTGAATCAGACCTTCTTCTCCCGCTAGAATCGATGGTGTTGCTATGATTAGTCCTCTTACCTCGCCTAGGTGGCGATACATGTCTTTAGCTAATTCCGCAATGCTCTTCGAGAGATCGATTCTATCAGGGTTGAAAATAGTAATTTGAAGCTCGACGCTCAGCTGAACATGGGATAACGCCTCAGTTACGACGTTTTCGCGTCTCTCAAGGAGCTCTTTCTGACGATAAAGTCGCGTTTGCAGCTGTGCGAGAGTCACAAGTTCGTCGTCAACTGACGATGCGTTTTCGTGAATGTTTAAAGAACCAAGCTGTTTCTCCAGGTCGGCATCATCGTCATCGTCAGCAAACCCAACGAAGTAGCTGAGTCGCGTGGGTGAAGACGTTGAGACGGGCCCAAGAACCTGGAACAAGTCTTGCCGGCTTCCAAGCTCGCCAAGTACTGAAAGATCAGAACATGGGTCATTTGCGGAACTAGAAGTTGCGCATATATTTCCTCACTCATTGATGACTACGACAGTAAACTTCGAGCTGGTAAGTGGATTTGAATTGTGAGAGCTCATGCTAACAAGTCTTTCAAGAACAAGTCCAAAGAAACGGCATTGAAAATACTTAATATGTTCGACAGTGGCATTGTTCATCTAATCGACGGTCCAGACATTGATCGCCATCGAAATGCTCTTACCGTAAGCATTGACCTCCATCGACAATTTGGCAACTTCAAGGTTTTTTTTGAGCCTATGTCTGAGCCTCATACCTACCGGATTGATTCAACCCTCCGCCAGCCATTTAGAAACCCGATTTTCCCTGTAACCCGTGAACTCTACCTCACTCCTGAGCGAACTATTGATCCCCCGTCCGTTCGACATCTTGCCGTTCATCGCGCAATTTGCCACATTTTACATCTCAGTGCTGCTGGGCATTACATCGACAGCATACTGCGCGACATGGATGACGGGACTGTACAAGCCAACGGCTCGACTCGCCTGGCTAGCATAGTTCGTCTAAAATTGGGGGGTTGGTGGGATGGCACTGTTGTTGGATAGTCAACCACTTCGACCCTCTCCATACACCACAACGGCAACTCGAGCTGATGCATCACCGATCTACCTACGCCATTCGCGTGGAGGATCGAGTGTCGCTAGCCCTTCTTTGATCAGATTCATCAACTTCAGCCCAGCCAGCAGAGGCGTCGGAGGATTGCCCAGAAAACCCATTTCTTTGCCGTTACTTCTCAGACGATGGCCTTCCTCTGTGCTAGTGTCAGACGATACTACTTCCCCCCCGTGCACACCAAGGCACAGAAAGGCCTGAAGTACTTGCTACCGGAAAAGAGATTCTGTACCCAGCAAACCCAACCATTGCAGTTGTCTCATTCGGCTCCCTCCCAAAGACGGATTAATATCGCGGCTAGACTGCCGCACCTGCATATCCCGTTGACGGGCAACAGGTTCAACACAGAGCGCTTTAGGACCGATGCCATGCCGGATAGTGGAAGGCGGGGGTTTCTCTATAACTTTAGCTGGCCCAGCACGTCCTATGCCCTCTAGGGGACCTGCCAGGACGAAAAATACACATACATACATACATACAAATCCAATCACTTAAGTGTAAGGTCCAACCACTCATCTTTACTTGACGGGGGCTACGATCCCTCACTTCTTTCTTAAAGAGACGGGGTTTAACTCGATTGTGCTACGGAGATTCCCGGCATTCATGTTTCCAAGGGTGCTCTGCTCCCTTGTTCGCCGATCTGAGCTGGCACTAGGCGAGATGGGCAATCGCATGGGGATAACAGTCTCCACCTGGCCCTCTCGGAGGGCATTGCAGCACTGGATCGATCAGGAGCACTTTGGGGGTTAATGCATCTTCCTCACCGGACGACCGTACTCCAATGATTGCTGCGAGTATTACGACGTAATACCTATCCCTTATTCCATTTGTCGCTTACCCAAGCAGAGCTTGGGTAATTATCCCTTGCAGGGAATAAAGCCTTGGCGGTGACTTGCCCAAGTAGGAAGCTAGGAATGTGGGCTTGCTTCCATCACGGAAACGCTTGCCTGCTGGAAAGCACGCTAAAATGAACTTTAATTTACGCATTGGCTCTGTAAGAACGCGGCTGGCGTTCTACGACTGCCGCCACCGATTGTCTCTCCGTCAGTCAACTTCAAACGTCTCTGTCAAAGTAACACTTGCGTTTTTGCCCGTACGGTTTCTGCGCTGTACGATGGATACCCCGGCTTTAATATATTATTACTCCCCCATTCAGGTCCTCATTTGCAAATCCTGCAAACTCAGCCTCGCGACTTCTATTTGAGATTGCATCTGTACGTTCCACAAAGAAACTACTTTACCCAAAGTCAGTTGCAGCGATATGAGGCCTCCTTCTGCTCTCTGCCTTACATAACGGATTGTACCTCCATCATGAACCTACGGTTGAGCTCACAAGATACCGCGATTCCTCACCTGAATCTTAACGACATCCTTCGCCTCTGCTGTGACAGCTATAGGCGACCTCACGTATGTTAGGTTTTGGGTTTCAGGTAGCATTCATCAACCAGTCTGAGCAAGGCCAATATCTTGGATCTTTCCGGTTAACTCACTACCTCACAGTTCTGCAATACGCCAATCGTATGAACTAAGAATTCGGGTGACTCGTCATCCATCCTCTATATTGCACTTTCATAATCTAATCACCTTCGACGGCTCGATGATATCTGCCCAACAACAAGACCACCTCCGCCTCTCTGCCCGCTTAAAGCAGTCTCCATCCACGTCCACTTATTTCACTGCAGTCCGTTAATGCCTTTGACCATTCTCATGACCCTGAGCAAACAATGACTTCGTCGTCGTTGTCATCTTGGCTGGATTCAGGTGAGAATCGCAGACGTAGTCTCTGATCTCCATTGGGGCTGATTCGTGCCAGGTGAGTTGGGCGTTGACAGAGGCGTGATAGAATACTCGTAACCGGCCTCCGAGCAGTTGGCCGAGTAGTCAAAAGAGTTAGGAGTCTGCAAACTTCATCAGCAACGTGGGTCTCGAGCTACCTATCTCGTGGGCCGCTTGACTGGCATAACTCACATCAGGGTTGGGCTGGTCGTAGGGGCTGGGAGCGTTGAAGCCCATGGGAGGCATGTAGCCATATGTAATGTAAGAGGTCAGCCCGTCATCGCCGGGGTACCATTCCCGCTTGATGACGTCGCTGAAGTGCGTCATCGAGGGATGCGCCATGGGAACGGCGGAAGCCGCGAGGAAGTTAGGATAGACGACAGCGATGGTCATTATCGGGTAGTGCTGAGCGGAGCCGTAGGGAGCGAGGAGGATCTCGTTAGGAGCCGGGCAAGTTGAGTAAGTGAACTGGGGAGGGCTGTCGGAGCGGGGCCGGTCGTCGTAGGTGCCAGGGAAGAAGAGATTGCCAGTCGGCTCCATGGAAGGAGTGAATTGGCACTGAGAGACGACAGGCTTGGCCGGGGTAGTTGTGACGGTACAAGGGCACGAACGAGGTCGAGTGCGACTTGGGCAAAATGATTGTTTACAAGGAGAGAAAGAGATTCCTAAGGAAAGCTCTGACTTAAAGCTATTTACACAATATTCACAAAGTGAGACTATTCATAAAGTATGAAAGTCACATGATCGTTCCCTCACAGGTGGCTGGCATCAACTCAGAATTTGACAGTGTCGGACAGGCTACGGAGCATTTCTGAGTATGTCTTCTTTCTCCGTGAGCATAGACTGAACTAATAAGCTTCAGAGAGCATCATTATCTCATACAATTACCATGCCCCACCACCCTTTCGCTAACACCACCCTTTCGCTAACCAAATTGAGGCTATCTCCACCAAAAACCCGTTTTTTCAACCCTCGCTGGTTATAATCAATTTTAATAATATAAATATAAAAGAAATATCATTTGATAGAGAATTGAAGAATTTATGTACTTTTAGGTCTTTTGACTAGCCGCCCGGATCGGGTGGTGCGCTGAGGAGATTCAGTTTCCTCCCTGACTACAATAACCGAAGCAGCCTCCGCCTCTGAGACTGACTCCTCCGAAGAGTCAGATTCCACCACAACAGCGTTTATTTCGCTTCCTTTTTCGGGAATATCCTCCGCGGCGGCTAGAGCTTCACTGAGACTCATGAAACGCCTATTGGGATTAGGAATAGCCTTCCTCTTCTTCCCTCTCTTTAGACGGGCCAGTTCCTCCTTCAGACTAGCAATTTCCACGGCATGCGACGCCAACGTCTGTTGCTGAGTCTCAAAGCCTTTGGCTATCACGGTATATCGCCTCCGCGTATTTGGTGATTTGTTTAGGCCAAGATCACGAATATGACGACTGGTCTTTGGTGTATCATCTGAGCCAAAATAAGGCGCCTTCTCTGGAGTCGCCTTTGGACTGCCACGTGGCTTGTCCTCTTGGATCTCTGGATGCCGCAATGCTTTTTCTCGTGAGATTGGCCAATTTCCGGTTACTCTCCAGCCGGAGAGTATATTCTTCTTTGTCATTCCCACTTCACGAGCCCTGGCGTAGGCTCTGATGAAGTTGACCTTATCCACCGGCGTGGAATCAGTCAGAGAAGCGAACTTTTCCAACTCTCGTCGATATGCAGCCTTGGAGGCATTAAATACTCCATTATCTAATGGCTGGAGGCCGTGAGAGCAGTGTGCTGGAAGGTAGCAACAATAAACGTTGTTCAAAAAGCACGTAGCCATCCATTCATCCTTCTCCCGGTTAGTAGTAATCCTTGACGAAATAAACAAAGAACGTACCGTTGCATGACTCCCATGGCCGTCTAGAATGATTAATCTAGCATCTGACTCATCAGCAGGCTTAGTTTGAGGCAAATAGACTCTTTCAAGCCACTCAACACCAATGTGGTTATCTGTCCACCCGTTAGGTGAAGTTATATAGTGCCAATCAGCTATCTTCTTGAATTCCTTAAGGAACCACTGCTGTTGGAGTTCCTTTCCTTTGAATATAATTCCAGGAGTCAAAACACGGCCGTCAGCGGTAATAGCCTCAATAAACGAAGTCCAACTTCGCGTCTGTGGTCCTTTGAGGAGAGCCTTCCGCCTTGGGTCTGCACTTCCAACCACCAGACTATCCAGGCCTAGCAAGAGAAGTTTGGTTAATTAGATTTCGAATAGAGAGGGAATAGAGAGGGAATAGAGAGGGAATAGAGAGGGAATAGAGAGGTAGAGGCTTGCCAAAACCGATCATAATACCGCCTTCATCAACGTTAACAGTGTTCTCAGGCTTAATCCACCCATACTCCTTCTCCCTGATATCAAAGAACCAATGGACCGCCTTGGGCGTGAAAGAGTCGAATCTATTAGCTTCTTGACGTCTCCCAATCTTAGTCTTAAGCTCTGAACGGCGTTGAATGAATCTGGCTACCCAATTGCGTCCTAATGTTGGTTGTTCGCTTTGTTGATTCAACATGGCGAAGACGCAGGCGCGAATTTGACTGTGAGATGGAGCATATCCCAAAGCCTCTTGACGAAGAATCCAAAAGGCTAATTTGTCCTCCTGATGCTTGGATAGACGTTGTCCAGGCTGAATTTGTTCGTTCACAGCCAACTGACCACTAAGTCTGTCGGAAAGAGTCCTTTGTGGCACTCCCCACTTCTGAGCTGATTGGAACTGTGAAAGGCCGTTATCCGTGATATCCAATATAGCCTCAGCCATGTCGTCTTCTGTATATTTCCAGCGAGGCCGTGATGAAGGCATTTTTATTGCGTTGTGAAAAACTGACATGAAAAGAAGTGGAAAGGAGCGGTGAGGAATTCAATCCCTGATTTGGTGACTTTGCAGTACAGGGATCTGCATATATCACGTGCTCCATGCAGCTGCACGAGACTATAAAAATAAACTCCATTCAATTCTCTATCTATAAGAAGCGACCGCTTGCGAATAACTTCTATTTTGGTTAAATTCTGTATAAGTGAAATAGTTGAGTTTTATATGGCGCGTGGCTATTTTTGGTTAGCGAAAGGGTGGTGTTAGCGAAAGGGTGGTGGGGCATGGTAGCTTCTGCTTGCCGAAAGGGCCAAATTCAGCCTGCTACTTGGAAGGAAGTTGCAAGGCAAACGCTCCACTTCCTTTCAACCTTATCACAGCTCTCGAGTGAATTTGAGGTACTTTACAAGACGCTAAAGTATTGTTCCGTTGAGGCCGATTTCCTCCTGGGAGGTCAGCCCATGGATCAATGCCTCACTTCAGGAGATCAAGTTGCCATACAGTCTCCCAAACATCAATCCATTCATCATTCCCTTCGTCCATCGTCCTATAGAACAAATTATTTCTTTTAGCTTATTCGATTACAATAAGACTACCTAGGATACCCTTAATGCTTCATACTAATAGACCCAGCCACTTCCGACAGAAAGCCATGACGACGCCCCTACGATAAGAGAAGCCCATCAGCACGGAGGAAGTGGTGGAGGAAAGAGGGGAATGAACATGTCGCAGCGCAAGAGAAACTGGGCTTGATGAAGCATCTGGGTGGACTTGGGTTTACACGTCGTCGGTCCAACTCGATTTAGCATTTACCACACATTATTAGGTATCGACGGAATGGTCGCTCAAGCTTTTGGCAAATATCTTGGAAAAAAACTCCTCTTTATCCGGCAATGCTTTCCAGTGTATGGATCGTTGGAGCGAGGATTAAGGCGAACTTCCGAGGGCTTTATTTCAACACGTAGCTTTTGTACCGAGGGGAGGTCAGTCAAGCTGTTGCGATAGTGTTGCAACTCCTTGGTGTGGCTGATGATTTAAGCTAGCCAATAGGCCTCCAACTGTTCTTTCGTCCTGGTCGCAACTAGGTGATGCCGGTTCTCCTCCCATTTAACACCACCTTCTCCAAACTGATTGCTGAGATGGCCCAAAAAGAAATCTGTATTCTTTTCTGCTTGGGGGAATGCATTCTTGAATGTTTCAAAGAGCTCCTCTACCCCAGGCTTCTTCGTCGCCTTCTCAATCTTTTCTTCAAACAACTGAAGATATTTCTTATTATGCTCCAAGTCCGCCTTAGCATCTAACTCCCACCCAGCCTCCAGGTGGCCCGGTATAATAGTCGCGGGGTTTAGGCCTTCGATCAACGCGATTGTTTTCCTCCAAGCTGCCAAGATTGTAGGAGTCTCAATCTCTTCAACCCAGATGTGTGAGCAACGCGCATAGATCGCATCGCCGCAAATGATTGTTCGCTCCGACGGTAGCCAGAAGAGGGTGCCGTCGACGCAGTCACCCTGTAGAGGGCCCAAGAGCATAACGGGAGAGCTCTCGTCTCCATCGAGCACGAAGAAGCTGTGATGAAACTCGTCGGGCTTCCGGGGCGCCGCCGGCACCTTATCAACACCGACTACTGTTGGCCAGTACTTTACTTTCTCGTCATATTCGCGATCAATAGCGGCACAAACGTAGGGCGCCGCGTAGAATTTTGCCTCTGGGAAAGCTTCGAGGATTGGATTTGCGCTGAAGTAGTGATCTGGGTGGTGGTGTGTTACAAAGACGCCTTTGAGCGGCAGCGTTGTCGTCTTTCTGATCCAAGATACCACATCGTTGGCGTCGGGAATAAGGAAAGGCGGGTCGATCAAGGTACAGTACTTGCTGCCGGTAATGAGAACGGTGACCGAAGAGAGTCCTTCTACTGACGAGCAATGGAGATGGGTCGTGAGGGGCATAGTGTTATCTAAGAGGCATTTTTGGCCTTTGATAACATCCCTACTGCAAATTGGCCCTCAATTCAATGATCAACAGCTTCTACGGTATCAATTCAACTTGCCGCGCCTTTCTCCTGCTACAATGAACCCAATTGAGGCTCCCCGTTCCTTCCCTGAGGATGCCCTTCCTCCTGAAGGCCAATATGCCTCACGGGAGGAAGTCCGTACAGCAATCAATGCTTGGGCAGCGCCACGAGGTTATGCCTTTGTGATCGGAAGATCTAGAACGACTGTCAGTAAAAGAAGTATAGTTACCTTCATCTGTGACCGTGGAGCAGGGCGCACTCCTTCCTACAAGCCCGGAGAGGAACAGCAGCGGAATACACGCCGTACGGGATGCCGCTTCTCTGTCATAGCAAAGGAAAGCATATGTAAGACCGTATGGAGTCTGCAGCATCGTCCTGAGGCTGGCTTTGACCAACACAATCACGAACCAAGTCACACTCAACGGGAACATCCGATACTTCGTCAGCTATCAGGCCCGCAGGAAACAACAGTCCAACAACTCGCCAATGCCGGCATTGCGCCAAAGCAGATCAGATCCTATTTGCATGCAAACTTACCTACACTTGCCACACAGCAAGATATCTACAACTGCATTGCACGAGGCAAACGGAAGCTTGCTCAAGGTCAAAGCAATATGCATGCCCTTACCGAACAGCTCCAAAGTGAGGGCTTCTGGAGTCGATTTGATCTTGACGAGAGTGGTAGAGTTGTGGCAGTGTTATATGCACATCCACAGTCACTGGGATACCTCAAATCATATCCCGAAGTGCTTATATTGGACTGTACCTACAAGACCAATAAGTACAAGATGCCTCTTCTCGATATAGTTGGTGTTGATGCTTGTCAACGATCCTTCTGTATTGCATTTGCATTCCTTAGTGGCGAGGAAGAAGTCGATTACATATGGGCTCTTGGACAGCTACGGTATATGTATCAGCTTCATGAAGTGGCCCTTCCATCTGTGATACTCACAGATCGCTGTCTTGCCTGTATGAATGCCCTTGCCTCTCCCTCTTGTTTCCCTGAGTCAACTGCTATGTTATGCTTATGGCATATCGATAAAGCAGTACTAAGCTATTGTCTGCCTGCATTCACTCAAGATAAGACCAATACTCAGGGATATGAAGAGTGGAAAGAGTTCTACAGCCATTGGCATGAGATTGTGGCCTCAGCAACTGAGGATATTTATAACGAGAGGCTTGAGAAGTTCAAGGAGCGTTATATCCCTGACCACATCAACGAAGTGGGCTATCTTATGGATACCTGGCTTGATCTCTATAAAGAGAGATTTGTCAAGGCGTGGGTTAACCAATACCTTCACTTTGAGCAATATGTCACATCACGGGGCGAAGGCATTCATCAGCTTATCAAATCTCACTTGAAAACCTCACAAGCCGACCTCTTTGAGGCCTGGAGGATTATCAAGCTTGTTCTTCACGACCAGATTTCCGAGCTCGAGGCCAACCAAGGCAGGCAGCATATCAGCACACCTATTCGACTATCTGGGATTTTATACAGCAACATACGTGGTTGGATCTCACACAAAGCCTTGCATAAGGTTGAGGTTCAGCGAGAACGGCTATCAAACGAACTTCCTGTATGCACAGAGGTCTTCACTAAGACTCTTGGTCTGCCTTGTGCTCATATCCTTCGGTCTTTACTGGAGCAGAATCAGCCCCTTCAACTACATCATTTCCATTCACATTGGTATCTCCAACGCTCAGGAACCCCCCGGCTTATTATTGAGCCATACAGGCAGTTTGATCGTCTAACAGCTAGTTCGACGCTGCCACCAACGAGCACACAACGTGAGCCCTGTGTATTTGAAGGTGTTGAGAAAGCAGTACGACCAAAGGCAGCACCAATATGTTCGAAATGTCATACACAAGGCCACACAATGAGGTCTAAAGCATGCCCCTTACGTTACGAACATCTATTGGAGGCTCAGGCTTCTGCTCAGGCTCCTGCTCAGGCTCCTGCTCAAACCTCTACATCAACACATATAACGACACATACAACGACACAGACACTTACTCGCTCTATCACCCGCTCATTATCTCCATTATCTCTGACTGAATTCTCTGTGGTATCCGAGACTGTATCCGAGACTGTGGCCCGCATAAGAACACAGACAACAACAACAACAACATACATACAACCTCACCCACAATCTCCTCCAGCAGCTGGATTAGTATCTCCGTTACGAGCTGATGACCCCCGTGCTATCTTCCAACGGTATAAAGAAGCACGAGAGGCCTGGTTTACTACATTACCTCGAGGAGCCTACAAGACCAATCAACAATACCGCAAGGCTATGGGACTGCCTGTACGTTACAGCAAAGCAGAATATGACTGGTGCCTTAACTACAAGCAAATGGGGAGTCGTTGCAGGGCGGGAAATAGCATCAGAGATTGGACTAAGGAGGAGATAATGAGTTATCTTGATTGGGATAAAGCTGAGAACGAGCGGGTTGAACAGAATGTAGGGATAGAGATGGCAGATCAGCCTTTCTCAGGGCGGCGAGGCATGCAAGATATTTGGGATGCAGCTGAGAGAGATCTTCAATTACAGGAGAGATTGTACGGCAATGGGAACCCCCCCCTGCTGATACTTGGAAGAGTGATGGGGGATGCAATCAGAATATGTCATTAGAAAGAAAAAGAAAAGGGGAATCTCTGAGTATAGTTATGGTGACCCAATAGCTTAATTTGATCGAGTTGTGGCCGAGTTCCTATGTAGGGTTGAGTAGGCTTAGTGGTTGCCTATGAGATAACTAGAGATACTGCAAAAATAACACAATGGTGTATTTATTGAGCTACATAATGATATCACTGTGTGCCCTGCCACATCCACTGAATATACCCATTTGGATCAATATTCCAAATATGAATTCCTGATCCCTCTATTGCCCGGAGATTTGATAGATTAGAGGTCATCCCTACAGCAGCTGTTGGCCATACCGTGCCTGGGACTGTGATGTTCATATTGCGGTATGAACTATCAAGAGTTTGAAGTCGATTATAAGTCCATATAGGGGTTACATCTGGGTGAATGCGCTCTTGCCGTTGATAAAGAGCATTATTAAGATACCCAATATGCCACTCCCCCCTAACCTGATATCCAAATGGCTGTACCTCTGTAATAACAGGCTCCCCTTGGGGGGGATATTGAGTAGCTTGAGCTCTTGCAAGTGCTTGGGGGTCTGCATAGAGCATAGTGGGAGAGGTTGGATCCGTTGGCAAGGTAGTAGCAGACCTCCAATACTCAACAGGAAATGGAGCTGTTGAAATATGAGGAAGGCGGGCTGGTAACGGCACTTGTTGATTATTGGCAATAGGCCGTAGAATAAACGGGTTGTTATTATTTACTGGGAATGGCCCAGCTGGTGTTGCTGAATGATCCACAAAGATAGGGATATCTTGAGGGTTCTGACGCTGGCTTTGATTGCGGTTGTACATCTTGACGGTATTGCTTAATGTAGAAAGAGGGCTTCTTCCAAGAGGAAGAGTCCTGCTTTTATACTGCAGGCATTGAAGTCATTCACTTACACATGACCGCAGGCGTTGAAGTCATTCACTTACACATGACTGCTGCGGTGTTATGACCAAGTATTGTGTGTTATTCACGGCCTTGCGCAGACTGGTACGTTGCCAAAGGATCAAATGTGATACATTGAATAGCTGTATATACACCAAATCATCATCTTCCTTCAATTGCATGAATGAATGCCTTGTGGGTGTGTGCAAGAGAGATATCCCTCAGGCCTACTAGATAACGGATCTTGGTTGCACCCCCAGCGGTGCACGAGTCACGTGGTTGGTATTTGCACCCCTAGCGGTGCAGGTACGGCTAGCCCCGGGTATCCACGAGTTTGCGTTGCCGCCATAGACCAGCCGCATCCCAGTGATGGAACTCGTCCTTTGCTTCGGGTGATTATGGAAGAACCGTACGAAACGAAAATAGCTTAGCGCAAAGGCCCTCTGGGGTGTGTCCCCCCGGGCGAAATAAAATCCATCCATCCATATTCACAAATGTGTCGTGGAGTGTCGTGGATTTGAACCCTGGCTGGGTCGCTGCTGGACTCCTGACTGGGAGAGCCTGCTGTAATTGTTCGGGCTGGTCCTACATTATTGTTCATAACCGGGGCCCCATTGTCACGCAGGATCGTTGTCTTGCTCGGGAACTTCTGGAAGTATTCGAGGGACTCGATCATGGACTTTCTCATCCGCTGCTCATCTAGTCGGGCTGCTCGGTCACGGTAGCGCTCAGCCTGGCCACAGAGGCGAGCGAGGAAAATCTGGCTACAGCCATGAAATCAGTGTTATGGCCCTGGAGCGACCGATCGAGCGGATAGACAAACTTCTTACGCGGCAGGATGGGTGTATGGTTTTGGTGTGTTGAGGTGGTATGGTGGGGCTCTACAAAAAGAGAAACGTACTTGGCACTAGAACAGTGTCAGATAATCAAACGAAAATGTGCTGCTAGAATGGGAGGTAATGAGGTAATGACGCAGCGACAGTGACAAGAAGAAGCGCGTGGCGGGGCGCAATTCAAGTCGGGTTTGTTTGTGAGCTCGCAAGTGTGGTGACTCCGTTTCGAGTTTGTCTTGAGTTACATCTACCCTTATTTTATCCTGCGGTGATTCGAACACCGACTGTAAACACCAAAAATTTATGATGTACCCATGAATCTCACTTCTTGAATCCCACTCTTACAGAATCGTGTCTTTCCATGCTGGCTCCATATTTCGGGCGACCGACAGCCTAAAATCACATGCCAGGATTCCCGCAGCACAAAGCCCGAGGGATTGCCAAAGCAGTGGTTCCCGCCACAGAAGTTTGACATCGACCACGCAACCCCGGTGAGATTGATTATAAGACTCGCTCAGGTTACGGTCAGGATTTGCTCTGGCTCCCGTCAGAATATCGCCCACGGACATCAGCGATTGCAGCGTCGACTGGCGCCCTCTCTTAGACGGCTGGCGTGTTGGCACGGCGGGCCATTAAAGGTGGAGGGTAAACAACTCGAATACTACGATGCACTCAAGGTGCCGTCGAGATTTGGCAACCGGTAAGGAAATGACTGGTCAGCGAGCCAGGGCCGTCTGGAAGGGTGGCATCGCATGGGTGGCCGCGCACCGAAAAGAGCACTAAAAGGCGCGTCGCCCGCGTCTCAACCCATTGTCTAGGAAAGGTCGCACGGAGTATGAGGGGACCTCGTAGACGCCCGATGCATAGTGACGGTGCGAGACTGGGCAAGGGAAAAGTGGGCGGCGTGGTGGTTGATGAGGCGCTTATTCGCCCTCGAACTGCTTTATGATGCGATTCTTACGCTGAGATGTTTTTATGGTTTTTTCCAAAGCTTATCATGTTGTTGGGTCTGGGGGTGTCGGTTTCAGATCAATTAAAGGAATAATTCCCAGCTTTTTATGTCATTTTAGCCTGTTCCGGAAAGCCCAGTCAATGGACCGGATATGCCATAACGCCCACTGATGGGTATGAGTAGAAACAGAAATGGAAAAACCTCTTTGAAATGCCGCAATGTCGTCCAGTAACCAGCACGATGTCCTTCTTTTGCTCTCCTCCCATCTCTCAATCCCCCGAACGGAAAAAGTCTCTAAAGGCCGACATGGTGGGTAGTCCGAGCGGGGTGGAAACGGTGAGAAAGCCAGCCCCCTGCTCTAGTACTTAGTAGGTTTTGTTTGGTTTTCTTGAATAGAGGTCAAAGCCTCAACCTAAACTCTCCGCATAGTGCCCTGCACCTGCGATCCACACCTGATGTATCCTATTCCCCAGGCCGCCCCTCAACGAACGTCACCAGCCACGGCGTGCTCGATTGGGCGGGTTTCCGTAATCACCAATATTCTTCGCCTCGAGAGACATTCTGCCGAGATTCAAGCGGACTGACCGTCGAAGGACCACGACACTTCTCCCAAACTAAACCAAAACCGATGTGGTCCAACATAAACGGCCCCAGGCGGTGTCTACTCGGAAGGGTTCCATGGGAGACCACAATACCAAGTGGGAAACCCAGATCCAGCGCCGAATGACGCCACGCGAGCAGTCAGGAGGCTGCGATTGTTCAGGGTACGACCCAGAACCAGGAAGGCAAAATTTCGACATGATAGAAGAGGCGGCGTTGGACTAGAATTCCGGGAGTTTGGTTCAGCCACAACATAGTGGGCAGGTTTCGGGCAACACGATGTAGCGCTCATGGGGTCCCTTAGGACAGGCCTTTTTTTTATTTCCATCGGTGGAGGTCTTGCAAAAGTGAGTCCCGGGATCCATGCAGGATGTGTAGATGTAGTAGTTTTTGGCAAAGTCACACATGATTGTCGTAGATGTGTAGTTATGGACTGCGATCGACTTGTTAGAGTGGGTGAAGTTGTACCGGGCCACCTTCCGGAAAGGGCAAGCTCACCAACAGCGCGGTTGTAACTTGTAAGGGTCGGCAGGAGAGTGGAGTGGAGTGCGCTTGTGGAAGGGCAAAGATGGAGGTGAAGCGAAAGGGCCGCGGTGGACGAGGGAGAGCTGGGAATTTAGTGATGATGCAGACAGGTCATTGCGACAGCATGCGTTGAGATGGGAAATTTGGATGAATAAATAAAGTTGGGAGCCGGCAGGGAGTCAACGCAGGTAAGAAAAGCGAAAGTAGGCTTGTGGCGTGACCGATGTCGCGGCGTATATAAATAGGTCTATACTGTCGTGACCAGTGAAGGCGGAGGAAGAGTTTATACCGAGAACGATGAGAGACAGGGGGGCTATGTCAGAACATAGAATACTTAAAAAGCACGATCTGTGGGGGAATAGAGAAAGGAGGGGGAAGGGGGGGAAGGAGTGTCGCGCGGTGTTGGATGGAGGAGTTCTTGGAAATGGTGGTGGTAGTGGAGGAGCACGATGTGGTCGCTGGGCTCCTTAAGACATGGCGGCCGAGATGAGATGTTACGATGCGTTGCCGGTGTCGTGAGGTAAGGAAGGTCATGGCTAGCCCATGTCATTGTTTGGGATGCCTGAGAAAATGTCTAGTCGGGCCCAGTGCCAGATCTTGGGGACTTGTGTACCCTTTGCTTCGACGTCAAGTTGGCATTCGGTGCCGTACTACCTGCAAGGTCCCGGGCCTTGTGGTTCCAGAACGGATCCATGAGGACTGCAGCACAGGGCCACAGGCCCGGCTATCAACGACGGCATTCCGTCACCTCGCCTCGCTTTGTTTCGCTTTGCCCCATCCTTACTGTCGAAGAAGAGGGTACTGGACAGAGCCAGACTTTCGGAGACACTTTTTAGTGGAGAGCCGCCAACAAGGAGCGGTAGCGGTAGCGGTAGCGGTAGCGGGAGCGGGCAACTTCACACCGTATGTGGCGGCATATCGTGGAACCGAATCTTGGACCAGGGGATGTCGAGACGGCGTCCAGATGGCGTCAACAATGGAAACACCTCAAACTCAGTGGGGTGGGATTCCAGAACCCAGGCGCTATTCAAAGGCGAACGGCTTGATTTCGCGCTGGCTAGTGATACCATCATACCATCGTTTCCACGGCTCGGTCATGAATCCGGAGGGTAACCGCCACGGCGGCAATTTCGTACCCCCATCAGAAGGTGTTAGCGGGCCTTGTCTGGTAGGTTGTGACAGGCTTCGGCTGGCTCTGGCATGTCCACGTCAACCTTACACAAGTACCACCGTGCATGACTGTCACTTGACCCGCCAGAGGATTCGGAGGCTTTAGATGCCATGGAACCCTGTTGACGCACCGACCCCGTCGCCCAACATTCTAGTAAGGTGGGGCAGTTCAATTACGACTCCCTGGTATGCCTTACCGTCGGCCAATCATAAGAAAAGACTTCAGATGGTCTCGTAAATGGCTCTCCTTCGGTTGACAAAATAGAGGAACAAAATAAAAACTATCTGGGTGGGCAAATCAAGATCCCGGAATATAATAAGGAACCCCAGCCCCGCACGTCCCTTGGTTTGGGCCTGGAACAATCCCAGTTTTTCTCCGTTGGAATTGTGGTGCCTTAAATACCAAAATTGCGCCGCCCCGTACCAATGCCATAGGCTGCCCTACTCCCCTCCCGGCCAGGGGAGGAGTCGGACTCTTTACCTGGATTATTATATAAAGCACCAATAGTTGTTAGGTTAAGTATTCATGCACTAAATACTAAAATTTGGGCTCGACAAAAGCCCGACAAAAAAGGCATCAGCGGTCAAGTGATGCCCAATTGACATAGGTCTAACTTCAGGCACATTCTAGTTCTGGGCCCATCGTCGCGGAGACTGGGCCCAAATTTTGCATTGCCCGAGGTCACCTTTTAGGTCTCCAAGATTAGCCTCGACAGCATAGACCTAGACCCAAAATAGGGCTCATGCGTGTCACGGGCACCTATACCGTTACGCCAGCAGGGCAAAAGATCAGGCATTGATCGCAATCGTAGCAATCAACTAGGGGCACCAGCTGTTTTATAAACGCACGGAGCTATACGGTGGACCAAGCCGTAACAATGCGTCACCATGAGCAAAATGTAGGGTCGAATCCCGCCCCGCCAAAGCGGGTCAGACATACCACCTGACCCGAGTGAATAGCGAGGGCCCGATGTGTTATATCCAAAACCCAAAGATGTAGGTATCACAAGCAGTTTCTCAACTTCACATACCGGAAAGGACCGCTCTTTGGCACTTTGAAAGTGTTTGAGAGGATAATTGTAGATAGGATGAGCACTATTGCCCATTGCGAATTGGGAGGTTTAAAGCGTCTAGTAATGGTAAAAGCTAACCCCTGCGAGTACGTTGATGTGCTATGTGGTAATGGAAGACGTGAGTGCTGGAGAAGGTGCATTCGACATCTCGAACCAAATGGACCATTGCACTTCGTGCTCCCGTGCGCCGCTTGTTGATCCGTTTTAACGTGGCGCTACTCGGATCATCGGCGAGCTAACGGCGGGACAGGCCAAGCCGGAAGAGGGATTAAGGTTATATGGAGTTGCAGTTCATCTATTAGTTACGTGGTACAACCATTTACAGGAGGCAAACTAAGTTGTTCCGGCATCTAAGCGCCCAAATTCTCTATAATAATGAGGATATAAGGTTAGTTGTCTGCACTATTAGAGGCCATTTATAAGGGATTTCCCGGTGATCTGCCGGATCTGGTGATTCGCCGGACTTACACCTACTTGCATTCCAGACATTAATCTATAATAGCTCCACAGCCGCAGTCCCAAATCTTCCAAAATTAAACACATAATGAAAATGCAACTATAAGATATGTCTCAGTCTATTTCGCAGTCATCAAGCCATCGTGGTCGCTTGCTATTCCGCTGCGGCCGCCCGGTACCCCGAAATGCGACTACCATCTCCCGATCACTCTCAACAGCTAGACAGGGTCTTTTCGGACGAGCGGTACGGATTGGAGTGGTCGCTGCCTTCCCTTTTCGGTTGTCTTTTGGTAGATCTAGGGCCTGTGATGCTACCGGCGGCTCTGGTATGAGTGGAAGAGCGACGATTATCTCGTCTCGAACGTCCGGACTCTTCTCGCGGCCTTCAGAAGCCACCCGTCGTTCATGTTGCATTTCACGTGCCATTTCCAGATTGCGACGCTTAAGTTCTTGTCGAATCTGTCGATTGGCTTCCTTCTCTTGCTGCCTGGCCTCCCTTACCTGCCGTTTTCTCTCCATTTCCGCCTCTCGTTGCCTCCTCTTCTCCAGAGCGAGAGCTTTTTGCTCCGCCGCCTTCTGCTGTCGCTGAGCCTTTTGCGATTCCTTCTGCAGAACCTCCTCTTTCTTTTGGGCGTCCATCGCCGCTTTCTTTAGGCGGGCTTGAGCGACTTTTGCTGGGCTAAACACCTGAGCTGAATTAGGATCTGTACGATCAAAGAGCAGATCTTTCAGAGCTTTACCGCGCTGTCTGCGCTTCTTTTCTTGGCTAATTGTCTCGCGGAGTCCTTGATTCTCATATCGAAGCAGTTCAACCTCAGATTGAAGGCTTTCGAGGGTGTTCTTCAGCTTTCGGCTGTTGCGGTCAGCATCGATAGAGGATTTGTCGACTACTTTGTCAATAAGTCGGCGTAAATCTCGGGCCGTAGGTTGCTGAAGGGTTAGTGATTCTGCCGAGTCGCTACCCGTATTCGAATCATCATCTTTTTTCTCAGTGATCTGCGATAGGACCACTTCTGGGTCAAAAGGCAGGAGACCAGTCCGTTTCCACCCACTCGCAATGTTCTCGGAAGAGAAGGAAGTCTCAAATGCGTTCCAAAATAAAGTCCAGAACTCACGTTTCGATAGGCCAATAAGGCCTTGTGTTTTTGCTGTCCACTGGATAAGCTGATTTGAGTATGCGGTCGAAAGGGGCTGAATAGCGACACGTCCAAGGGTTGCAGCCGATGCGTGGAATGGGGGGGAAACACCGCAACGATAATCCGGTGCTGGTCACACCACTCCAGAAAGTCCATATTAACATGGCTAGAGTGGCCGTCGGTAATGAGAAGGCGATAATCACGACCGTTTCGAGCTTTTGCCTTAGTAAAGCGATCGAAAACACCGACGAGCCACTCTTTTCCAAGCTCGTGATTTGTCCACCCCGTTTCTGAGGTGGTAAAGAAGGCTGATTGATGTTCTGGGTCAAATTCATTGAGCCAAGAGTCCTGGACTTGTCCTGGTTTGCCTTGGTAGATGAGGAATGGGGGCAGCGATGTCATGTCCTGGCTGATGCACGCCAGGAACGTAATCCAAGATCGATTACCATCTTGCGACGCACCGAGCAATTTGCCTTGCTTTTTGACGTTAATGGAAAATACTCTCTTCGTTCGATTGATCACACCCAAGAGAAATCCTTTCTCATCCGCGTTATACGTGTTGCAGGGTAGGATGTTGTATTTCTCGATTTTTGTGCGGATCTTCCACTGTCAGTTGTGAAAGGGAAGCTTCGTGCATTGGCTTACAAGCTCAAAATATGCCCTATACCTAGAGGCATTATCGGCTCTCTTTCGCGCGATGTCCAACCCGTCGAACCATGTACAACCTAACTCATCACGATTGCGTCGAACGAAGCTGTACGGCCAGTCCTTTCCGACCTCGATTTTGGCGATATCCTGGGCGAAGTTCTTTATCATAGGTAAGGTAGGGGGAATGCCACGCGATGAAAGCTTATGAATATAAGCGATAAGATCCCGTTCTTGTTGTTTTGACAGACGTGACTTATACAAACTGTCGGCATCTCGTCTTGACCGCTGTTTGCCTTGATGTCGGCGTCGCAAGGTCGTCTCGTCGCAATTGAAACGCCGTGCAGTCTCAGCATAATTAACTGATTCCGACGATTTCAGGAAATCAAGGGCCTCATCAAT